AAGTATGAATTCCGGACGCACTATCAGCTTTTTGGGCTACCAGATGCGATTGGCCATTTTCCTTCTCTCAAAAAGAAAAAAGAAAAAGAAGGCAAAAGGGCGAAAAAAGAGAAGGCGTTGCCGACCAAGGAAGGTCGTTCGGGGCCCCATAATAATAATTCATGGATAACATGAATGTTCAGAGCAGACGGAAAAGGGGCAACGACCATTGCCCATTGCCCATTGACTATCTTCGACTGGCCGCCCAGCGGTGGGGACCTGGAGATTGACACCAACCACCAGCGCTCGCCAGCACTCGCCACGAGAGTGATGAACACTCCGTCGAGTCGCCTCGCCCCACGCCCTGCACCGAATCATCGATAGAGGGTTTCAAGGTCGCCAATCCACCTGCAGATTGGAATAATAAAATTATAAGACAGCAATATCCGTAGATTAATATATTTTGCGCAATCAAGGCGAGGTCCGAGCATATGATGAAACAGGCTCTGGGTCGATGACGATGGAAACGGTCAGGAAGTATATCCTGACGACGGTTGCAGTGAATTCCTCTCTGACCGTCGATGATAAGAAGAGCCGAAGAAGTCCTTGGAGTCGTTGAGTGACACGGGGTGGACGATTATCCTTACGGGGATCGATACGGTACCCAGACTGCAGAGCTGGTGCCCGCAAGCCTGTGGAAGCAGCAGCAGCGTATGGCCAATACTCGTACCGTATCTAACCATGGTCTCGATCTATCAGCATTTAATATTTTAATATGCCGGGACCCAGCCCGCTATTTTTTTTCGCCCCTCGCCGCTCCACTCGCGCCTCCACCGACCTGGGCTTGTCTCCCAGCCTAGAACACGAAACCGCCCGTCAGAACCACTGGTGGTGTTTCAACTGCGGTGGCCATGGGGTAGATAGCCGACTGGATGTGGTAAGAATGGCATCTAATTATAATCATCGCCAGCAATGGATGTAGGGGATCAAGTGACACCAAAATCCAAATAACAAGGATCAATTGAGAAGCCAAAAAGAAAGTTCAATCAGTTTGAGTAGGCTGTCAGACCACGTACATCCATCGTAAGCACAGTAATAGGCAAGGCAGGCGAGGTGATAGGCAATGTGATGGAATCATCATCCTAAGTCTGGTTCCGGTTCATTCCTCCTCCCCCCACCACCCCCCCCTCCCCATCCACTGAGTTGTGGTCTGTGGAAGTCCACCGTAAGTACTCCATATGTACGAAGGAAGTAGGATGGATGCATGCCAGCCGCTAAACTTTGGGGGAGTTCAGGTCCGGGTCCAGAGGAGACTAAGACTACTAAGTCAGTCCCCTAAGCTTGCCGGCCATCCTGATCCAACGAACGACATATCGCGCTCCGGGCCACGATCTGTCTCCGACTCTCCGCTCCCTCTCTCGGTGCTGCCCTGCTCTTCTCGCCCCCCCTAAATAATCTTACTCTGACCGTTCTTCCCGTGCCGCGTTCACGCTGCTGCATCTGCGATCCAACAAAACAAGCCGTACGTCCTCCTGCCCGAAACCCTGCTGCTGACCCCCCCCGTCCCCGAGAGAAATTTACCTCCATCTTCCCTCTTCTCTCTCTCCCTTCCCCTCCTCGTCACTCCTCGACCCTTCAGTTCGCATCTTTTGCTTCGCTTCTCAGTCCCTCCCTTACCCTCGTTTTCTCCGTCCAACTCTTGTCTCACTCGTTTCCCCTCGTTTAGGCTTCTTGACCATCCCACCTTCGCTGCCACCGCCCTATTCTTTTTTTTTCTCCCGCCGCTTCTGGATAACCTTCACCCCTGGCCTCCGCCAAGTTTGGACAAAGCAGCCTTCTGCGGCCGCGCCCTTTCGACTTTCAACGCTTCTTATCCGATCAGACTCGCACTTTCACAATGTCCGAAGGCGAAAAAGTGAGAACCTCGGGAGAGGTGTCTCGTCCGGAGCCTACTCTGCCCACCGTCAATCCCGCCGTTGATAAGGCGGAGCCTCCCAAGGCAGCATTTCACCCTGCTGTCTATGTCGGGTGAGTCGCTCTGAGGAGCTGGCAAAAGGCCGACAATGTACTAAGACAAGCCCAGTGTCTGGATCACCTTGAGTTCCAGCGTTATTCTGTTCAACAAGCATATTCTGGACTATGCTCAGTTCCGTAAGTCCCACACTTGGTACTTGGCCGAATTGACCACATGGCTAATCGTATTTTCTCCCTCTTCTAGGTTTCCGTATGTTCCTCTTCTTGCGCGCTCATATGCTCAGCTCTAATGTCTCCCAGCTATTATCCTTACAACATGGCATCTGGCATTTGCGACCTTCATGACCCAGCTTCTTGCGCGCACCACAACTCTGCTCGATGGACGGAAAACCGTGAAGATGACTGGCCGCGTGTACCTCCGTGCCATTGTTCCGATCGGTCTTTTCTTCAGTCTGAGCTTGATTTGCGGTAACGTGACTTATCTGTACTTGAGTGTTGCCTTCATCCAGATGCTCAAGGTCAGTTAAACACCTGCAGCATGAGGGACCTCGATTGCTGACTTGACCTCAGGCTACCACCCCGGTTGCTGTCCTGTTCGCCACTTGGGGCATGGGTATGGCTCCTGTCAACCTCAAGGTGCTCATGAACGTCAGCATTATCGTTATTGGTGTTATCATTGCCTCCTTCGGTGAGATCCGGTTCGTCTTCACTGGATTCCTCTTCCAGCTTGGTGGTATTGTGTTTGAGGCCACTCGCCTGGTCATGGTTCAGCGCTTGCTCAGCTCCGCTGAGTACAAGATGGATCCTCTTGTCTCCCTTTACTACTTCGCCCCGGTCTGTGCTGTCATGAACGGTGTCACTGCCCTGTTCCTCGAGGTCCCGAACCTCACCATGACCCACGTCTACAACGTTGGTGTGTGGACATTGCTGGCCAATGCCGTTGTTGCCTTCCTCCTTAACGTCTCCGTCGTTTTCCTGGTAAGAACCTCTCATCTGCGCTGCCACCCCAGAAACGGAGTACTGATGCCCTTGTACAGATCGGCAAGACCTCTTCCCTCGTCATGACCCTCTGCGGTGTTCTCAAGGATATCCTTCTCGTCATTGCCTCTATGATGATCTGGCAGACTCCCGTTACCCTTACTCAGTTCTTCGGCTACTCGGTTGCTCTTGTCGGTCTCGTTTACTACAAGCTCGGCGGTGACAAGATCAAGGAGTACACTGGCCAGGCCAACCGTGCTTGGGCCGAGTACGGTGTCAACCACCCCGCGCAGCGCAAGTTCATCGTGCTCGGTGCCGTTGTCCTTATCCTCTTCCTTCTGATGGGATCCATGGCCCCCAGCTACGCCCCCGAGTCTGTTGCCAGCGTCAAGGGAATGCTCGGTGGGGCTACTGCTGGAAAGGCCTGAGCGAATCCTTAGGTTTGACGTGGTTGAACTGGTCTGCCTCCATTAATGGTGTCAATAGGCAGGCAGGTGCGAGGTGAGACAAGGGAGTCAAGTGGCTGATGCTCGTGAGTTGAGAGTATGGGGACAGGAAGGTCCCCGGGTGAAAAGTTCCACCCGCCCCCACGATCGCTTTCTCCGTCCATGCTTGGATATGTATGGACATATACCGTTATAAAGATAATGTTTCACTGGGGTAGTTCTTTACGAATTGGGATGCGGAGTGTATCTGGGCCGGCCACATGCAGGGAATGCAGCTGTGCCCAGAGGACACGGTTGATACGACTTGGATCACGGATCCGACGGTTTTCTGTTCTATATCTCTTTAACTTGAAGTTTTTTTCATTTGCCCTGGTGTCCTCGCTCTAGAAGGTTTTGTTGGTGTGTTGCATGCGATTTGGCTCGATGAACAACATTTGTGACGTGTGAAACTAGCAGGAGGCTTTGGTGTCGAATGTCGCTTTCGCCCGTTGTCTTTGCTCGTTTGATTCCCCTCCTACTGTTACTATAGGATCTTTTCTTTACTACGTGATGAGTGTAACCTGCTCGACCCAATAGAATTTCGAGTTTCGTCCATGTCCGTGTTAGCGCGTGATTGATTCCTGGCCAGGGTACGGAGTAACGGGGGGGGTACTTTTGCGTTGGGAGGCAGATTCCAGGTCGAGCCGAGGGTGGCCTAGCCTTGCTAGGTTCCTTGGCTGAGGCGGCCAAGCCTGGCTCCCCTGGTCGGTGATCAGTCAGCAGTCCATGCGGCCTTTAGTCTCGAGCCAATCAAGGGGCATCCAAAAGCCTCGGGCTTGTGCTCGACGGATCAGCCAATGACCTTGGCCCTCTCGACGGCAGGGGCTCCTGTGAGGGCTGACGCGCGGACAGGGCTTGCAGGATACACCAATCATGGTCGGCGTTGGGGAGGGGCCCCCACCGCATCGTTGCCCGGGAAGATGGACCATCGACCAATAATGGCAGAGTCCTTACGGGTCGATCTGAGGCCGGTGGGCCTGGCAGCTCATACGGTCAGGTATGGTATGCCGGGGATCGCGCGGGCGGCCAGAGGAGGGTATTGTGGGTAATGGGCGGTAACGAGGCAGGCAAATCCTGCTCTCCGCAATGGATCGCAGGCGCATCCCAAGAAGCTCCGAGACCTGCGACGGCCATCACTCGTCCGCATCCGTCAGCAGCAGCTTCTTCTTCTTCTTCTTCTTCTTCGTCGTCTTCTTCCTCTCACGCGTCCGCCTGTTTCCTCCTCCTCTCCTCTTTTTTCCACCTTTCCATCCTCCACCTTCACCTCCACATCTACCCGGTTCACCCGTGGTTCACTTCTTGCTTGCCGGCTGCGCATCTCCTTCCTTCCTCGTGTCTTCCATCCGTCCCTTCTTCTCTCCCCTTCCTTCTTTCTTCTACCCTTCAATTCTCTTCCCCTGCTGCCATCCATCCATCGCCTCATCTCTGCTCTTTATCTCCAAACTCCCTCCCCATCACCTGATATATATCCTTCCGTCTCGTACCCTTCCACCCATCTCTCCTGTCCTGCCTGCCGCCACGACCGTTCGCGACGCACCTCTTGTTTCTCCCTTGGTGCCCTGCCATTCGTGGTACAGCTTGGATCGCGAGATCCACAGGTTGCTCACACTTATAGTTTCTAGCTCACTGGACAGACAGAACAGGTCCGATCCTTTCCATCCATCATCGTAGTCGCTCCATTCGACCGCGAATCACCCTCAGTCACAATGTGCCCCATGCTGCTCAACAGTCTCTCCGATGGCCCGGCGATGGTCCTATCCCCTCGCCAGGATCACGCTTTTGTTCAATTCCCTCGCCAGCCGAAGTTCACCCCCGACCCAGAGTCGAGGTCTTTCTTCGCCTCCAACAACAACCTCTTCCCATCCAGACCCTCTCGCAAGAGGTCGCGAGACGATGCCTCCTTCGAAGAAGCCATCAACGGCAACAACACCTCAATGTCCTTTGGATCCGCTGCTGCTCCGTCAATGCGAAAGCAGGTGGAAGAGCCCATCTACGGCGAAGGCATGGTGCTTCTGAACCCGCGCACCAAGATGGCCATCTCAGCCGAAAGCCAGACCGGCACGTGGTACGAAGAAATCGTCGAGAATGCCACCACCGCTGTGCCGGCCTCGGCCCGTCGTGACGGCAACCCATCTTCCTCTGGCCGTAAATCCCAGCGCCTGGATCCCTCAGCTCCCAGTGTCGACGATATCACCCTCTCCTCCATCCAGCGAAAATTGCACTCAACCGACCAACAAGACGACAACCGCCGGATCCTCAACGTGGGTAACCGCTCCGAAGAACCCACTGTCGACGACGCCACCCGTCTCCTTGGCATCAGCTGGCAGCGCATCGCGACTGATGACTCGGATATGGCAGCTGCGGTGCGCGGCTGGAAGAAGTATATTGATCGACAGTTCGCGGCGTATCTGGCCGACTCACAGATTCTCTTGAAGAATCGGGCATTGAATGCCTATCTCGTCACGGCACGGCCAACAACGCCGATGGGATTGGCGAATACATCGGCCTTCTATCTCTTCAATGATGATCTCACCCAAGCACAGCTCGTGGGTTCAACCTGGGAAGCTTGCCTCATGAACCTCCGGTCATCTCCCATCGTCTTTGAGGGTACTCAGATCCTGAATGCCGCCGACAGACCACTTCAAAACGGCATGACCTCGATGGGAGCTCAGAACATCCTGGGAGCGAACCCTGCTGACTCGGGTCTTCCGCTTCTTCAGACTCTCTGTGCCCAGCCTATGAATCTCGGCAACGGCATGGGGTTGAACAACAGCGTAGGAATGGGGACGGGGATGGAGATCGACGCGTAAGCCACCGGTATCTTCATGAACAGCAGCAGAAAAGCATCTTCAACTAAAACCATCGCAAAAACGATGAACGAACTTACTCAACGACACAGCGAAAGCGACTTTCGACTCACCGGACTCGCACACGCTCACATATCTCGGCAGCCAAAAATTTTTTCTTTTTCTCTTCTGATTCCTGGTGCTGTCTCTGTCATATGCTACGCCATCGTAATTAACCGGGATTGACATATGTTTGTGGATTTTTTCCTTTTCTCTTTGGCTTTTTCTTTCTTTGGCGCAAAGGGGGTTGGGATGGCTCGGATGGATGGGATGGTCATGTGGCCGGCCGGATCACATGTGTTTGTTTTGTTTTCACTTTTCATTCACCCTTCTTCCTCTCTGGTTGTTGATATATATTTGCCATTTTCACACATATCATCAGACAATTAAAAAAGAATGGAAAGAAATAATCTTATGTTACTGAGTGCGAGCGAAAAACATCCAGTGAGGAGGGGAAGTAGCAAGTGGCGGTCAGGGCAGCCTGCCAGCCTTTCCATATACAGACTTAGCCATACAGGGTCCATAGTAAATCTGCGTTGCTTGAGTTTAATCTCCCCCCTCCGCATCCCAGCACCAACAACACCCCCAATCTACCTATTGATCCTCACGCTCACACCACTCGTACTCTTTCAACTATCTACTATATCCACCTTGCTGCTGCGATACTTTCTCCGAGGAGAAAGAAAATGGTCTATCCAACACCGTAGTTACACCTACCGCCCAGTCTTGGCAGGTCCCGACCTACCTAGTTCACGGCTTTAACCTCCACCCAAGTAAATCCCTTATCATCTTCCGGCACCGCGGGTCCCTTATTATCTGTGAACAAGGAATCAATCTCCTCGAGACTGAGGTTCGCCGTCTCGGGATAATAGAAATACAAGATCTGAAACGCAAAACGATCCGTCAGCAGGCTGGGCGCGGTGGGAAGCGGAATGTATGTTCCGCGATCGCGACTCACAGGCACAAAGATGAGGTTAAAGCAGGTGAAGATGAGGTAGCCTTTCCATGCCAGCTCTCGGATCAACGTCGGAGATATCATGGCCACGAAGAAACTCCAGAGCCAGTTAGCCGAAATTCCGATGGCTTGCCTATTTGGGTTGGTGGAGATGTTAGCCCGCCACCGCTTGGAATGGGGTGAGTAGTTGAGTGAGCATTATCCTGGCCGTACCCTTTCGTGCGAACATGTTGAGGAAGTAACTCTGGGCCGTATACCCATGGTATGCAGTTGATGGTAGCTCCGTAGATGAGCATGAACAAAAAGAAGAACGCCACCGAGGCCGTGGCGGCCGATTTTTCTAAAGTCGTCCCTGCTGGGCGTTAGAGCATTTCCTGACTCCAGGCCCCAGCCTTGGACTGAACTTAGGCTTACCTTTGAAGGACAGAAGAATGGAGATCATCAGCATGCAGACGAATTGACCGAAGGATCCCCACATCATTGGACTACGCCGTCCCAGTCGATCGCAGAAAAAGATGGGATAGAAGGCTCCTAAGGTAGCATGATCAGCGTCCTGTTGCCACGATGGGATGTCCAGAATTCCTGTGTACCCAAGACAAACATCAGTTGGATCACTCCACCGAGCAATAAACTCAGCTTGGCATCCAGGCCCACGTTATCCTCTAGGACTAGTGTTGTCTTCCATTAGCCATTGATCGGACCGCACATGAACGAATGGTCATGTGGTTATTACCTGTCGTGACATAGGTCTGGAGCACGGGGTTAGCTTTCGAGTCACGAACGTATCAGACCCTACGTACGACAATCAAACCGGGTCCTCCCATCTGGTTCATGAACTGCAGCCCGTAGGACAGTAAGATCCGTCGCCCGGTATGGAGCTCATCTTTCTTGACAATCTCGGACCACTTGTACTCTGCCTGACTAGTTTCGATTGCCCGAAAGATGCTTTCTGCCTCGTGGATCACCTTGGGATCGTCTGATGGTCGGTCATAGAAATCACAGAGGACTTGCACGGCCTCCTGCTGTCTATGCTGACGGCACAGCCATCGAGGACTTTCCGGAAGTCTATCCACCGCCGTCAGATGAGCTGCCCTTCACTCTAGTTACGCGTCCAGTTTGAACTTACCCGAGAATTTGTATGATAACGATGAGCGCGAAGACCATCTGACAGGCGAGGGGAAGCCTCCAGTTGATAGGGCCGTCGACATAGCTCATTCCGTAGTCGAACCAGTAGGAAATGGTAATACCTACCCCGACGGCAAGAGGTTGAGCGCAGACGTACATTCCTCGCCTCCGTGCATCACATAATTCTGATTGGTACACGGGCACGATGGTTGTCATGACGCCAACTCCGATGCCCGTAACAAACCGGGACACGAGAAACTGTGCTCGGGAGTAGGAGCATGTCTGGACCGTAGCTCCAATCTGCAGAACGCCATTAGCATCTGCATGTGCATTGCAGCCATCATAGCGACACATACTATGATTACACACATCGAAAGCCACATGGACCTTCGAAAGCCTAATTTGTCACTAGTTAGGAAGGAGACCCCTGTGCCGGCCAGACAGCCCAGATTGTATATAGACACCATGATCCCCATGACTGCCGTGCTGGGATGATGGACAACCTCAAGAAAATCCGCGTTATTGGTAATCCCGGAGAAGTTAGACTGATTGTAGCCTGCCCAAGACAAGATGGAGGGTCAACATATGCTGCACTAGACTGCACTTCGGACGCTTGCCAGGATCCTACCGAATAAAATGAATGCCGCCTGGCAGGTGAACATGATGGCCAGTCGAAGGCGCAGCCCTCGCCCGTACATGTTGAATTTGACCATATTCGCAGCAGTTGTAGCAAAGCGAGGATGAGCAACAAGAACCAAGCCTCAAGTCGACCGTATACTGGAAGTATTTATATAGAAGCACTACTCCTAACTTTGTCACCGACGGCGAGAATAAGGGGGTCAAGACTGCTGTGGACCCGTGGCACACACTGAGTTGGTGCACAGGAAGCACAACAGCCTGAATGATCCCCTCATGATTAGCTATCCCCGTCCGATATCAGAAGCCCTAGTAACCCGTTGGAGATCGACGCAGGATCCTCCATACCAGGTTTCGGGAAATGCCGCAATAGGATGGAGTGCAGGACCTACAACACGGTCCAGCGAGTCAGACGACGCGATGGTAGCATTCAACGACACGACCTGCGCACCTTGTACATTCCTCAGGGGCTGCGGAGGGTAGGCTTCCGACAGGTACAGGGCTGGATATACCCGGGAGTATCATTTCCAGGGCAGATATCACCACCAGAGGCCATGACATGACTCATATGCCGCGTCGACGCGGAGTAACTTTTACGAATGGTCAAAGACTGAGTTCTGGTGCTTCGACCATCATCATCATATGCCTCAGGAGCTCTCTTTAGCCGGCGGCTTCTTTCGACCGAGAATACTCCGTACCAACTCGCATCATTGAGCCCCAGCAGGGGACACCCCTTGCCTTGATGATACCGAGGTTGCGAGGTCCAAAGGCCAGGCAGCTAAAGCAGCTATTAATAGCGCGATGACCACTAGCATTCTGGGTCGATGACATGCTGGGGAGAGTCATGGTGACGACCGGTGAGAGGACGGCGGAGGGCCTCGAAATTAGGTTTCTGCAAGGCCCGGGGGGTTCAAAAGCCGGGCCCAGACAGGAGGTCAGATTCGAGAGCCCCCCAGAGAGATGGATTAGAGATGAAAGAACGGGACGACGACGGTGTTGGATGAGGTGGTGGTGGCGTGGGGAGGTTCCCGGTTTCCGGTTTCTGGTGTCTACTTGGTTTCGCTGCGGCCACACGTGATGATGGCCCCAAAGGGAAGGCGACGAGGCCACTTGCCGTTTAAGATTAAGCCTGGAATGACTGGGTATCAAATTCCCGCCGACTTGGCGCCGGACTCTATGTACATGCCTTGCTGTGGAACCCCCAACCCTGCAAGTGCGAGCATCGCAACTTCAGTTACTATCATAATCACTGCCTTCGTCATAGTAGTCCCCGTAGTTTCCTGCAAATGCCGCGTCAACCCCGTCGGGATCATCCTCCATATCATCCTCCTCGTCGTAATCATCCTCCTGCTCGCCATCCGAATATCCGTTCTTTGCCCCATCAGCAGGACCAAGGACCTCCTCATTCTGGCCCACTTTTCCAGCTTGATCGGCCGGTGCTCCGGTGTGAGTAACATGCTCCGTAGAGCCACGCACCGGAGCAACAGAAGACACAGGACCTCCGATGGGCTGGCTGGTGGTCAAGGAGGCTGCAAGCCCCGCACCCCTCGGGGCCGCCTCTGGTTCGATGCTGGCACTGCGTCGTGAGATAACGCTTTGGCTGCGACTCTGGCTGCGGCTCAAGCTTTCTTCCTTGGACTTGGAGGCCTCATCGGCCCCCTCTTCACCGAACAGGGACTCCAGGAGACGGTAATTGATCTTCTTACTGAACCCTCTCCTCTCCAACATCCGACGAGTAGCTTCTGCAGGAGTTGAGGCGCGAGTGCTCCGGCCGTCTCCGTCTTCACCATCGCCCTCAAGATAGGCAACGTCTCCCAGTCTACCTCGGCGGCGCTTCCGCGGTTTATGCACACGGCCGTCGGCGCCAGGGCGTGCATCAGCTTCCGCCAGAGCTCGCTTTAGCGCTTTGGCCTGTTGCGCACGGAGGTAGTCTTTGTTCTCATGTACCCAGATCCGTTCCTTGATCTCGACCTCGGCGGGAGAAAGCAGGCAGTTAGATACCTCGGGATCCGACTCAAACTCGGTAGCGTCAATTTCCGCATTATCCGACACGACCTTCCTGGGTGGACCGACACCAGTCTCAATCATATTCGAGCCTTTGGATAAGAGGGCGGTCATCTCATTTTCCAATGCCTCTTCAGATGCAATCTGGTCAGGCGAGGGAGCGGGAAGCGGAGGCCGCTTCGGACCCTTGTGTCGACCGGGCTTGGCGGCTTCTTCCCCAGCCTCCGATGTGGCTTCGCTTGCGGTAGAGGCAGTCGATTGGCGGCGTTGGCCGCTGCTAGCCGCGATCAATGCCGGATCAATGGGAAGGTTAGGAATAGCAAAGCCATCTGAGTCAACCCGCCTAGGCTGCTGTGCTTCTTGTACATCCCCTTCGATCTCGGCAGCCGTTTCCGTGGGCCTCCGCTTAAAAGATCGGGACGGCTTCCTTCCATCTCTAGCTCTAGCAAAGGAAGGTGGATCATGAGCGTTCTCCAGTTGCACGGAACGGAACTGGTCAACCGTGAGTTCACCACTCTCTGTCGAGCTGAATTCATTTAGACGCTGGCTGATGGTGATCTCAGTGACCTTGACTACATAGACAACCTCTCGAACGGTACGACGGAAGTTGTTCATCCGGGCTGCAAGGATCAAGGCGGCACCACAAATACCGGCGGGACGACGACCTGTCGTCATCCAATCGCGATTCATTCGCTGAACGATTCGCACCGCTTCGCTAGCCACCTGCATGGTAGCGGACCCGAACTCGAGCTGCTTAGCAAACCGGTAGATCAAACTTTCAGGGTCAATCGGATTCATTAGGAAAACATTGCCGCCTAGGCGCAACTCGTCCAGCAGTGCTTTGTAGGTTCGACCCAGCTTGAACACGTTGATCATAAGAACATCGGCAAAATCAATAAGCATGACGGTGTTACCATCCTGTCGACGGCATGCAATGTATAGACACACTGCGGCTACCGTCTTGGTCCTTCGACCTTGAATGAAGTTCAGTCCGACCGCAAGCTTGAATACCTGACCGGCAGCCTTCATGGCGCTCTCAGGGATCATGAGGGCACGAGACAGCTGGGTGATGTACCGATTTCCGTTCTGCTCGGTGATCTCGCGGCTTTCAGCCCCTCCGCGCTGGAAACCCGGGCCATAGCTGCGGACGTGGGACTGGTCTTCTCCGACAAAGGTACCCTGAACGACGGCAGCACCAGATGAGGTTTCCCCGAAAGTGACTTCGGAGACGATGTTTGCTTCGCTGATAACCGTACCACACCCGGAACAGACCTTTTGACCGTCATCCTCGACGATATGAGGGGCCGGACAGCCGGGGTTAGGGCAAGTGGTGGTTTTCGGGTGGGTGGTTGGCCTGGTTGGCTGAGGCCGAGAAATAGGCTGGGGACGCCTGATCGGAGTTGAATTGGGTGGTTTAAGGCTGGCCAATCTTCCCATAGGTGCTCTTGGGCCACTCTTCGGAGGCATGGGAGGACGTATCCCAGGCCGAGGGACAGACATGGTGGATATGATGGGATAGCCCTGCGGGGGTGTAAAGTCCACGAGCGGTCGAGAGTTGTACCAATAAGAATAGGAAAAGCGAACGATCAATCAACGGGTGTTATTGAATTGGCATGCCTATGGAGTCCCACGCATTGATCCTGGTTGCGGCGTGGTCCAATCGTAGGGATGAATGGGGCAGTAAGGAGCCAGGCAGACCGGGTGGGAGAGCGATGAACAAGGCAAACCGAGAACAGGCCACACGAGTGTCACTCCCCGCGGGGATCCAAGAGACCAAGGAGGGACAGCAGAGGAGACCAGTAAGCGACAACCAAAACGATGGATTCGCTTCGAAACCCCAGCACAATCCGAGACCGCGGATGGTCGCTATTGATCGTCGAGGGTATAGTGATACGGCCAGATAAGAGATGAAAGAAGAGTAAAAGGTGGGCGCGACGCATCACCGACGTGAAAAATATGACGCGCCCGTCGCGGTGGTCCAGTGGGCGGGTCACGTGGCACGCGCCTGGTCTCGGTCCGTTTCTTTCATTGAGTCGCTCTGTGTCCCTCGTTCGAATCCCCCCCAGGATCTTCCCCGAGCACTACTGGCCACCTCCACGCAGTCCGGAGAGGGCAGCCTATGGAACCTGGCACCTGAAAGCACATGCGCAGATGGAGTTTTCTTTCTTCTTTTTCTTTTTTCTTTTTTTTTATCTCGAAATTATTCCGGTGCAAATGTTTCTCACTTGACTTGTGTCCATGTAGCAATCATTGCCGCGAGTACCATCGTTTTTTCCCCGACAACCAACCAACCCTGACCGTTTGCGGCGGTCGAGCAGATTTCACTTTCCCGGGCTAAGTCAAACAGTCGTGAAGAAACAAGAGAACCATGATTATTGATCATGTCTCGGAGTCGGGAGCAGCCCGGATCAGCCGAATCTAATCTAGGAGAGATTTCGCCCTCTGGTACGGAGTAGACTAGCTTATCTGGAACATGACTCAAGGTTCCGCTAGCATCTGTCAGAGCTTTCCGCCACATCATTAATTTCATCGTCACCGCTTCAGGACCTATCAGGCTGTCCTTCTTCACAGGCACCCTCTCTTAGCAAGATCGCGCATTCGGACCAATCGTCATAGGTAGGAGTGAGACCATCACATGAGCCATGGCAAGTTTGCTGGAGCCAGGGGCGTCTGTACTAGTCATTACCGATGATGACTTACATCATCTCGTCCGGTGGATATGAGTGGAATGCGCCATTTGTGCGCGGGTCAGAGCTTCATTAAGTACCGTTTACGCACAAACCGCGCAGGTTGCCCCTTCCCATGGAATAATTAGAAATGATATCAACCATGATCCCGATTTTTCTCTCCCTCTTCTTCCTTCTTTCCTTGCCCATATATAGACTTTGCCTGCCCCCATCCCTTACCTGCAGATTGAGCAATCGCGATCTGCATACCTAGGCGCCGCTACCAGTTAGCAAGACTTAATCTCAGACACCAAAGGCAACAGCTTATCGTTCGACATTGCATGTTTGCCGCTCTCATTGCTGGATGGGATCTCCTGAGCTATTACACTAGGCAGGCGTGTTGCATGAATTGTCTCGGCTTCGTGGGGTATCGCATCCTTGATAAAGCTCGACTGGCCCAACCTGCCATCGACTGCCCTTCCTGTGACTCTGTCAGGCTTTTCTTGCAGTGACGGCGCCTCCCTTTTCGCCCGTTGACAATGTCGCCGATGACAGGCCCGTCCTCTCAAGCCTCTGCCGGACAGGACTCGAGACTTCTGAAAAGCACATTCCTGGTCAGCAATATTCACTGTTCCTCCTGTGTCGCATACATCAATGAAGTCCTATCAGACCTTGGTGGAGTGAAGCAGATTGACGTCTCAGTCCTCACACATGAAGTACGCGTCGTTCATCATGACGACACAGATCCATCACACCTAGCCACAGCTTTGGTGGAGGCTGCTTTTGATGTCCACCACGTTACAACCTATGAGCCTAGAGGCTCAGTAATATCCGAACTTGATACCACCTCATGGCTACCCCGCGACTCGGTACTGTTCACTACTCAGCCCAATTCGAGCTCCAAACCAGCTTCGGGAAGCAGACATGTCGAAAACTGTGACGCTTGCAGAAAAGAGGAGCTGGACAGACTCGCGGCCGGCGATGACTTAGCAGATGGTGCTTCTCGTCTACCCCAGGATCGGTACAGTGGTCTTCGAACCGATGGTAAACCTAGTCCATCCGAATCGGAATTCCGAAGTTTAGTACGTCAAGGGTCCATAATGAGCGGCACATCCGTGGGGTCACGGTCAGAAGCTGAAGGCAAGTTCAATGCTCGTGTGAGCATTGGCGGGATGAGCTGCGCATCGTGTGCGAACAGCATCACGAACGAAGTCAAACAACTGGACTTTGTCGAGGATATCATCGTCAATCTCCTCACTAACAGCGCTGCGGTGGTCTTCACTGGTCCTCAGTCCAACATAGAAAAGGTCGTTGAGCAGATTGAGGATATCGGCTTTGAAGCATCACTTGATGAAGTCAACAAGGTTAAGGTGCACTCTCAGCGCAAGGAAGCATCCTCCTCGACCTTCGTCGCTGACATTTCCATCGGCGGCATGACTTGTGGCTCGTGTTCAGGGGCTGTCACTCGAGGGCTTGAGGAGCTATCTTTTGTTACTGAAGTCTCGGTCAACCTCCTAACCCACAGTGGCAGAGTCGAGTTTGAGGGGCGTGAACACATTGACGATATCGTGGAGAAGATCGAAGACCTAGGTTACGATGCTTCGGTTAATAGTGTGGTTCCCCTGATACTGGACCGTGATGAAGCAGCCGTCGAAGAGAGGACCGTGTCCATCCATGTGGATGGTATGTTCTGTCATCATTGTCCCGAAAAGGTTATACAAGCTTTAACTGGACTCCCCGATGTGAAAGTCGATGGCAGCCTGTCTGTGAAAAACCCAATTCTGGCAGTTACTTATACGCCCAAGCCGCCTGCTCTCACAGTGAGGAAGATTCTCCAAACCATTGACACCGCGCATGATCTATTCACTGCCACCGTCTATCGTCCCCCAAGCATCGAGGACCGGTCACGGGCCATGCAGCGGCACGAAAGACGTCGACTGCTTACCCGTTTTCTCTTCGTTCTGGTCGTGGCGATTCCCACATTTCTCCTTGGTATCGTGTTCATGAGCCTAGTGCCGTCAAGGAACAAAGTTCGCAAATTCCTGGAAGAACCGATGTGGGCTGGTGATGCCTCGCGCCTTGAATGGGCCCTTTTCATCATGACCACGCCAGTCATGTTCTACGGCGCCGATATCTTCCACGTGCGAGCGATGAAGGAGATCTATTCCCTGTGGCGTCCTGGAAGTCGTGCCCCGGTTCTGCGCAGGTTTTACCGGTTTGGCAGCATGAATCTCCTCATTTCCGCTGGAACAACGGTCGCGTATGTCTCATCGTTGGCTGTTCTGATCATGGATGCAGCTATGGAATCAACGTCTAGCACACACAGCTCAACTTATTTCGACACTGTCGTATTTCTCACCATGTTCATTCTTGCTGGACGGTTTATGGAAGCATACAGCAAGGCGAAGACCGGCGATGCGGTCGCATCTCTTGGAAAGTTGCGGCCGACAGAGGCCTTGTTAAGGGTCAACGCAAGTGATGCAGATGAATCCGGTGACTGTGATCGGCTCGCGGAGGATGGGTATGAGCGGATCAACATCGACCTGTTGGAGGTTGGCGACGTGGTCAGCATACCCCATGGTGCCTCGCCCCCGGCAGATGGCGTGGTCGTTGGAACCGGCTCTTATCGATTCGATGAAAGCTCTTTGACCGGAGAATCCAGACCGGTCAGCAAGTCAGCAGGTGACCAAGTCTTTACAGGGTCTGTGAACGTTGGACAACCAGTCGAGGTCAAGGTCTCGGCAATTGGGGGATCGTCCATGTTAGATCAGATCATCTCGGTGGTGCGAGAAGGTCAGAGCAGACGTGCCCCTCTAGAGAGAGTCGCAGATTTGCTCACTTCGCACTTTGTTCCGATCATCACCCTGATTGCAATTTTGACGTTCGTCATTTGGCTCGCTCTCGGACATTCTGGAACACTGCCCTATGATTACCTTGACGTCTCACGCGGCGGTTGGACTTTCTGGAGCCTTGAATTTGCAATTGCAGTCTTTGTCGTGGCCTGTCCCTGTGGTCTAGCACTCGCCGCACCAACTGCACTTTTCGTCGGTGGTGGGCTGGCTGCTCGGCAAGGCATCTTGGTCAAAGGAGGAGGCGAGGCCTTCCAAGAAGCGAGCCGCCTCGATGCCATTGTGTTCGATAAGACGGGGACTCTCACAGAGGGCGGTAGTCTGCAGGTTTCCGATCACGAAGCAATCACTACGGATGCCCGCATGATGCAGGTGGCCTGGACACTTGCCCGAAAGCTCGAGGAAAGTAGCAATCATCCAATCGCCCGGGCGATCACTACATTCTGTAGAGAGAAGCCCTCGGTCACGGTAAGCAGTTCAGACATTGAAGAGATATCCGGTCAAGGAATGAAAGGAGTGTTCACCCTGTCAGTGGGAGATCCCAGTGAAAAATCTGACCCGGCAGTTCACTATGAAGCTGCTATTGGCAACCAGCATCTTTTGCAGAGCCTGGCGACCGATGATGATGACGGCCACCTTTCCAAAGTTCTCTCGAAATACCAAGCAGCCGGCAAATCCACTGCGATATTGGCGCTCCGCCGAGTGGATTCCAATGCCACGAACAACCCTTCCTTTTCCACCGCAGTTGTCTTTGCAATCTCTGACTCTATCCGACCCGATGCTGCAGAGGTGATCTCGAAGCTCCAGAAGCGCAAAGTTAACGTGTTCATGTGCACGGGCGACAACCAAACAACTGCATACGCCGTCGCAGACATGGTAGGCATCCCCCATGCCAACGTCATGGCGAACGTGATGCCCGGAGGAAAAGCGGATTTTGTTCGTCAAGTCCAAGACGGCAATTTCACCCCTCGAACGGATTCCGAAGCTGAAAGCCAGCGTACCGAAAACGGCCCCCGATCCATCGTCGCCTTCGTCGGGGACGGCGTGAACGACTCTCCCGCCCTTGCAGCAGCAGACGTGAGCATCGCCATGGCTTCGGGCTCCGATGTGGCCATGAACTCCGCCAGTTTTATTCTTCTAAACTCCGAACTCGACACAATCCTGCAGCTCGTCTTGCTCAGCCGTCGCGTCTTTAACCGCGTCAAATTGAACTTCGGTTGGGCGTTGGTATACAACTGCTGCCTGGTTCCTGTCGCCGCCGGTGTCTTCTATCCCATCGTGAGCGGTCACAAGCATGAGATGGTGGGAGATGCCATTGTCACGGTCAATACACACTGGAGACTTAGCCCCGTTTGGGCTGCATTGGCTATGGCTCTGAGCAGCATTTCGGTGGTTTGCAGCAGTCTTGCGTTGGGGCTTGATAAGAGGACGATTAACAAGTTGTTTCGTTTGCCGGAATAGGCGATTATGATTGTCACGAATTTTCTATACTATTCCTGTGTTCATCATTTCGTTATGGATATTTGGTATCTTGATTTGGAGGTTGGTTGGGCTGGGTATTTCGGGAATTGGGTTTTTATAACTTGGTTTCGATATATGTTTTTTTACTGTGGATATGAGCATGCCACCGCAGACATTTAATTCGTCCTGGTGATGATGAATGAATGTGATATCAGTATGGTGTTGTATTGAGATGATTGTATATTTTCATGCTTTCGAAAGTTGTACTGCTACTCGTATATAGCTCCAGAATGTGCAGGAAGTGTCTAATGTCAAGAAGTGGTTGGGCGTAGGCACTAGAGAATGATGGAGTTGGTGGATGACTTTGTTCAATCCAGCAAACTGCTTGGATTAGACGCTTAGATATTGTGGGGAGGATGAGAGGCCACGCCACACAACACGGATATCGGGAACATGAGCAAAGACATAGATATGTGACTGGAGAGAAATACCACAAAATAGAAATTTGGTACTTGACGACACTATCCGTATACCTTATATTGCTGCTTATTATATAGTTGTGGAAGATTTGGAGTATTCTTTCGCCTATCTAGGAATTGTGGAATATCGTACACATCGAGTTAAACCTGGTGATCCACCAGACAAGCATCTCACACCATAAATTACTACATGTGGCGATGGTTCCCACTGTATGATTCTCTTCTGCCCACGGTCTCATATGAGCGTAAATTTCTCAATCTGAACTAACCATCCTCGCCCCACACCTCTGCGATCTTCTTGCTCAGAACCTTGGCGATCTTCTTCCTGCCCACGAGCGTTTGCATTCGATCGGAAACCATATTCTCCCGGTCTTTGGGATCGAGTTCTTCAAAAGCTCGGATGAATGCCTGCGGGGTCGGCCAGCGTCGTTGGATCTCGATAGCTTTTTCTCCCGTCACACCTCGGATGCACATGAGCATTTTGAGGAATACGTCGCGGAGGGTGAGGACGTCGGATTTGGAGGTCAGAGCGGAGAAGGTGGTGAAGGTAACGGCGTATGTGACTGTGGGGTTCTCTGCTCGGTGACGTTCAAGGGTGTTGAGGTATGATTGGGAGGAGGATAGCTGGCGACTGGGGATGAGGCTGAGCGTGTTGGAGGGGGTTTCACCTGGGGAGGAGCTGAACATTTTGCGCAGGAGGAAAGTCATTCGCGCTAGGTAGCGGATTGAATCGTCGAGGTTTTTGGTTCTCTTGACAAAATAGCCGTTGACGACCTGCGTCGAGGCAATGGCGGAGGCTACCATTTCGTTATATTTGGATGCCATGACGCTGTTGACGTCTTGCGTGACGTTAAATTCTTCGATGAGGTAGATGACGTTTTTCACGCCTGAGCGGCGAAGACGGAATTTTTGCTCGTGGAATCTTCCGTCTTTCATGGACCCGATGAGGTCGTCGAGTCTCTTTCGCTCGACGATCCAGTCTAGCATGATCTCGTCGCCTTCCTCTCCGTATTGGGATAGGAAGGCTGGGTTGTGGAATTTGGCAACCCACATGGCGTCACCTAGCTCGAGTGCGCGCACGTCGAGAGAAACTCCCTTCTTGCTTAGTTCATTGGAAATGTAATCTCTGTCCTTGGATGACCGGACTTCACGCACATCCAGAACCAGCTGGACTGTGAAGCTGTCAGATGGGATGGTAATGGGAGTGACTGTTCCATCATTGAGTAGTTCTCCTTGCACATTTCGGTGGACTTGAGGCGCCTCATCAACATTAAGTACTTCCCGGTGGAGAGCTCCTGGGACAGCAGTACTGTTACCACCAGCATCGTGTTGAGACTGAGAATCATCAGCACCGCTTGTACGCATGCCCTGTGCACGTCAGATACCGTTGCAACATGATGTACACAGGTCTTACCGCTTGACTTCCAAAAGTTAATATGCCTTGGTCTGATGACGAAGCAACCTTTTTCATCCTCTTCGCGATCTCCCAGCCCTCCTCTGTGAGCGCATATTTCTTCAGAGGGCGTCCAAAATCATACACAAATTCTTTCTGCAATAATGTCTTCATGGAGCTCCAAGCTGTGTGGAACTTCGATGTGTCGCTAGGAGCCGTGAACGAACTGTCACAGTTTGGCTGTGCTATCTCAATCAGTTGAGATTTGGTTAGACCTTGAGAAGAGTTCTCGTCGAGCGTTGCAAGGGCCAGAATCAATGCATATGGTCCAGACCGTAGGGTAGGCACATAAGGTTTAGCCTTTCGTGGCTTCTTTGCTGGCTGGCTTTCTGTTGTTCCTCCGCCGGATGGCCTTTTGCTGTTTGCGGCTACGGTTTTTAGCACCTGTTCAGCGACATCAAGAATACAGTTACTCACACTTCTGGGGATGCTCAGGCATTGGGAGCCCATTTTCTTCACAGTAGGCTTTGAGCTTCTCGGTCAGCCGATCGCATAGTTTGGGACCAAGTCCATTTAGTTGCTGGGCCTCGGACGGGTGTTGGAAGACCAAGGGACAAGCTTTCATCGAATCGTATGCTTTTTTATATCTGCAAGACGTTTAGGATCTGCTCTGCTTGCCAGAGTGTATAGTCTGAGTATACTAACACGATGGCGCCCTTGCTGTTCCGTTCTCGAGCCTGGTCTAGCCATTCTTTGATCCACTCCAGCAGTAGGGGGTTTGCACACATTTCCCTCATGATTCCGTGGTTATACCCATGGGTATAGAGGTAGTATCAGGGTATCAGGCAAAAGATACTATGTTCAGCCCTGCTTTCGCCGACAATGAGAGATGGGGCTGTGTTCTAGGTTTGGGAGGGGAAGTTTGAATCTACTTGGTCTGGAACGCGGCTTCGGGACGCATCAGACGCGTATTTCCTATTTAGGTAGTATTTCTTGTGTGGCTGTTCTGTGGCATGACTGTGGCGGTGCAGAATACAATACGGGCTTCTAATTGGCCGAAGGCCCTAGTATATGGACGGGTTGGCGAGATTACTACCTAGTGGCATCGACTATCATTAGCGTAAGGAGAACAGCGAGGATATATGGAGAAACAAGCGCCTGATACGATTAGCCCTGAGTTGGAAAGATCGCGATCGCAAAATGTGGGACGCAGGAACTGATTGTTCGCCGCCCTGAGGTTCCAGCCTTTTGGGCGAACCGGTTCGTGACGACACAAGAATGACGTATGGTCTACCCCGGTCTTCGAGGGACCTTCAAAATGCTTCTTCTTTTCCATCCTTTTACCCATGGTCTGGTTGGAATTTATGCATTAATTTAATATTTCATCCAGCATGTCACGAAGGGACCCATTAAATTCCGCCGAGCCAGTTTCGTACAGCTCGAAGACCAGCGGCAATGATATCATCGCAGCGGATCGCACCACCACCGAGATCAGTGGTCCAACGGACAGCCACGTCCTCTCTCAAGTAGACCAGGATGAGAAAGGTCTGGCTCAGAAGGCTGGTGAGACCGACACCATTACGGACGTGGGCTGGGATCAACCCCCAGACGAACTCGAGGAGAAGCTCGTGTCTGGACTCTCAAATGAAGATCTTTGGATGCTTATTCGACGGTTCAACAAGGTATGAAATCTCGCTATGTTCATGCTAGGATATATAGATATCTAATGTATGGCAGCAAATATATTATGTGAAAGCAGTGCCGGATCCTCCTTTACAACGACTGGACCTCAACCGGGCAGAAGATGAGCAATTCTCCCCTGACAAATTGCGCGCGACCCTTGAACGATTTTACACAACCATTGTCGTGTCGTTAACTGCATTCGTCAAACATATTGCCAGGATACGCTCGTGGAGGGAGCAGCAAAGGACTTCAGCATTCTGTGTTGTAGGTTATATATTTGGGAAATCTTTGGTCTGTGAACTCGATTGACTGGCGTACGATTACAGGTTTACTTCGTTGCATGGGCCTTGGATCTTCTTGCCCCTACCTTCTTCAGCCTTCTTATCGTTTTGGTCGTAAGCCCTGAGTCCAGGTCATTCTTGTTCCCACCTGCTCCTATTGCATTAGTGGACAAGGACACAGGTGGCGTACAAAAGCCAAAGGCCGGTGTATTGGGGTCACATGATAGTGTTACCGGGGCGCCTGAGAACATGAAGGGTGAAGCAGCCGAGCAAGAGGCTAGTAATTTAATCACAAGCGTTGCTAGTGTCGCTGTAGGTAGCGTGGCTGGCAAACATGACCAGGGAACGCCTGAGGACGCTCCTATCGAGTCATCTGTTCCAGATGCGATGGAAATTGCTACCAATGCGGCAGACGCACAGACAGCTGCTCATGGAGAAGCCACGGATGAGACTCACGATAAAACCAGGCAACCTATGAGAGACACCGTCTACAACGCTGCTAACCGATCAATGCGCGTCTTGAGCGACATCATTGATACGTACGAAAGGCTTGGAAAGTATGTACACCACCCCCGCAATGAAAGCCAAGATCCAGACTTCTGACTCGCTGATGATAGTGCCCTGTCACCGACCACACCCTTCTCAATTGTGACGCCTTACATCCGCCTAACAATGGTGCTCTCCGCTGCCTTCCTGGTCTCACTCATCACCTCCAGTTACGTCTTCGTCAAAATGAACACGTTCGGAGTGGGATTCGCGTTCTTCGGAGACCCGATTATCAGACGTGCCGTGGACTACTTGAACAAAGAATATCCCCGGTGGGAGAGACTTCTCGAACTACAAAAGTAGGACCATCAGACCTTGTCACCTTACAATCTACTCTTCGGTGCTAATCATCCAGCAGCTCTCTTCTGAAGGGAATCCCCACCAACGCACAGCTCACCCTAACCCTTCTCCGCATCGGCGAAGCAAACGGCGCTCCCCTCCCCCCTCCTCCATCCCACTCACTCCACCAAACCCCCCTCCACCCTGCCCCAGTCGATGACAAGGATATCAACATCGAAGCCTCCCAAGAAGAAGTCAACCAAGCCATCGCCCCTTCACCCGAACTCATCGAAGAACAGGAATCACACCCAGAACCCCACAAAAAAGGCTTCGTCAACCGCATGATCGGTTTCTTCCGCGGCACTACAGCCACCGGCATCGAAAGCAAGTTGGCCGTTGACCGGGCCCGCGCTGCCGCCGGTTCCAAACGCGCCAAAGGCCGAGTCGGCGTACTCCGCAGAAAGGGACAGATCACACTACCCTCAGGCCCCATCCAATACGACGGCCGATACAAAGGCAAGCGAGGAGTTGTGGTTATCGACCAATCCCAAAAACCACCGCTCCTTTACTTCACGACCGACCAAACTGTGCAATTGGACCGACCGAGTCTGGAAAATAGACCAAAAGGAACAGTGCTTTTCAAGATGCCTGTGACTGATATCCGGGAGATGAGGAAGATCGGCGGGCTCGGGTGGAAAGGGAAATTGGTCACGGGGTGGGCTGTGGGTGGTAAAGAGGTGGTAGATGGATTGGTGCTTACTGGGGCGTTGCCGGAACAGAATTATCAACTTACAGCTATGAAGACTCGCAATCAGTTGTTTAATCGGCTGGTTGCGATCGATGGACAGGTTTGGGAGAGTTATTGATTTTGTTGTGGACGTGTTGGCTAAGGTATTTTCAGGTCTGGAAATAGTAAGTCGGTCTATGGAGATAACGGAGGTGGAGATGGGAATTGGGCTTTTGTCATCAGGGCGTCTGGTTAATGATGGGTATAGGAATGTGAACATATGATACTAGCAATTTGTATAATATCACTGATGATTTCTTATGTGAATGTTGACGAGTCTTGAAGTTCAGGTCTATCATAAAGAGGAATCTACCCACAGGGTAAAAGCGTAGGACATAATCTGACTGGAATGTTTATTGCTGCACCACATCCCGCTGGTAATCCCTAACGGCTTGTTCAAACGACGAGTCGCGTTTGAATCCCAGCGAAATAGCCTGGGAGTTGTCGAAGCGCGTAGGCCAGGACTCGAGAATCGGCCTGAGAGTCGGGTCCTCCTCCTCTTTCAAGAAAGCGAGCTTGTCATTGCCTGCAACCTTCTCCAAAGCATCCATCATGTCCTGGATCGTAACACAGATGCCGGGCACGTTAATCTGCCGGATGTGAGGAGGCAGCGCATCTGCCGGTAACGATAGCGTATGGATCAGATTGTGAACAAGTGTCTTGGGCGAGCATAGCCATGATTTGAATGACCGGTCCTTGAGCGGAATGATACACTCCTTGCCATCCAGCGGCTCACGGATCATCCCGGAGAGGAAAGACGAAGCAGCTGCCGTCGGGCGACCTGGACGCACGGAAATAGTAGGGAACCGAAGAACAAAGCCGGAGATGAAGCCGCGTCTGGTATACTCGTTGATCAAGGTCTCACAGATTATCTTTTCGGCGCCGTAAGAGGACTGAGGAGTGGGGAGGACGCTATCGTTCACCACTTCGGGAAGTGGCTGGCCGTAGACAGCCTGGCTTGATGAATAGACCACCCGCACGCCGGGACAGGTTCTGCGGAGGGCCTCGAGCAAATTTCGTGTAGCGTCCACATTGACACTCATGCCTAGCTCAAAGTTGGCTTCTGACCCGGACGACATGATTCCGTGAAAGGCGTAGACGGCGTCGAGGGACTTGTCCACGACGGCATCCGCGCCTTTCAGCAAATCCGCTGTCACGGGTCGTGCATTCTGAGGGTATGTGACACCATTTGGAATGGGAGGCTCGTTGATATCAGTGAGAGTGACGATGTGGGATGAGTCGTTTAAAAGCTCTTTCGCCAGCAGCTGGCCGATGAACCCCGCAGCGCCTGTGATGAGAATGTGCATATTGACGCGCCAATCGAGAAACTTGAAGATTGGGAAATGGCAGTAAGTCAGTACAAAGGATCCGTCAGAGGCCCTATTAAACAGGTATTAGTGATGCGACCAGCTAGCTGTCCTAGTCGTGGGATGGCCTCGCATTAACTCCGAGGCTCAGACAGCTTGTGCTCCGCAGCCGGACTTGTCCCGGCGCCAACTTCTGGTCCATGACGTTGTTCCTCAGGAACTGCCGGCGGACAAGCTCAAGCTCGGAGCTTTCACATTTTGTTTAGGAGGTGGAGTCAAGATTCGATTTGTAGGCTCAAGCTCGTAGCCTGCTTTCGGATGCGTGCAGTGTTTGCCACCGATGTTCTCCGGCACGAAGGAGGAAAGGGGTAGAGTTGCAATATCGTAATGTATACCACTAAGGGGTTTTTGCGAGAACAAGCAATTCCCCATATCTTTCCATGGGTTGAGAGGGTTGAGATACCCAGGCAGACATGCCGACCGTGGGGTGAATTGTGACGGTCGGAGGCAATTCAACCGTGGATCTGGCGGTGCCCCGCAGCATTTCCCCGGATCCCGTGCCTGCGCGGTTTGGAGAGAAAACAGCGAGTCTCATCATCAGATCAATTGAAATCTGCCGGACATCATTTAGTCGCGGTATACAATATCTAGAAGCAACGGAGATCAATCTATTGAAGAATTGGTCCAGCTCGATTACACGTTGGATGGATAGTAGCGATGAGATGAATGTCAACCGGCCATGGCTTCTGGTCTGGAACTCAAAGCGGCGCCAAATGAAGCGGGGTTCGCCCGCATCGCCAATTCCCTGGCAGTTGTGCTCATCCCACCCTTCCATCATCGCCGAATTTTCTTCCTCCGCATCTTTGCCTCCCTAAAGAGTGGCTATTGTTTGTTCCGCAAAATCAGCCCGCAGACAAGCAGGCAAGACAAGTTACTAGGTTGACATTGATCCATCTAACTTTGCTTGTCTCCACCGCCGTATCATATTGGCTGCATGATGCCGGAGCATCCCCGATCGGAGCCTAGCCTATGATCGAGTAATCATGAAGCGTTCTTCATATGATGCCGACCTAGAGTCACCGCGGCCACATGAGCGCCGCCCTTCTCTCGTCCTTGATGGACGCCCGGCGCCGCCCAAAATTTCCAAGGCCCGTGCCTGTGAGTACTCCTCGACCGAACCGCAACCGAGGCTCAAAAAAGTCGGATCGAGGGCATGATCAGACAACAGCGGAACTAGATACTAACTTTCAAAATATGCAGGTGCAGAATGCAAGCGTCACAAGATACGCTGCGAGTTCAAAAAAGGCGAGACGAGCTGCACAAAGTGCATCCGCAGCGGGATCAAATGTGTGATCAACGACTTCTCGCAGAAGTTTGTTGACGACGATGTGATGTGGGTCCCTATATCCATGCTTATCCAAGGACAATACGGGCGACAAGGGCTGACCTCGACTGTTGCCTTGTCTCAGGTGGAAAGCACAAGCATCGGCCACATTACAACAGCTTCAAGCGGCGGTCTCACACCTTTTACATCAGGGAGGCCTACCGGACCTCTCGACATACATCACTGGAGATAGCCAGAGTGGGCCCAGTCCAGTTGCAACCCAGCCCGAGCGCCGTCTCTCATCCGAAACATCGCCTCCTGATGTGAAACCCAACGAGCCGGGGATTGTCATGGATGTAACAAGAGAGCCTTCGCAGGAACCCGATCTACAAGACCGAGAGCTGGTGCCAGCGCCAATGCGCAGCCTGTACGAGGTCACCAAACTTCGCAACCTGCGCAACAATCCTATTGAACAACCCAAGCTGACCCTTCTGGAGGAGGACTTCATATCTAGAGGGCTGATCTCGCTTCATGAAGCTGAAGAACTTTTTGCCTATTTTAGTAGGACAATGAACCAACTTCTCTGGGGAGGGATCGTCTTAGTACATCGTGATCTCACCTCAGTTCGTCGGGCCTCGACATTACTGTCCGCGGCTGTTTTAACAGTCGCCGCGCTTCACATACCGAATCGGACAGAGACGCTAAATCGTTGTTACAGTGAATACGTATCGCTTGTATCGAGTATGTCTTTAACGCGGGCGCACACTCTCGATGATATCCGCGCTCTCTGTGTTGGAGCATTCTGGTTATCAGAACTGAGTTGGAAACTATCCGGGCATGCCGTTCGTATCGCTACCGAATTGGGACTTCACCAAAGCTATCATAAGATGATGCGCGGCCATAATGATCAATATGAGCGGGCACAGCTCTGGTATCTTCTGTATGTGTGTGACCACCACTTTAGCATCGCCTATGGCCGGCCGCCAGTCATTCATGAGGACGCAGCAATCAAGAACTATGAGTCATTTCTCCAGTCACCCCTGGTAGTACCCGGAGACATTCGACTACTGGCGCAAGTAGCTCTGTTTATGATTCTGACTGAAGCGTATCGGACATTCGGAAGTGACACTGAACAGGCTCTCACAGAAGAAGACTTTGGGCAATTACGTGTCTACAATGTAGCTATAGACCAGTGGCGTCTTTTGTGGCAACCAAGATCTGGTAAGTATACTCCGGCAATTTTGGCACCGCCGTGGCGCTGTATCATAAATCTGACCCATGTGTCCACTGCAATACAGCTGATAGCCCCTACGTGCGGACGTATCCCTCGAAAGGCGTTGTACTTCACTACCATTTCGCCAAGTTCCAACTCAATTCCCTCTCTCTACGAGCCCTGTCACCTTCAAACACCCCCGTGTTCTCTATGGACCGCAAAGAATCGGCGAATATTGCCATCTCATCCGCTATGGCTTGTTTGAATATGGTCTTGGAAGAGCCGGATATCCGCGATGCCATTGTCGGAGTCCCCATTTTTACCCACACAATGGTCACATTCTCTGCTGTGTTCCTTCTGAAAGTCGCAGTGAACTGGAATTCTGCCTACCTCAGCCTTGATGGCCGCCAGGTACGACGTCTGGTGGAAAGAGTGATTGAGCTGCTCAACTGTGTCTCAGCCGGGGAAAGACATCTCACAAGACATATAGCCCGGGGCCTTGGCAAGATGTTAGAACGCTTCGACTCTTGGGATGCATGGCAGGCGGGGGGGCCTACTGCTGCTGCACCTGGGACGGTCGAGCGACCAGGTAGTGATGTGCCTGGTGGTGCCAATGCTATGGCTCAGGGATTTCCCCCTCCGGATCTGATATATGACATGGTTGGAACGTACGGATTTGGACTGGACGAGAATCTACTGGACCCTAGCATGGCTAGTTTTGAGTTTTTAGCACAATGATCTACGCTCGATATTCCGATGCGTGAAAGTCGAACGACCAAATTTATAATAGCATGGGTGTAATTGGGAACTATGGGCAAGTATTAGTTGTCCCAATGAATATGGCTTTGCTATGGAGATCACGACGCTTCCATATCTGCCTCGTCCCCGCTCGGAATATCGTAGTCGGTCGTGGAGAAGGCTCGCGTGCGTCCCCGTCTATGTTTCCGGGCCTTTCTGGTGACCATCCGTGTGAGGATGACTTTTACCTGCTCGAGGGTGTATCCGAGCTCGGCTTTGATTGCCGCTCTGACCTCATTTTCCAGCTGCATTTTCCGTCTCTCTTCCTCAAGCAGACGATGCTGCTCGGCTAACTTATACTCCTCAATGGCTGCAATCCGAATTCTATTCTCCTGGTTGGTGCGTTCCTGTTCTTCAAGCCTTCGCCGAGCCTCTTCATCGCCGAGCTCCTTCTTGATTCGCTCTCGCCTTTCCTTCTCCTCCGCCTCCTTCTCCAACGCTTCCAACCTCTTTTCCCGCAACGCTGCTTTGACTTCATTTTCCCTCTTGGCAGATAGCTCTGCTTCTTCGAGCCTCTGTAGCTTGAGTTGCTCCTCTGTTTGGCGTTTTGCCTCCGTGCGCGCCTTCTTCTCGAATCTCTCCAGTCTCCTCAGCCGCTCATCGATTTCATCCTCATACCATTCCTCTTCCTCTCTCTGGTATCGGCCTTTGCTGGCATCCCTCCGCCGTATCAACTCTCTCTCCAGCCGGTTGATTTCTTGCTGATGTTTGGCTATCTCGAGATCCTGCCTCTCATCATTCATTTCCATAAAGCGCTGGTCTATCAGCAAATCATAATCCCGACGAGGAGGTGTTGTGTCACGTTGAGTGCTAATATTTGCTCGAGGCCGCCGGTGGTAGTGGACAATTTCCGCGTAATCGGACTCGGAGTTGTCAGATGATTGCATCTCAATGGGGCGACTACCCATAGACATAGGCCGGGGCCCTGTGGTAGATCGTCCAGGGGCAGGTTGGGATGATATGATCCTTGAACGGAGATTTCGTCGACGGGACTGATCTTTTGTGTATCCAGGTGGCATTTTCATTGCTCCGAAAGTCTCCTGGCTGCGATCAATCCTTGGACCTAGACCTTTGGTGTCCGATAGTCTGGACGCGGACTCCATTTTCACAAAAGGCGGCGCGGATCGAGCCCCTATTCCACGGGCACGGAGTTATGTTGAGACTCAAGTCGAAGAGCAGGATGCTTGGTGGAGCATCTGAGCATTCAGCTTTGAGCAGGTGCAGCACGGACAAGCAGCGAAGGCCGCACGGATACTTTGGCAGCCTGGCTGGAGTTGCAGGTACCCCCCTCGGCTGGGGGCCAGTATCTGCTAGACTTACGGTCTCAGCCTCGCTCAAACGCCCATTGAAGTACCAGTCTAATGTGTTGATGACGTGGCGAGGGGTGCACCTAGTGCTGACATGCATATTCACATCGAATCAGAAGGTTGAGTGGACCGGCTCCCCCACCAGTGCTTCTCTTCACAGCTACAGGCTCTCCATGTTCGTCTTTTTCCTTTTACCTTAAATAATTCTGTTACCATTGTTTTGTTCGACTCAATTCTGCTATACAGCCTTAGTCTACCTTTGCAGTTCCCTTGACTATTGTTCGCCATGGCACTCTCACGGGGCTTTTCCGTCGCTTTCCCGAGCTTCAGATTGGCTTTGCCCCTTTGCCATCCCAAGTATTTTGAGGAGAGATGCGAGCACCTGAATCAAAGCCATTAACGGCGGATATTGTGACAGAAGTACCAATGCGTCCTGGGCAGGGTCTACCTCCCTAACTACCAACCCTTCACCTTTCGCTCTGGGGAATTGACTCGCTTCCGCTGAAGGTGTAGGGATTTTCGCTGGAATTCCAGGTGCCCGCAGGTCATCCTGGTCATCGGTTAATGGCACTCGGAAGGTATATACAGCATTTCCTAGTTTCGAATCTCCAGGGTCGATTGGATTGCCGGCATCGTGGTACTCTGGAGTAGCTACTAATGTTGTCGAAGAAGAGGATTCCGAGGCCGACGATCGGATTGTTTTGGGATATCGAGTAGAATCACCTAACGTAGGCGAAAGTTCCGCCAGCTCCCTCACAACTGTGTCTTCAGGCACACTCACAATACGTTCTGTATTGAGTGATGCTGCTATAGAAGCTGCCTCATTGCTCTCCGAGAAGGATAGGGGTAGGGCCGTGGGAATCTGCACCGGGATATGCAGGTAATTCTCCCTCTCCATGGCAATATGCAGATCCTGTGCCAGGATATCGAGCCGGCGGTATGTAAGCTGGTCACCTCTCTGCGGACGGACTAGTATATCACTGGATCCCTGGTTCTTCTCATGAGGGGGTGGAAATCGCAATTGTCGGAACTTGTCCTTGAACCGGTCCCTGCTTCTTTGTAGCCTCCCTTTGATGTCAACCCGCATGATGAATGGCTCCTCGCCGTGTTGAAAAGCGAAGGCAGTATGGATCATGTTGTTATGGATGGACTGGCAGTCCAGGTCATTCTCCCGGAGCTCCCATTTCAGCGTCCTGTATGCCAGATCTGTCTTCTGTGCAGTATGCAGATGACCCGTGAATGTCCAGCGATTCTCGTGGGTGATCGACTTTTCCCTGTCGACGCCGATGCCGCCGCCGCCGCTCCCGAGCACGTTGATCTGGGGTGTAAGATGCAGGACTGTCTTCTTGACGACATCCTTTGGCTCCCCGCTCAGATATTTCGGCCCGTAGTGGTCAATGAATTGGAGCTGGGGCGATGCTCTTTCACCTCGGCTGCTTGTACGAGCCGAATCGGGGCGCCTTTGCAGGGTGATCTCTACCGTGGCACTCGAAAGCCTGCAATCGGCGGATTGAACGAATGAAAGGTCCATGTACACGATGCCCGCTGGACTCGAAGCCTCTCCCAAGCACCCCCATTTCGATTGAGATACTCGAAATCGGCAGTCGGTCCGCACTTTCCCAAACTTTCGGTGGCATACGCTGGCATGGGAGAGATCGTCAAACCCATAATATTTGCGGCCAAAACGTCGCGAGTACGTGGGCCGAGTTTCTTGGCCACTGGAGGTCAGGGTGTCTGGGGTCGCTAGGGACATGATCTGAGTGATGAGAGCAGGATGCCATCTTCCTTCCCCCCGCGAGTCGTGAGTGAGACAAATTAATAGTACTGGGAAAAGGGCGACACAGCCACGGGAGGGGTGCCAAGCCCGGCAAGAGGAGCACCAATGCAGTGCCCCCGCGAGACGAGGCTGAGGTGAGAACAGAACACGATGCCTGCTCCTCTCCGCCATCAGAGAAACTCCGGCGAACATGCAGAATCTGTGGCCAAGGGCCTCTTCCCCCCGCAGGGGGCAGGCCGAAGAGCGATCCAAGAGGTTCGACCGCCTGATCTGGGATGATGAACAGGATATTCCTGGAGGCGCTCATGGCGCTCTTGTTCTGAGAGGGCAACCTCATCGCCCCGGAGAAGCGCCCGCCTCGAGTGGTACTGCTGCAGTGGGGAACATCCCTCGGGCAGCTCCAGATAGCTCCTCCAGAAATTGGAACTGTGAGCCACCGAACGATGAGTCCACCACCTGGACTCCTTCTATGACAAAGGATACCACGATTCATTATGAGATGGACATTGTGGAGGATGTTGGATCTCACCTGGAGGAGTTTTCACATTTGAAGAGACTGGGCCATTTCCATGCAGCGGAACAGTACTTTCAGGACTCACTGAGCGATTTTATGGGTTTACCTCCAGTTGCCATCGAGTACGCAGACATGCTAGTTGAGCAGGGTGCATACAAGCGTCTGCACCATGTCCTATCACAACACCGTGGACTCCTGGGTTTAAAGGGTAGCTCGAAAATATTGCCATCGTCGCTGTTGCCAGAGAAGAACCCTTCCAGTTTCTTATATAGAGCCAACTTGCAGCTCATACAAGCCTTCTCGATGATCCAGTCCCAAGGACTGATGCAAGAGGCATACGAGACGGTCCGATCGTTAGAGCGCCCAATGCGTTCGCTAAGGCGTCGGCGAAGAACAGAGCCCACTCTGCCCCTGGATTCAGCCGAAGTAAGATCAATGGACAATCATTTCAAAAAGGAGTGCAACAAGGGCTAAGAATATAGGTAGATTCAAGTCATCCGGTACGCTCTCATGATCCTATCGCAAGTAGAATACGAAGCGAACCTGATCCCAGAACACGATTTCAACTTCTGGTCCAATTGGTGCTACTTGTACAAAGTTCTCGTGGCAGAGGGGCGAGTTTGGGATGCTCGAGACATAATAATAGCTTCGGTCCAGGCGGAAGGACCGGCAAGCGCCTGGAAATGGATCTTTGGCGTGGAGCTTGATTCCCCTGAAGCCTTCTCCAGACTATTGGCCGACTGGGACCTGCATCGGTATGATGAATCAACGTACCTCGCCATCTTGGATGTTCTAGTAAGCCTGAGTCATTGTCTCTCCTCATATTCGGTCTCAATACCGGAGAGAAAAGACCTACTCACGGCCCAGCGGTACCTCCAGCATGCGCAGGCCTTAGCAACCTGTCTCAAGGAGAACAGTGCGCAGATGGCCAATTCTCGTCCCTACATCCAGTGGGTTATCGCCGAAGCGGAGCTAGAGAGGAAACTCCTCTCCAGCGGCTCTGGCTCTGATCTGCGGTATCACCTTGGCATGTTTCCAGGCCTAACGCTGTGGAGAGGCGCCATTCCCGTTTATGTTCCAATCAAAACGGAGAATCCGACGTGGGCGGAATCCAAGGAAAGGGGACCAACCTACGATCTCCTCGAAACTGCCCTTCAGGCCTCACAGAGCCTAGAGGATTATAGGACAGAGGCATTGTGTTTGAGCGAGCTGATCTACCGGTCAGTGGAGGTGAGCAAATGGTTCACCCGGCTAGCCCACCTCCAGAAATCCATTCAAGGAGATATTCTCGGCTATCATCAGACCTCCCTATCACGATTTCTCCTTGTCCGTACTGACAAGGACAGCAAGGATCTTCTGGCAGAAATACAAAGCATCCTTGAACTGAGACATTTTATTACTCCTAACTATTCGCTTAGTGGCTGGTGTGCAGTCATCGTCGAGCGAGCCCTTTCTCACTCCGCTGGACAGGACATGTATCGTTCCGAAGAAGATTTCCGGGCCATTGTGGGAAGGTTTTTCCCTCATCTTCCGCAATACATCAAAGACCAGCTTGAATATCTGGGTCTCGATAGGATCTATAACCCAGTTTCAAAGACAGGAAAGCACCTTGAATCTGCCATGCGGCATCGCAGTGTGAGAAATTTCCCAATAGTCAGGAAAACTCGGCTAGACGACTACTCTGAGAGTACGAGCGATGAGGAAGATTACGGACCGTCAAACTCGTTGACCCCAGGGATACAGCGAGCGCGCCAGTTCGCACGAGCGGAAAGTGAGGATGACGAAAGCACCACCGAAGACAGCTTCGACACGGCCCGATCGGAGGATCCCAAGACGCGTGATATACAAGATGATGATGCATCGTCCATCCAGCGTCCTTCTTATAGTCCAAGTGAGGAGTCAATTCATGTCTCTTTGCTGCCCCCGCACTAACGAATCCACTTAGTTTCTAGGCGTGTGACAGTTGAAGACATCGCTGATATCGTATAAGAAAGTTGGCAAGGTTATAGTTTGCAGGAAAAGTTCAAACAATTGTAATATTCCACGATATCAAGTATGGTTTGCGTGGGCATATGAGGTAGAAGTCACCGGAAAGCTGTGTATGGCGGGGTCCCTTCTATAGCAAAGGCGCAGTTCATGGTCAGGGTCGAATTGTAATTGCGACTGATCATACTCTATGCTCCATTAAATATAGCAATAAAGGCAATGGAACTTACCATGAGCTACCCACTGTCATTGTTCCTCTTGGTTTCAATCCTGTAAAACAGCTAGGTGGTTGCTCAAGCCTGATACTTTCTCTCTTCTTCGTGATAACTGAACAAGTGAGAAGAAAATGTAAACATGTACATCATCATATGTTCCTTGCTGGTCAAGTGATAAGGCACGTGGTCTGCACCTCAATCTCTCCCTATATCTACCACCCCCCTCTTGCTTCCTCTTTTCCTTCCTCTTCTATCCCACTCAGCCCAGTACCATGAAGATTCATCAGTATTTACCACCTTTCATTTATATATAACTCTATTGGTCAAGCCCTGTGACCAGGAGACCTTAGTATATGTTACTCTTCTAGAGTAACAACAAGAGGATGTCTGTTCATATATATACTAGCTCCTCGTTCGATCCACGTCGGACACTCACAGGGCCCCACACTGTCTTTATCTTAATTTGGGGGAGATGTCTGTCGATAACCTAGTCCTGTTAGCTGGGTACTGTTTGAGACAGGCTCACTGGCAGGTGCTAAGACACCGTGGCAAATTTTACACCTTGGCACTTTCATCGGGAACCGTACGCCGGTTTATACCTCATCACTATGTAGGGGTCTCACTATCGGAGGTGCATTACACGCTGGGATGCATGGGGTATTCGCCTCCGGCTTGTTTACGCTCGATTTACTAGGGAGTATCTGCGGGCAATCTGAAGCAACGCTCTTCCCGCTAATCAGCATCATGTGGTTAAAAGGTCACCACATTTCAACCCACAACCCCGAATGAGCGGGTTACGGCCCTGAAAGCTGTAATGGGCTTACTAGGCTTTCTCGGTCTCGGGCCATACCAATGCCTACCTGATCATTGCCATTATGCCAGACATTCGCACCAATACTGTCGCATCGGTAGTAACCCAGCTACTGAACAACTACAGAGCCCTCGTGTGGCTATACACGGCTCCGAATCAAAGTTAGTTCTTCTATCTGTCGGTATTTGGCTCTTAGCTAACGCCTCAACTCTTAGATCGATGTCTCGTTTGGACTCCGGCTACCAGACCGCATGCATTTCCCCGAAAGGGATTGGGTACAATAAATCTGTGGAGGAAGGAAGGCATATCAAACGGTATGGGTCATCTCATATATGAAGCAATGGAAAGTTCTTACGGCCGGAAACAGTTGGCCGTGGTGGATGAGGGTGATGCTGCCAGCATGCTAACGAGCATCCCTAGAAAAGCTCCTAGCTAACCTATCTATGGGGCTTGGTGACGATATGCCGAATGATTCCAGATAAGATGCTCAACTATCCTCATGACACATTTCTCGGGATCTAGAACCCAACGTCATCGGCGATGAATTCTGAAACGATCCTTGAGTCCCAAAGAGTCGACCCGTTCTTGACCAAGTATCACTGTCAGGGACGAACTATGATATCCCAGAATATCTGTCCACCTGTAATATTCTGTAGTGGATTTGCTTCCGTGCTGCGGAACGCTGTTATATCGAAAGGGCCATGGTGACGAATACTGCCCTCAGATATCCTGATTTCTATCAAAGCGGCATTGGCAACAAGATCGAGAAATGATTCCGTCTACCAAAACGTCAGGATGCGAGCGTATGTCTGAGATACTGTGGACTCTTAGTGGAGTTTCTTAGCTTGTTTTATTCCCACATCCGACCATCTGCATTCTATCGATCAGTTGAAACGATTCCCAACCCCGACGCTCTCGTCAATGAAGCTCACTCCAGTCCATGTGTCACCGAGGCCAACTGAGAAACACCAGGAACCGCATTGTCAGCCAATAGTTTCCCCGTTTCATCAGGTGGTAGCTACAGAGGCTCCTGCTAGAGCAGAGCTACATGGAACCACAGAAGACACTCCTTGACACGACATGACCTGGAGGCCAGTCATTGGATGAACAGTATCCTCCGACGTATGCGTGAGGTAATGCAGGCGAAGAGTTTCTTTACCTATGGAATCTTGATTTGCCGGTTTTTGAAGACGGCGGATAGGAAGGGGCAGATACGTGGTAGCCTTGAACGGCTTTCGGCGAACGAACCAAACCATCGACCACTACGGGACATGGATAAGATTTGTGTAGGAATTATCGACCGTGTACTTTCTTCCCCAAATTTTCAGCGAAGACCACGCTGGGGTTCTCGGTGAGATGTTCGTTTGCTACTGCGTTAATCGAATTGTGTCATGAAACTGGGTTATCAACATATGGTTGTGGCGGAAGGAAAGTCTAAGGCAACGACATAACTCTTTAGCATATAACAAGGGGAAGGCAAGCCTAGACAAAGACGTCATTGGAAAGATGTTCTTTTTTTTACGCCTTGTCTAGATAGGTAGAACAAGTCCACCACTTGAGATTACCTCTAGGTCAACAAGACATACAAATGGAATACGTTATTCCAGGCTATGGATGATGGCGATTTTACGAACCACGTATCAACCCTAGAATTGAAATTAGAACGATCTGAGTACGTCCAGACATGGGGAGCATCAGAAACATTATCTCGGAGCAGTAACTACTTCCGAAGCTATACACAGTTCTTATATGATGATGTTTGAACTGTTTGCATTCCGAACAAACAGATTCATTACGTCAATCCCCACCAATGAGGCTACTCGAGATATAAAGTGGTATGCAAGCGTCCATAACCCCACCAGCTAAAGAACAATTGACCCATATTGTTTGGTCGAGATGAGAGGAATGCAAACATCAGGTCGGTGATCTGATCTGAGCAAGGGATCCGAGCGATCCGGATGTAGAGGTATTAAAGTTCGAGTGAATTCTGTTCCTGTTGTGTAGAACTTGGGAGGTCTAGTAAGGACCGTTGGATAAAAGAAGCAACACTCGGCGGAGCTACACCCAGTGACCTACATACTCAACATGGCATCGACCACCACACGGCCAGTAGTGGCCATTGCAGGGGCTACTGGCCATCTCGGAAAGCACGTGGCCTCGGCTTTCCTCTCCTCTCATTTCAGCAGTCGTTTCTCGGAAATCGTTCTCCTCTCGCGGCAAGGCGCACAACCAGATGTCGCTGGTCCAGCTACCGATATCAAGCTCACGGTGCGACAATATGACGAGGACAATCTTGTCGATGCGCTCAAAGGCGTCCACATCCTCGTGAACACCGTGGGAGCATCCGGCCACGCATTCAAAGAGAGGCTCCTCCGCGCTTTACCGCAAACCCAAGTGGAAGTATACTTCCCATCCGAATTTGGCGTGGACCACTACGTGCACGACTTTCCGCATTTGGAGTGGGATCAGAAAAAGAGGCACGTTACCCTGGCACAACAGCTTATCCCTGGAACCAAAGTCTGTCGGGTGTTCTGCGGGCTATTTCTGGAAGACAGTATTGGGCCGTGGTTTGGGTTTGACACCAAGGATGGGAAGTATGAGAGTGTGGGCTCGTCGCAATCGCCCGTGTCATTTACCTCGCTTGGAGATGTTGGGAAAGCGGTTGCCTCGTTGGCTGCTTTGCCCAAGGAGCAGATCCCAGAGACGGTCCATGTTGCGGGGGATACGCGGTCTATCTCGGAGATTGCGTCGCTGATGGGCGAGGCAGGTGCTGGGCAGATCCAGGTGACGGAGATCGACCTCCAGCAGTATAAGGAGGAGGCCACGGCGAAGGAATCAAAAGATCCGGCTCGCTTTTTGCGGTTCTTGATGGGGGAGAATAGGATCAATCATACTGAGGCGGGATTGGGAAATGATGATGAGTTGGTGAACCCGGATCAGCGGGCATGGAAGTGGGAGACTCTGGTGGATTTGGCGAAGCAGACACATGGACAGCCTTGGAAGGACTTTGTATGGCCTCCTCAGTAGGAAGAATACTCGAGCGGGGGAGTTGGAGAGCGCCAGGGTGATTTAGGCTACCAAATTGACTCTATATGATCTTCGATGGCCGGTACCGGCAAAGAAGGACGGGTAATTCCCTCCAGTTGCCGCTGTGGGGGGAAACCCTGGTCTGTGCTTTCGAATTGCGTTTAGCCCCATGTAATGGTACGGAGTACGGTAAGGGCGGTAATACGGACGGGCAGGATTCCTGACATCATGATTATGCTGGCGGTTATCAGCTATTTCCACTGCGCGACAGCTTCCGGGCACAGCCTCGGGGATTCGGGGCCGTACCTGTCAGAAACATGCCTCCTCCCTCCTCCCCAGAGTGTCTGTGCGCGATTTCCCCATCCACTCAGCCAGGCACGATACTTGCTCCGTACGGAGTACGGAGTACACAAATACATTGTCGCGTAACATGGTGACCAAGTTACCATACCTTGTGCCCCAGTGCCTCCTTCCGTTCCCTGATCTGTCTCTTTCCTCTCTTCTGCGTCTCCTATCTCTCTTCACTCTCACTCTCACTCTCTTGACCGGTGGACTCTCCGACCAAGTGGGTTCAGTTGTCATTGAACACGGCCTGCATCATCACAATGATGCCACAAGGTATGGACGGGTCGACTCCGCCTCAGACCCATGGAAGGGATCATCGTCTTCCGGGACTGTTGCTACCCATGTGAGCTGAAGAGGCCTCATCGTCATGGCTGTGTACCCCCCTCAGCGATGCTACCTCCACGGCGTGTAGCCGCTTATGCCGACGGCCTGCTGCGACAGGAACGAGCGCCCGCGCAACTCCAGCTCTCGTTTCTTCTTCTGTCTAGCTCCCCAGCGCGGTCCCTTCGACTGCCACTGCGCGCTTTTCTGTCGCAGTGCAGCACCCATGTTTGGGGGACTGCTGACTCTCCGTCGCTGAAGTAATGCTCACTCATTCCGTCCTTCCCCCTTCCCTCACCTGCTGGGGGGGAGACAGTCCCGGCCCTGCCCTGCCCTGCCTGCCTGCCCTTTAATTTCTCCCTCTTCCCTCCCTCTCTTCCTCTCCCTGTCCTTCCTCCCTCCTCTCCTTTCCCTGTCGTTTCCCTCTCTTACTCTTACTATCCCTTCATTGCGCCTCTTGGCCTGGGACTCTCCTGATCACTGTCTACTTGCGCCATTGACCTGACATATTGCTTTTCCTCATAAGCACATCTTTAATCCATATTCCTACTACCCCAACGCGCCCTGAACCATGTCGACCCGTAAGAGAAAGCAGGAAGCTGAGGAAGAGGAGGAGCTTCAAGCTCTCCCCAGCGATGAGAGCGAAGAGGAAGAAGAGTAAGTGGTCTACTACATGTCTTCCTGATATGATGCGCGCAAATCGCGGCGCATTCTTTCTCGTCTCTATTCTCCTTCACTTCAAATATCATCTGTTTCGTTTCCATTTTTCTCTATGTTCACATCTTTGCGCACCATTCAATGACGCTTGTTTCCGCGCTTCATCGCATCACCTCTATCTTCATTGATGACCTGGAAGATGATGAATTGCTTCTTACTATTCTGGAATTGCATGGCTGACATGGTGCTTTCACAGATATGAGGACTCGGAAGTAGCCGAGAGTGAAGAAGACGAGGAGGAAGGTAGCGAGGAGGAAGAATTCGAAGAGGAAGAGGGCGAAGAAGAAGAACCCGAGGAGCAAGGTGAGCACACTATCGAGCCTTCGAGTGATTACATGCGTTAACGAACCATTTTTTTTTTCACTATTATTAGCCCCTCCTGCTTCCAAGAAGCGAAAGACGGCTCCCGCGCCCGAGGAAGAGGAAGAAGAAGAGGCTAAAGAAAACGGCGAAGGTGAGAATGGAGTAGACGAAGAGGATGAAGAAGAGCTCGAGGACGAGGAGGATGAAGAGGCCCCCGAGGACACAGCCAAGAGCAGCGCACCTGCTGCCGCGGCCACCAAGGCCAAGGGTAGCAAGATTCCTAAGGAGTCCGAGGCCGACGCTCTTGCAGAGGATGATGAGTAAAGACTTCCGGAGTGGCGTTATGATGACGAGATAGTATTGCGCTCTCGGGGTTGTCATCTCCCATGGATAATATTTCACATTATTTGCGGGGATATATAAAGAGATATATCTCCATATGCTAGGCTAGGGCGAATTTATTGCTATTACCCTCATTCCATCTACTATGCATAGGTGCAGCCACTCCCGCTTGTTCCACGACAGTCAAGTAAGGTACCAGACGATGATCAGATAAACACACATAGTAGTATCGACTCCGACAGCCGGCACGAGATGTACAAGTGAGTAGCTGAAGAGCGACTAGGCAACCGAACTACCCTATCAGAAGAGTACAGAGGAAGATCGCTCCATGCTCAAGAGCATCAACTTCAATCAGGGTATTAATGATAAAGCTTTGATAAGAAAGGAAACAGCAGAAAGAAGATAAAAATAAGATCACATGAAGGAAATAAAGAAAAAGGGAAGATAAAAATAAGGTAAGAAACGAACCCCGTACTCAAACAGATAGAAGTAGGACAAATCCAAGGAACATGTAAGAAGTAGTAAGAAATAGGTGAGTAGCAGACGCGTCAAAGTATAAGTGAGCTGGTCCTCGCCCCGTTCCTATCAACCTTTTACATTTTCTCGCTCCCACAAGCCCTTTTCTTTGATCTCTATCTCTATCTGGAATATGGGAGAGAAGAAAAGAAAACCAATCACTCAATTACGACCTCCCACCTAGATAGGTCAGGTTGCAGAGGAAGGGTTTCTTTGTCTGGGATCACTAATCAGGGATCTAGCCGTCACTGCCGCTGCTGCGGAATGTAGCACACAATTGGCAGTATTGGTGGGTGAGGTCCAGGACCGGTTGGGGGAGATTGGTGGCCTGGACGATACTGCGGACCTTGACGGCGCCTTCGTCTTCGATGAGTTTGCGGATCAGGAAGAGGAGGTCGGGAGAGAACTAGATTGGTGGGTGGGTGGGTTTGTGTTAGTTGATTTGCTGGAATTCCTGAGGGGGGAGGGGGGGAAAGGGGGCCGGGACATACCTCGGAGTACCAGCGATACTGCCAAGCGATAAGACGGATCAAGGCGCCTAGCATTCCTCTCGTGTCATTCTTCTTCTCGTACAACTTGAGAATACCCCGCATGGCTTTGGGGGAGAAGCGGATGGTCAGGCAGTGCTGATAGGCTTCGATGCCCTCGTCGAAGTGATGCAGGCGCTCAGCTAACTCGCCGAGGATTTCCCACTCCGTCGCGGATTTCTTATACTCGATGGCTTGTTGCCGGTACTGGGCCATTTCGGTGCGCCAGATGGTGTATATGCGGAGGTCTTCGTAGAGGACCATGAATAGGTTGTCGAGCCATCTCTCGCACAGGCGCTTGTTGCGGAACTGTGTGTAGGCTGAGTGTGAGGGGTCGGGCTGGAGGGGGGGAGGGAAACGTTAGTATGGATGGGGAGCCCTAGATGTGAGATGAATGGTGGATGGACTTACGTCTTCGTTGCCAGACTTGACGACTTCCGATGCCATTGATTGCTCTGGCTTCTCAATGGAGTGCTCTGGTTCCTCCTCGGTGCCGTTTGTGGCGCCCTCGGGGGTCGTACCATTCTCCTGCTCGTTGTTTCCATTGGGTCCGTCCGAGATGCTGGCGGACGAGGGTGTAGGTTTCGAAGTGGATTGCTGGCGTTCGACGCGGTATTCCTCTTCCATGACAAACACTTCACTGCGGATTTTCAGGAGTTGATCCCAACCGATTGCAGCCGCAATCTTGGTGAGGAGGTTGTACGCCTTGAGGAAGGTTCCCTGGTAGGAAGCGGCGTGGAGCCTCCGCAGAGACGGGTGGACGTAGTCATGGGGATCGCCCTGCTTCGGCTGTCCCTCGTCGATCTCGTCCAGCATACTCTCAGCGAGGATGGGAAGCATGATACGGGATGGCTGGGGCATGCGCGGTGTGTCCTTGTCCTGGTACGTGAACATGGGGCAAGAGTTGAGGGTTAGTAAGGCCAGGTCCCATTGCTCGAGACCGACGTAAACCTCGGCCAGACGTGCCCAGGTGCTGAATTCGCTGGGTGCAGCGGTCACGGCCCGCTTCGCGCACTCCAAAGCCATCTCTCCCTCGCCTTTGCTCTGACAGAAGGCGGCCTGGCAGTCAAGCAAGGCATAGTCCATGGGAACATCTTGCAAGGCGTCGAACATCAATCGCACCGCTTGGACTTCCTCGTCCGCCATGACGAGGACCCTGGCGAGGAGTGACGAGACCTCTACATCTCGTGTGCGAAGCTTCTCAAAAAGGTTGATACCGGAGGTGTAACGTCCTGTTGTTTGGATGTACTTCAGAAGGCCTGACGTAAGGTGGTTACTGACAGTATTCGGGACTTGTGTTTCGGGATCCGAGCTGAGCTGTCTGCCTATAAAACGATATCAGCATCAAGGGTGTGGCATTTGAGCATGGAAGCGCACCCAAGAAGAAGAGTCTCTCCGCAGCATCCAGGAACTTGTGCTCCATCTCGGTATTCGTCACCGGGTTGAACCGACGCACCCCAACGATCTTTCTGATCGCATCGCCGCCTCCATTGTCCGCGTACGAATAGGCTCGCAGGATACCGCACAGGAAAGTCTCCAGCCAAAGGGCTTCTGTCGCAACTCGCTTATCTCCGCGTTCATCGATGCAGTAGCTTTCCAGCGTACCGGGGATTTTGACCTCGACACGCATGTCCAGGTGGGAGAAGGCATTGTAGCAGCTGTTTATCCATTAACATTTCTGTGATCATAGACTCTCCCGGCCGGTATTCTAACCAATAGATTCCCGAAACCACTTTGTGTGTTTTGTCCAGCGGGGAGAAGGTGAGCGTATTTACATAGGCGGCTAAACTGGCGGAGGAAGAGGCATCGACGCCGGTGACATGGTGATAGACTCCGGTCTGTATCCGTCCCAGGGACAATTGAATTAGCCACTATCATCACATTGTCCAGCGTGCGCGCAGTTCCAGCGACGACGTACCTGTTGGTGGGCGTTGGTTTTTGGTTGCTTGACCAGATAAACCAAGTCGGGCGGACCTAATTCCCGGAGATTTTGGAGGGACTCGGAGCGTGCATCGACGGCGGCGTAGATGTTGTCCTCCTCCTCATAGATCCTGATTACACTCAGGGGTCAGTCACAGGCAATGATAGTGGGCCCCAATGCATTGGATAGCAAGTCACAGAACACGTAAACGAGGGGAAGGCATACTCGGGAACAGCTGGCGCGACCATGGCGCTGGCAGAGCGCAGACAGGAACTCAGAAGAGGTCACGGGGGTAGACCAAGTAATATCGGGAGCAAAAGGCGCATCCACGATCGGGAGAAGCGAAGACAAGAGGCGCAGCAGAGAGCGCAGGGTCGCTGGCTCGCCGGTCGTTCGTGACGGATGGCGGCGATCGATGAATGCCTGGCCGCTTCCTCAGGCACAGACCGGGCCCCAGGCACCCCGGCACCGCCTTTGCCCCTTTGGGCAATTCCCGCCCGCGCAACGCGTGTCGGTCACGGGCTCTAGACCGCGGGAGCTGCCAGCGGAGTGTTCCCCGTGCTTCCTAGGAAAGTTCTTGCTTAAATTCTTTCCCATCTCCACGCCAAACCGTCCAGGTCGGGCTTTCCCTTAGGTACGGGGCTCCTTCTCGTTGGTCCTGAGATGTGGTCGAGCAGGCCCGGATTCACTACCGCTGCCAGGGAGCTCGTTGCGCCCTGAATTAACCGGCATTATGTCCAGCTGGGTGGCGTTGAATATTGAACCAGACGAGGCGGTCGAAGAGGAGGTCGATGACACCAAGGAAATCCAGATCGAAGAGGCCCTGAAGCTTTATCAAAATGCCTTGAAGCTTCATTCTCAGGGTCCGCAGTTCTATGCTCAAGCCGCGGAAGCATATGATGCTCTACTGGAATCCGAAATATTCAAATATCCAGAGTCAATTTCCGACTATAAGCGAAATGCCTTCCAGGATCCCGAACTCCAGTATGATGACGCGGCAGGTGCTGGTGCGGCACAAGCCCTCGCGGAGTTTGATATCAGTGACTCCACTTCGAGCACTTTGATGCAAACTATCTACCTGTCTTATAAGAACCATGGGCAGTACGTCCTGGATGCGTTGCGCGCATCCCTACAGGGCGCTTCCAAGTCACCTGGTGCTGGAGAATCTCAGACGCAAGTCACCGAAAAAACAAGTGCAGCTTTGACGTCGTTCGCAGAGGCCCTGGAGCGCGACGACTCGGATCTGAACCTCTGGAGACAGAGCGCAAGACTTTGTAGTGCTTTGCAAAGCTACCGACTAACACGATACTGTCTCGAAAGCGTACTTGCAGACGACGACAACCGCCTAGAGGTTCGGACAGAGCAGTTAGGACTAGAAGAGACCTTTGCCGAGGAGCGCCTGCGCGGGGTGCTACGATCGCTGCTTGATAGACTCTCCTTGGCTCAGGTCCCATTGAAAAAGCCAAAGAGGGCTCTTCTCAAATTCCTGCAACGCCAGGCAGATCCTTATCCTTACCTCCCCATTCTTCCATTGGATCTAGAGGACACGAATCCGTCGAAGAACCCTCTGGCTTTACGGGGATCTCGTCATGAGATCAAGCCTGTGAGCCCCACATGGGCAGCTGTCGGCAAGTCCATACTCCAAAGGCTTGTTGAAGAAGACCTAGGTGCTTCGGAGACTAGGCCCGGAACTTCGATCGGTATATCTTTGCCAGCTCTTAGTCCTGAGATGAGGGCTATAGGATCTCAACGTCGAGCCTCGAATACACTGGTAAACGATATCAAATCGAGTCAACAGCAGGATGTTACCATGTCTGAAGAAACCCAACCGACTGTGAAGTCCGAATGTCCCGATGCCGTTGTGGAGCAAATCGATGACCATTCATCTATCGACCAGCGCGCCGAAAAGCAGCTCATGGAATCGCTAGAGATCCAGTCGACTCAGCCCCACAATCCCGGTAATCAACAGGAAACTGCAAATGCTGAAGAGGCGGATTTGAAGCCGCATCTGAGTGGACGAAAACGATCGTCTGCTTCGGCTGTAACGGAGGACCAGGCAGACCGTATACGAGCGAAAGCGAGGAGAACCCGTCTTCGTGAAGCTACTGAGGATGTTTCATTTCAAGCCGAAGAGGTCACTCTTGATTTGAACAAGTACTATGAGGACCGTCTTGAAGGGTTTACTCAAGCCGACGAATGGTTATTTGGTACTGCGGGTTCTTTGCTATCGAAGCTTGGGGTGGAAGATTTGGGAGTCATCGATGATTTGAGAAAGCAAGTTTGCTCTACCAACGAAAGCAATGACTCCGCAAATGCCATTCCTCCTGGGGACACAGGACACCTGCTAGCCCGGGATCTAATGGATATTATGAGAAATTGGGACGAAGCTAAATCACAAGTCATGCACCAGCCGGATAACCTTTCCACACTTCAGGATATTCGAGGTATGGGTAAATCTGGACTTGCGATTTTCCTAGAACACTCTAGGAAGTCGACCAGAAAATTAGGCATGAAGCAGGTCCTCTCCGGAGAAGATGAACTATACATGTTCCTCAGGACGGTAAATAATGGATGGTTTCATGTGCATGAAGTCTCCCTTTGCTGGCTTAAAACGCTTCTAATGCCGGACTTTGCGAGATGTGCGACCGATGACATGGTACCCCCGGACTGGCCGGTCCTGGAGTCGGCGTATACTCTTTACCAGTGGCCGGATGCCTTGAAAGAAACAGTGGTGCAACTTCTACTGCGTGAAGACGAACACATCTACAAGCACATGCGCGAACAGATCGATGAGCTTGAGAACCGGATTCTGTCCAGTGGTTCCGAGACCCCGTTCACATACACCCTTCAACACTTCGCGGAGCTGGAGATGCTTCAAACACTATTCGAGCTGCATCTCGACATATATGCATCCATCAATAATCCAAATAGTGAGGTGGACGGCCGGACCAGACTTATGCAGCGAGATCGTTTGGAAAGATGGTGCTTACTCGCACGAACATCGCTTACTCACTTCCTCGACTACAGCTCTCCTAGCAGTGCCCGAGAAAGAGTCGTTTTTCGTCACATTTGGGCATCCACGTTCCATTCCAACATGGCTAGAGATATCCAGAGAGAGCACGTACTGCTTTGTCTCCAAGAACTGAAGTTTTTCTTGGCATCGCTTAAAAATCCAGTGATCAGCCTTGTGAACAATGCAGTCATGCCGGAGCTGTCTTCGGAGGCTGTTGACCAAGAGATCTCGAAGTTGAAGTCGATGGACTTCTTTATGAGAATCTTTAACCCGACGTCCGATGATCCTGTCGGCCTAATCGAAACCATTGAGCCTATCCTGGAACCTTCCTCTGTTCAATTCGTACAGGAAGGTCTCGATGAAGAAGAATCCGAACAATCGGCTTCGCAGCTCCGCGAAATGGGCTCTTTCTTGGATCGCGGAGATGCCAGCCTGAGACTTTTCCTCTGGAGGAGGCTGCAAGATGCGTACAAAAAGATCGAGTATCCCCCCAAGGTAGTTTCTTGCTATCTGCGCAGTATCGAAACAATCTTGAGAGAACTCCAGAGTCCAGCACATCTCGAGGAACCCAATGAACACCGACAAATCACCCTGCTCAGGTGGCTGAAATCACTTGACAGTATCTTGAACAAGGCTGTTACAACCATCTTGCACGAATCCGACAAAGCATACGAATGCTTTGACATGGAGCATCTAAAGTCGTCTATGTCCGCAGTGGCTCACCTGACAAAACTTCTGCATAGCTTTGCATTGTACGAGGATTTGGTTCGTGTGGGAAAACTCTCAGGCCCGGATCTCCGAGGGGCATTGGCGAAATCCCTGGAAAGCCTCAAGGACAAGCTACGTGAGATGCAGGTCCGTTGCTGGATCCTGCAATACACGCTAATAAAAGAAGCCATCACTCAGAATCAGGAGGCTTTCGACACCCCTTTGGAAGATCGTATACATTATTTACGATCCGTTCATAATGCACTCGGTATTCGCAGGATGTGCCGATTCTCTCACAAGCAATTCCTCAAACTGGTCAGGTCCGAAATTTTCACTCTAGATGTGAAACAGGACGTCGAGCTGGATATCTGTCAGATCCTGTACGACATCTACGGTATCAAGCTGTCGCCGGTCGACGGTCTATTATATGACCATGGATGTCCTCCCGAGAAGCTTGATCGTTCCACAGCTATCGTCATGGTGGACTTTGTCATGAGGCAGGCTAAGAAGATGAACATCAAAGACCTGTCAAAGTCAGAGCTCAAATCTACCATTGACAAGATGCAGCAGGCCATCGGTACTACAAAGTCGTCACCTCCGCTATCATACAACAAGCGGATCATCACGGCATATCTGAAGTCTCCAATCAACCCTTCGGGGATTTTTCGTGCCATTCAGGGCGTTGCAGACCTCCCATTGATCCCCGTACCTGCTGAAAGTGCGGTTATCGCTCGGAACGGCTGGTATTTCCTTCTGGGCCATGCGGCTTTGACCAAGTTCCGCTCCCAGAAGCGCCTGAACCCTGTACCGACTACGGATCTTGATGATGCCATCACATGGTTTAGACAAGATTTGGAACATGGAACATCAAGATGGGAGACCTGGTACCGACTTGCTCAGACGTATGACTCAAAGCTAGAGGAAGACATTACCTGGTCCGCCGACAAGATCAATAACAATCGGATGGAGCTGGTCACTTGGCAGCGCAACGCAATCCACTGCTATTCCATGGCCATTGCAACGGCGATCAAACATTCAGCCCCAACTCTCGAGACTCGCGCCATGCTTTCGGATCTGTTCACGGATTTCGGTATTCGCCTATACTCCTCTTCCCGTGCGCCACTTTCAATGGGGGCCTTCAGCCTAGCTGATTTCACGCGGCACTTCAGCAACAAGGAAAGCCAGCGGATGTATGAGGGAAGGCCCTTCAAAGAGATGAAGCTATACTCTGTCTGGAATCTTGCAAGCTATCTACTTAGGCGTGCCCTTGTTGACAAACCCAAGAACTGGATGTATGTTGCTACTTCCCGGCATGACGGTGTCAAGCTAACAATGACTTAGGACCCATTACATGCTGAGCAAATGTCTGTGGAAGATGTACAGCTGTGATGAATCTGTCAGAGGTGCTTTCAAACGAATCGATGTTGACGTTGTCCTGGACTCGCTGCTCGATGCCATTGATGCGCTTCCGCAACGGAAGGACTCTCGCTCGGATCCTATTTTTGAACCTCATTATAAGCTGGTCTCCATAGTGCATAAGCTTGTGCATCGCGGCGATTTAACGGTAGGCGTTTCTTTCCCCAAACGTTTGTAGCCTGGCTAATCTCCCCTAGGCTGCTGAGGGGAGCAAAACGCTCCTAGCAACTCCCTGGGCTCGCAAAGTGCAACCCCCAGAAGACCAGACAGCTTGGAAGAGATACATCCTTGATGTGCTTCGAAACCTGAAGAGTGCGGATAAGTCGAATTGGCATCATCGTATGGCTGTCAGGGTATGCATATCTACCACCTATCATCTCGAACAACGGCTTACCATCTCTAGGCTGCACACGTCATTTACGATGATGACAAGGACTCCGCAGCGGCAGCGGCAGCCGCGAAGAACGAGCTTACCCAACAAATATTCACCAAGACAATGACAATCCAGGTCTGGAGGCCTGAGTTTGAGCGCCCTGGTCGACATTTCGTCTACACCACCCGCTATGCATACTTCTTTGTCAGTCTTCTCGACCAGCTTGATGATCGAGTCAACCTCGACCAATTACTGCGCCGAGTCCGGAAGAAGCAGGGAGACTTTATCAATCACGGCAAGCTCTGGGAAGATGCCTCCCTCACCTATGCCAGGGTGATTAGAAGAGCTGGCCATATTAGCGAGGGACATGAAGAGGGTGTCTTCAAGCCCATTGGCTGGGAAGAATTCGTCGCCAACACGGCCCGCCTAGAAGGACTTTTGCAACTAGCGCTTGATAGTCCATCTCTTCTCGAACTGCTTCGAGACGCCATCGAGCTGAAAAAGCTGAACAATAATCTGATGAAGGTCGCGCTACTCGAAGATCTCATTGCCGATCTCTATGCCCGGCTGTATGAAATTAACATGCCGCAAGTTATCGAACAGGCCAACGAGGAAAACAAGGAGAAGATGAAGGTCGATCACCTTTTGATGGGCAGTGACGGCGCCGCCGACACCCCTACTCCTCCGACCTCGGCCCCAGCGTCCGAGGCGCCCGCCCCCCGCGGCCGTACAAAGGGCATCGCACGACGCGATGTCCAAAAGCGAGCCGAGACCATCGTCAACCGTAAAGTCGCCCCGCGCGTACTCACCGCCAAGGCCCCTGCCAGTACAGAAGCCGAACAAGCCAACACTTCCGAGGCTGCTCCAACTTCCGCTCCCAAGCCGATTAAACCTGATCTGCTTGAACCGGTGACCGAAGAACTCGGGTCCGGACAACAGAGCGACATTCCGAACAGCTTACACGACAGTGCCGATGATGAGAGCGAGCTCAGCGAAATCGATGACGAGAAACTATCCAAGCTGACGACCGAACGCAAGCTACTGTTCCCGAACCTTGATGATCGGGGGTCAATGGACCCCGAGTCGGAAGTAGAAGGGACACACGAAATGGCAGGTGATATGGAAGAAGAAGGGGATCGAGAGGGCGACACTGAGCTGATCGAAGGCGAAGGCGAGACCATGGTCGAAGAGGCCGAAGACGTTGCAGATGGTGAGGACGATGACCTGGAAGGCGAGGATGAGAATGAAGCTGGTGGTGACGAAGAGATGGAGGGCGAGGGCGAGGGTGAAGGCGAAGGTGACGATGAGGGCGAGGGAGACCTAGAAGACGATGGCGAAGGAAATGACACCGTCGAGATGGAAGGACTACCGGATGGCGAAGACGGTGAGGGTGACGAAAACGACGACGATGTCGACGATGATGCCGAGCAGCCCGAGATTCCGGGGACGGACCAGGAAAGCGACAATGGCTCTGAACCGGAGCCAATGGAATCGTAGACGAGCCTTGCCTACTGTGCGATGGATCATTAAATCCGGTCAGCTGGCTGGGCTGGGTATTAACCAATACCATGTTCGAGATGACATGCTTTCGAATTTTGTGTTAGGGGCAATGTGGTGATGTTGTTCGGGATGTAAGCAAACGGCAGGCGTTTCGGGAATACTTGCGTCTGGGCTTTTGTAAGGCGGATGCAAGTGTGAATCATGCATGTACCATAGAAATTATTATTATTATCAACATGAAGTAATGGTATCCCCGGAATAATCAGCCAAAACACCCAAGACACCGTTTCCGTCCATAAAGAAAACACCCCATGATCATGCCCAATAAAGGTATCCTGCGGAAATCACAAAAGAGAATGAAAGAGGAGAGATGCCTGTGAAGACTTAGATGTCTTCCTCAGGGGCAAGGTCCCATTTCCGAGTTGCCATCTTTCTCTGCCTCTTTCCCGGGGAACTGGCCTGGGGGACTGGAGAGAACATGCTGTCCGCAAGCTTCAACTGATCCATACGTTTGAGTGCGCCCTCGATGTCACTTTCGCGTCCAAGGATGTTGGAATTGCGAGACGTCCCGAGGGTATTCTTTGACCTGGAACCCTTGGTAGGAGATCGACACATCAGCTCGCGCTCTAAAGCGGCGATTTTGCTGCGAAGCTGGTCGTTTTCAAACTCAAGGTCTTCGATCCGTTCATCAGATGATGGCTTGGGATCTTCGTGGACTGGATGGATTGTTAGTAATAATGGGTGGAAGGAAGGAATGAAACTTACTTTGGAATCCTCGGGACACGATTTCGATCTTCTTGTCCAGATGCTCGTCGTTGAAGCCAGCCTATGTTGGTATTAGTAAGATTTTTGATGGAGTGGCCGAATGGTCGTACCTGCTGGTCCCAGGCACTCTGCCATCTCTTTCTCTCCTCCTCCATTCGCTCATCCATCTCATTCCAGCATTCCTCGCGCACCTCTTGTTCAATCACGATACATCTCTCTTCGCTTGCCTTTAATCTCATCTCGAGGTCGGCCCGAAGAATTTCCTCTTCAGCAAGCTTTACGGCGAGAGATTCTGTCTCGGTGGTCAGTCTCGCGATCTCTACGGCCGCTTTCTCGAGCTCTTCATTCGCGCTCGGGCTGGGGGTATTGCGGCCACTGGCAGATCCATGACGAGACCCTAGTGTGCTAGACAAGATAGATTCGGCAATCGAGGGGGCTCTAGGCACGGCAACTTCGCGAGCCAATGCCGAGTAGCGTAGGATTTGTGAGGTAGCATTGTAGTCACCCATGGGGTCGGCAGTCACAATCATGATGGCCTTTTGTGGGTGACGGTTATGACCCGAGGTCTGGTTGGATGATGGGAAAGAATTCGAGAAAAGTAGCTCTGTAAGCTTGCATTGCCTGAACGGAACCATAGCCGCCTATTTGTGTCAACAAGACCCGATGATCGGCATCCGAGAATTTTGGCACATACCTTGTGTCCGTCTTGAATGTCACTCTGCATCTGTAGACACTGCCCCAGATACATTAAGCTCTCGTTGATCTTGCCGGCCTCGGCCAGAGTCGAGCCAGCTGTCTTGGCCGTTCGCGCGCGCTCGGAACCTACTAATATTAGCTTGGCCACAGCAAGTGAGGGACCATCACCCACCCGCAAGATCAGCCACTGTGAGAGTGTTGCCGATCCACGTTTCTTCGCCAGTTCTCTTATTGCGCATTCTTCTCTTGACCTCTAAGCAGAAGAATCCATGACTACGGGAGCTGACGCTGTTGGCACCAGTTCCTGTGACCTTGCGCTCAGTAAGGCCAACCTCAAGCACTGACAACGCTTCTTCGTAGGTGTTGCACGCAATCTTGCGCAGTCCTGCGACGACCTTGCGATCCGGGGAGCCTTCCGTGGACTTGAAGAACAGTGCCTTTCGTCGATCCTTTTGTGCATTTCCCCCTTGACGGGACATAGCGCTTCCCTGGCCAGGTGCTACAGCAGGCGACAGCAAATCGAAGATGCGGTCATTGTAAACTTCATACATGGACACCAGCACGACATATTCGGAATGAGGATTTAGCTCCATTGTAAGGTGGCTGACATCGGGCGAGCGGGGCGAATTGCCAGGACGTTGGGGCATATTGCGACGAGGGAAGATGATGGCAGGTGTCGGCTCCTGTATAGTATAAGATAACGTATTAGCGCGAGGTATTCCAGAAACGGGCCACTTCTGCTTCAGCCTTTCTCTCAAACAGGGATGCATGATAAGGGGATTGATGTAGCTTGATCTTGAGGGCGATCCACTGTATATCTTGGGACAGGGTCCAGTATAGGTGGTTGCCACGGGGGAAAACCGTGCGGTGCCTTATAATGGGTTCTTGAGGGGAGGGCACCATACCGTCATAGGGGTGTTGGCTCTTCCAGTGCTCATTGGGGTTTGGGCTCTCGAATTCCTTCCACGGTCGGCCGGGTCACCATAAACCGCCTCGAGGAAGGTCTGCGCTGTGAACATCTGGGATTCGGAAACGTCTGAGGCGGCCACGGTGGACAGAAGAAGGGGGCTGATGGAACTGTCGGGTGGTCGGATTGTCGAGGCCAAAGATCTGAAAATCACGTCAAGACTCATCTGTGTAATTCCTCGCTGGAATTTTGAGCCCAAGATTGTATGGCTCTGCAGGTCATCCTCGTCAGCAGATATTCATCCACAGTGTTGCGGTATACCAGACCTTCCCGCTACCCGTCACTCCCAACGTCGCGATCAGGCCGTCTCTGCCTTCAAGCAGCACCCCGCGAACCATAGACTCCAGCTCCGTGCCATGGAAGACATCCAGCTGGGAAGCCGACTCTTCAAACACCTTGGTGAAGCCGAACCTTTCAACCGCACGCTTCCTGGAGTCGGAGGGGGGCTGCAGGGTGATATGAGTCGAGAAGGGGGCTGGTGTTGCGAGGTCATCTTCAACAATGAATTTTGTCTCTGGAGGCTCAACTGTCAAGCATCGCTCGGCCTGTTCCTCGACATGCTGGGCCATAGGCGGCCGCAGGCGGAGGTAGACCTGGAACAGGGATGCTGGGGAGGACTTGGTGGAGCTCATGATGGCAAGCTATCCACGTGGGCTGTTCACATTCGATTGAACAAGCTGGGGTCGGGTGAGTTGTCGACTGTCTTTTGGCGATATGGCGTCCGATCGAAGCACGATCGAAGCTGGAGAAGGCGAGAGTCCAGGCCAGCAATCACCTTCCGGTTATGTTGACTTTGCCCCTTTGGGTTGGTGCCAGTGTTGTCCTGACAACTGGTCTCAGATGAGGTAAGCCGTATGGTGCCTGGAGAAGTAGGCACCAAGTTGCGGCATCAACTGGTGGTTTCTCACTGGCTGACCGATACGAGCCGCCGGCCCACTGTGTTGCCCGACTCAGCCTGGCTCGTATTCGCTTCGTCTTGGCGCTTATTCGCTGTTGTTCAGGGTCCAACTTGACCAGTCCAGCAGCTGCAACCAGCCTGGCAGCCTCATGGCCCAGTCAACTGCTCAAACGTTGGGGTTGAGGTGATGATCAGCTATAGCCATCATTGATGGGGCCGTGCAAATTATTCAGGGTCTCTGTTGCTGGTACGGAGTCTCCACAGGGCGTAGTCAAATGTACATCTCACGTTAGAGTTGCGGCCCTGGATTGGCAGATCCAGAGAGGCTTGATTCCCAAGGTTCAAGCCTGTGATCAGGCGCTTGCCCAAAACGGTATGCTCGTTTTCGCTTGTGCTTCACAGCCAAAGATCAAGATGTAGCAGCAGTACATAAATTCTCAGAGCTCTACGAAAATGCAGCAAAGCGTAAGAACATATTCGAGCTAAACATCTTCATCAACTGATCTCAAGACGATTGCTGTAGCCAAATATCTTCTCTCAAACATTCAGATTGGGCGCGCAACCATGCTCGAGACGAGATCACCCTATCGTATGCATTTCCAAGTCCATGAGCCATTCGATATATACTAACCCCAAGAAGAAGAGGGCAGCCTCTGGTACTATGCCCCCACTCAAGGGGCACCCATTTCCTTTGCCATCTTATTTGCCGTCTCCGGCATGTTACACACGTACCAGTGCTTGTATGTATGCGCCCGAGTATCTCCCAAAGCAATATCTAATTGGTTGCAGCATGTATAAGTCCTGGAAAGTGACAGGACTCCTTCCCTGGTCGGCTCTTCTCTTCACAGCAGGATTTGTGCTGCGTATCATCGGCGCCTTCGGGCAGTGGGACAACGTGGGGGTTTATATTGCGAGCACTGTCCTGCTGTTAGCTGGACCGTAAGTACTGCTGATGTGAGATGTCGATGTCCTTGCTAATCCATGCCTAGACCCGTCTACGAGGGAGCCAACTACTTCATCCTGGGCCGCATTCTCTACTACATCCCGTACCACTCGCCGATTCATCCTGGCCGGGTCTTCACCACCTTCATTGCTGTGGGAGCGGTGATCGAGGCCATCACCGGTAACGGGGCTGCGCTGGTCGCTAATTCCGGGGCGACCGAAAGTAAAAGAGAAACGGGCGAAGCACTGCTCAAAGCAGCACTGATCCTGCAACTTGTGCTGATGGTAGCATTTGTGGCCCTTGCTTCCAGATTCCAGTACAACTGCCACCGTGGTGGTGTCCTAAACACCAAGCTCAAACGTGCCTTGACTGTGCTGTACTGCAGCTGCGCTCTCATTACCGTGCGGACGATTTACCGGACCGTGGAATACTTTAGCGCTGCAGGCCTCAACGTATGGAGCGGGGACAATATCAATCCTATCCTCAAGGATGAATGGTTCTTCTGGGTGTTTGAGGCTGCTGTGATGTACTGCAACACCAGCTTGTTGAATATCTTTCATCCGATGCGGTGGCTTCCACGCTCCAACAAGATCTACCTGGCGACAGACGGGTTCACGGAGATTGAAGGACCAGGTTACGATGACCATCGACCGGTCATCCTGACCGTGTTTGATCCTTTTGACATCGCTGGTCTCATTAAGAACCGGGGCCGGAAGGAGAAGTACTGGGAAGTTGGGACAGCCCACAACCCAAAGAAGGAGGCACCTGGAACGTCTCCTGTGTAACGTGAGCAATGAATTATCTGGGTTCAGCGGATTAGTTCGGCTTTCTCCTGTTCAAACTATGTATATAGATGGTGGTTTCAGAATGAGAATGGTATTCCGCGTGAAAGCAAAGGAAGTAAGCGACGCTGACGTCTTCCACTGCGGCCGATCCTCCGCCCCGCCTGACCCGCCCCGCCATGCCAAAGGAGCTTCGAGGCCCAGCGCAGCGCAGCTCAGCTCCTCCTCCTTTCCTCCTCCAACATCAGCCACCATCACCGACAGACATCCAGAGAGCAGGGCTTAAATTCTCCGTACGGTTGATGCTTGGCCTTCTTTTCGTCTCGCAATAGCCCCTCTCCGGTCCGCCACGAACCCCTCGACTCCTTACCCCGCTCTTCTTCCCACCCACAATCCCTCAGTTTCTAAGCCAACTACATCATCATGGGCAGCCAGAAGCGGATAGCCAAGGTATGCAACATAGAGCATATACCATCATACCCTACACCATCTCCCCCCATACCCAACAGACCAGACCACAATTGACTCACACCCCATGACTCACAGGAACTCGCCGAGCTCGTCGAATCACCCCCCGAGGGCATCCTAGTCAAACTCGCCGACGAATCCAACCTCTATACATGGCACATCTACATGGACGGTCCTGAAGGATCACCCTACTACGTGAGTCACCACCACCTACCAGCAAACAACCCCCCACTAACAACCCATCCACCTTATGGTAATCCAGAACGGCAAATTCCTCCTCAACCTCACCCTCCCCACCGAATACCCCTTCAAACCACCCACCGTATCCTTCAAAACGAAGATCTACCACCCCAACGTAACCAACGACGACAAGGGCAGCATGTGTCTGGGGATGCTCCGCGCCGACGAATGGAAACCCAGTTCGCGGATCCAGGCGGTGTTGCAGTTCGCGCGGCAACTACTCGCGGAACCTATGCCGGATGATGCTGTCGAGGGACGGATCGCGGAGCAGTATAAGAATGATCGGAAGCGGTATGAGGAGGTGGCGAAGGAGTGGACGCGCAAGTATGCGGTTGATTCGTGATGGGCTGGCTGGGCTGGGCTATACTGGCTTGGGGAGGGGGATAGGAGGTGCTCTAGTTCTACCGTGTGGATTCGGGGCATGGAAGTACGGGGCTACGGGTGACAAAGCTGGCTAGATGACTATACGAGGAACGTGGCTGCGGTTTACACTTGCATGTTGCATGTGCATTAAAGATTGTTAGCATGGCTTCATCATGGCGGGCAGGCAGGCAAAGGATACGAAAATAGATATACCTTGGTTGGTAGCATAAGCATTCGCGCGTTAGTTATAGCATCTCTGGCTGCGTTCTATTTTCATGAAAGAGCTGAGACACGTTGCTGTTGCTGATTAGCATTCATGAAGCGGATGCCGAGGATATGACTGATACTCCGTACTCCGTAGCGAACATCTCATTGGACAAAGAGAGCATGTAACAAAGTACTCTACCAAAAACAAACAATAGTCTAGCAAGAGGTACCTACCTAGTGACCACTACTACTAGTAGTAGTACCCTCTACAACAACCCCACCAACCCGATCTAGAACCCCCACCAAATGAAGTATGACTATCCGCCCAATCCCAATCATCTCCGCTCATCTACATATTTGCCCCCGTCCCCTCTGAACAGTGCACATGATTTCCGAACCTAACTAAACCCCATTCAACCGAGGATAACCATCCTATGCATCCTAATACAACAAGCACCACTCATAACGCAGTCCATTTTTGGGCCCCCAACCGTAGGCTGCAGCAGCCTCGGTTATAATCGTCTAGTCCCGCCGCCGCCTTAAAACAAGGACAAACCGGGAAGATTTCCGCTCTGTGGTGCGGAGAACCGATGGATGGATTAATAGGTCAAGTGATAGGTTGATAGATGGATGGATAGATATAAAAGTGGGAGGGGTCCCTATAGCTGACATGCTTCCTTACTCTCGATTGATTAATGATCCGGAATTGCTTTCCGCTTGAAACGGACAAAGGACGAGTGCAGGCAACATGGCGATCCTCTCCCATGTCATCACGTTTCTTTCAGCCCATATCATCGAAATAGCTTTGACGTTGGTGATCGTACATTTCACGAGGAATTACTTCACCCCGGGGGTAGTCAGGATTCCCGGCCCGTTTCTGGCCAAGATATCGAATGTCTGGCGGTTTGTGGATGTCGCGCGGGGAAGACCCGAGGTTACGCTAGATCGGTTGCATCGGGAGTATGGGGAGTATGTGCGGTTGGGGCCGCAGGTTGTGAGTGTGGCGAATGTGGATGCGGCAAAGGTGATTTATGGGATTAATAAAGGGTATCAGAAGGTATCTTCCTGGTGTTGTTTTGAGGGTTTAGGACTGTGGGCTAATAGGTGGTGTATAGACCGGCTTTTATCGTGTGCAGCAGCAGCTTGCAAAAGGCAAGCCAACACAGACCCTCTTCACAACGACCGATGAGGATTTTCATGCCAAGATCAAACGACCCGTGTCGGCGGCGTATTCGATGAGTACGGTCGCCGAGTTCGAGCCGTTTGTCGACAGTACCACGCGGACATTGTTTGGGCGGTTGGACGAGTTTGCGGAGAAGAACGAGGCGTTTGATATCGCGATATGGCTGCAATACTGTAAGTTGTTTCACGCTCTGTGACAGCAGGCGACTGACATGCACAGACGCGTTCGATGTCATTGGCGAAATGACCTTTAGCAAACAGCTGGGCTTCCTGGAGCAGGGCCACGATGTGGAAGGGATCATCGCGTCGTTGGAGAAGACACTCGATTATGCTGGAAAGGTAGGCCCCATGCGGCGTTATCTCATCTAAGCTGACAGCATGTCAGATTGGCCAGATGCCCTGGCTAGACAATGTCCTGCAAAAGAACCCTCTCTGGCAGCTCATCCGGGGCGGCTCCACTGGGGCTATTGCACGTTTTGCGCGCGATCGCATGCATGAGCGACTGTCTCAATCCGATAGTAGACCAAATACGCCCCGACGTCAAAAAGATTTCTTGACTCGCTTCCTCGAGGCCAAGACAACTCACCCCAATATTGTCGACGATACCCGGGTATTTGCCTATACGGTCAGCAACGTAAATGCAGGGTCAGACACCACCGCCATCTCCCTCCGAGCCGTTCTATACTACACTTTGAAGAATCGCGAGGTATGGGGCAAGCTTCGGGAGGAGCTGCGGAGCGCGCTCCAAGCCGGAACGATAACCGTTCCGGTATCGTGGAAACAAAGCCAGGAGCTCCCCTACCTGGATGCCGTCATCAAGGAGGCTCTCCGTCTGCACCCGGCCGTAGGGCTCCTGCTGGAGAGGGTGGTCCCTGCGGAAGGCCTCCAATTGCCAAACGGTCCCTTCCTCCCGGCAGGAACGATTGTAGGCGTCAACCCGTGGATCATCCATCGCCATGCAGTTTTTGGCCAGGAGGTGGACAGGTTCATCCCTGAGCGTTGGCTGCGGGGTAACGGCGAATCTGAAACGGAGTTCCAAGCGCGCAGGCAGAATATGCTAGGGGCGACACTGACGTTTGGGGCTGGCCCCCGGACCTGCATTGGTAAGAATATCAGTTTGTTGGAGATGTACAAACTGATCCCGTCTTTGCTCTTGGCGTACGAGGTATGTGCTCATTCTCGACATTGCGGTTTGTGGACGCTGGCTGATGTGTAAAATCAGGTTGAATTGACAGAGCCGGAAGCCGAGTGGGAGGTGGTCAATGCATGGTTCGTGCGACAGAAAAAGATGAACGTGAAAGTGACACGAACGGCACAATAATTAACTCGGAAATGAGGTGGGACTCTTTGTCCAGTCTTCCCAGGGATCCGAACCAGGCTCGGTTGGCAAAAACCTGCAATCTGCAAGGCAGCGAAGGTCAAGCCCAACGTCTGGACAGAAGGGAACTTGGCATCATCCCTATTGGAGTCCGATTGAGCCACACGGGCAGCAGCGGATGGGGAGCCATGTAATCTCGAGTGTGCCGCTTCTGAGACTATATTTCCTGGACGAGAACACGTTCGTCATTGCCATGACGCGCAGGGGACCCACCATTGGATGGCATTATCCCATTCGGGACGCACTAGGCTAATCAATGAGGGTTGATTACTACCGATCAGGGATCATCAAGCGCATCGTCGGCTTCGTTGACATCCCAACTGTGTACTCCGTAGTACCTCATTACTTTCTGGCAGCCAGCAAGGCTGGGTCAGAACGCATAGCACCGCCGTGTCAAGTGTCTCGCGTTAGCGAAAGTCTCTTAGGATCCAAATTTGGGAACCAAGCCACGCATGCGCGAGATCCATCCACCCCGCCCATATCCAAAGAGGAGGCGCATGCACCGCTGGGACGCGATAGATCAGATATGAGCCGAATGACGGCCGAGCCAAAGCCTGGTTGCCTTTCGGTTGGCGATAAAGTGAAGCGATACGGTGCCTTACTGCCTGGAGCATCAAACTTTATCGAATTAGGTTTAGGGAAAAGTTCCCGAAGCAGTAGGTGCCGGTGGGGCGCGGCCGCATCACGGGACGATCGAGCCCCGCTAGAATCAGGTGAGGGCGCGCGAACCCCGAAGGAAGCAGCCAAATGATACGGAAGAAAAGCGCTGCTGGTTAGGAGCAAAGAGTTTGGGAGGGCAGAGACATCGCAGCCGGTCTTACTCGGAAGCCACAACGGTGGACCCCGTCAGAATCACCCCCCCAAGAAGGGATAAAACAGATTGACGACGAACTAAAACGGCAAGCAGCTGTCGAGCGAATCGAACCTTGGCGCTTCGGCGGGTGGGACCCGACTAGGGGCAGCTGAAACCGACTCCGCCCGGTACTGGGTATTGCACCCAACCGGTTTTTTCGCTTTCCGTACCAAGGAACACCCCCGTCGTCATGGCCGTTGGATCGGATCGCTGCCAACTGCCCAGGCAACTTGAGGGATCGCTCATTAGCTCATTCTCCAACGGTACTCCGTACTGTATATGCAATGCATCCATCCGTCTCCAGACGGGACGGGGCGGGCCCAATGGCAGGGGGTGTCCAGCTCCGTACATAACGTCACGGCGGATGCAGCTGCCATGGCGACATGCAGTGACCTGTCATGGACGAAAGTTCGACGGAGGAGGCATCTCCGTGGAGCCTGTGCATACACGGTAGTAGATATGTGTAGTATAGTATATGTATATACTAGGTATCTTCTAGAGGAGCGGAAAGCCTGACTGGCTTTCAGCGTGAAGATCAACATGCAACCGTTGTGTAACCGTCGGGTGAGAACAATCAAAGCCATTATTAGATGCAATGGAAGTACGACCGATGTATCGTCTCACCGTAGGTCAGACTCGAGGAGGTACCTTTTTTCTGTCCACCACACCATCATCATCAACCTCAAACGCCCTCCGTCGACTGATCTCATCCTGGCGCCTGGCTGAAACCCTGTGTGTATTGGCAGTGGTAAAGCAGATACGGTACCTGAAATTAGCGGTGAAAATGGGAACCGGACAGGGTCCGCCGTAACCAAAAAAACCCAAGGCTCGCGACTTCAACGGAAAATCGACCGCGCTAGACTCGATCGAGGCCCGCAGCGTTTTCCCCTTTTCCCTTTCGGCTCAGTCTTTTCTTCGTCGTCCTTTTCTTTCTTCTTCTCTTCTTCTTCTGATCCGCCATGAGAGCAAGTCTGGAATTGACCCTCTGGCAGGATCGTGAGACTGGCTGATGGACTGCTGCATCGTGGGCTGCCGGGGTGACTATTACTATTGTTAAACCGCTCGTTTTCTTTCCTCCGCTCGTTTCACTTCGCGCCTGTCGGGCCAACTCGCCCTCTTCACTCGTTCACCTGCCCAGACGGCCTTTGCAGCGCTTATTTCCTTTCTTTTTTCTCTTCATTTCCCAATTCCTCAGCCAGCCTTATCTACAACCATCCGCCCCCCCCCCCCCTGACCGGTCCTCGACTGTACACCTCTTCTTCATCCATCGACAAATGTCCAGCGGGAACTGGGGCTTATCATCTCGTGGCCATGGTCACAGGAAATGGAGACTTTGGATATCCGCCCCTTGCAGGCGCGCATGATATCCCCAGCCGTCGCAGGATCCCGAACCCTCCCCGCCTGGATCCTTTGAGACTGAATCCTCCCTTTCCGCGCCCCTCGACCGCCGACGGCGTTCGCCCTCCTCCTTCTCAACGTCCCCCACCCCCCGTGCCTCGATCCCCGCGACTTCAGCCTCCCTTTCAAGTGGCAGAGCCCTGGCGCTCCCCCTCGCCGCTCCACGATGACGATGAGTTCGTGATCCGCAAACCCGCCCTCCGGACCCCCACATTCCCTGTGTCACCCACGCGCCGAGCATATGCTCCAAGAGAGCCTGAGATGGAGCGTCCACCTCCTCGCAAGACGCCACCGGGCGCACCAGGACTGCGCATCTCCATGTCCACCTCTAAATTGCACAGCCGGCGTCCTAGACCCCAACCCTCCCGGGAACGGTACCGGGATGACTCGTATGGATTGCCATTGCCTCGCATCGTGCCTCCCGGGAGCTATGTAGACGCGCACGGGCAGGATGCACTCCGCTCCAGTGTTAACTCCGCCATGACGTCGCGGTCCAGCATTGAGCACGCGAGCGGCACGGAGCGCAGCAGCGTCCTTACCAAGAGTAGCTCGATCACCGACCTGTCCCCTGACACACCCGACGGTCCATATGAGAAGGATGGCGGCATGAGTGTGGAGGATGCTATTTCCATGTATCTGGACGGCTTCAGCGATGTGACTGAAGAGCCCGGGTCTCCGGGGCTGTATGATGACGGAGGTTTTTATGATGAGAAAGCCAGGCCGTGGAGTCCACGTCCGCCCACTGAAATGACTTTTGACGACGGTCACACTTCTGACGAGCACTCACCCGACTTGGATCCTACCGATGATCTTCCGCCCGTGCCGGCGCTCCCCGAGCTGGATGCTCCGGTACGAGGATCCTTGGGCGAACAGTATGTCAGCGATGGAATGCCGGAAGAGCCACCGGAACAGCCAATGGAACGGCCAATGGACGCCCCATCATTAAAATCACCCACCTCGCGTGAACGGCAAGAAACCACGGTGGTCCTGCCCGGGGACGTGCCTCCGGCTTTGCTGCCAGGGACCGGCCCTCGTGACCGCTACGGCTTCCGGAAAGCGACTCACCACGTGACGTTGGAGCAATATGAGGCATGGCATAGCTCTTACGCCGACTTCGCAGCCACCCGGAGAACCAAGTGGGTGGAATTGCTCCGCGAGAACCGCCTGCCGGTCACGGACCCGATGTCTTTCCCACCCAAGTCCAACAAGGTCAAGCGTATCGTGCGCAAGGGCATCCCGTCGGAGTACCGAGGTGCGGCCTGGTTCTTCTACGCCGGGGGATACGAGCACCTGAACCGGAACCCTGGGCTCTACGACCAGCTGGTCCGGCAGGCGATGGAGTCCCCGAGTAACGACGACAAGGAGCACATTGAACGGGACCTGCACCGGACATTTCCGGATAACATCCACTTCAAACCCGAGGCGACCGATCAGTTCGGCAGCGCTGGCGCTGGCGCTGGCAGCAGCAACCTGAAGCATGGTTCCGTCACGGTCGAGACACAGATGATCACCTCTCTGCGCCGGGTGCTGTATGCATTCGCGGTGCACAACCCGCAGATAGGATACACGCAGTCGCTCAACTTCATCACGGGGATGCTGCTTCTGTTCCTGCCGGAAGAGAAGGCGTTCTGGATGCTGCACATCATCAGCTCCGTGTATCTGCCGAGCACGCATGAGATCAGTCTGGAGGGTGCGAACATCGACCTGTGGATTCTGATGGTGCTGCTCAAGGAGACATCGCCGCATGTGTACAACAAGATTGCGGGCAGCGGGCTCGGCGGCGGCTCGCGGGCTCCAGCGCTGACGGTGACGTCGCGTTTACCGGACATCACGCTGGGGCTAACGAACTGGCTGATGTCGGTGTTCATCGGAACGTTGCCCTTGGAGACGACCCTGCGCGTGTGGGACGTGTTCTTCTACGAAGGGTCCAAGACGTTCTTCCGGGTGTCGCTGGCCATCTTCAAGGCGTGCGAGCGGGAGATCATGGCGGTGTCGGATCCGATGGAGGTGTTCCAGGTGGTGCAGGCGGTGCCGAAGAAGTTGTTGGACGCCAACGCGCTGCTAGACGACTGCTTCATCCGACGACACCGGGTGGGCCAGGGCCGGATCGACGAGCTGCGCGCGGCGCGACGGGCGGCGGTTCGGCACGAGAACATGCGACGGTCGCGGGCGTGGAACAAGGGCCAGATCCAGGCGGCGACGGACGAGTGGCCCGGTCGATCGCGGGCGCCCATTCCGGGTCTGGAGCGCAAGATCGGGGATTCGTGGCGGCACATGCGAAACCATGCATTTCGATAGGAGAGCGATGCTTTATTGATACCCCAGCAGCTTGTTTGATTCGTGTTATGCCTGTACCATAGTGCACTTAATGTTAATGGCCGAGGCGCGCATCGTGTGGTCGGTCGGACGATGTTACATGTACATACCGAGAATCCGGACCGGATTCTTCTGGTTTAGGGATTGAGTTTAAGATCAGCTCGATGACGTGTTTGAGCCGGGCTGCGTGTAACCAACGACATCTTCCCCCTTGCGCAGGTTCTTTCACCCTGAACTTCCTCGTCTTCACCTCACCATCACACCATGAGCGGCCAGGCGTCCAGTTATTACCACCCGAACCCGGGAGGCGACCAGCCTCAGCCTTACAACGCTCAGCCCTACTACCATCGAGGCCAACCGGCTCCCAATCAGTACAATGGCAGCTACCAGGGTCCCGAGCCCAAGCCACAGGGACCGCCTCAGGGACCGCCTCAGGGACCTCCAGGTCCGCCTGGCCCACCGCCGACCTACAACCAAGCCGTGTATGGCTTCGACGAGGCTTTCCGAGTCGAACGACCCAAGTACAATGACATCTGGGCTGGACTGTTGGTAAGTCTTCTCGCACGGCCGCCATACTTCAGCTAACTCGTCAGCTCATCGCAGTGTTCCTGGGCTACGTTGCCGTGTCGGGCGTGACCATCCATCGGTATGCGCAATACAAAGGCTTCAGCGGGGGTGGCATCTACGACTCGTCCAATGACTTTTCGCTCAACACCAACACCCTTGTGCTCTTCATCTTCGTCCTCTGCGTCGCCCTCGCCTTCTCGTACGCCTACTTCCTCGGCGCCCGCTACTTCTCCAAGCTCTTCATCTGGGTCACCGGCATCCTGAACATCGTCTTCGCCCTCGGCACCGCCATCTACTACCTCATCCGCGGACAATACGGCGGCGGCATCGTCTTCCTCATCTTCGGCGTCTTCGCCATCATCTGCTTCATCAGCTGGATCCCCCGCATCCCGTTTACCGCCTACATGATGGAAGTCTCCATCGACATCTCCCGCCACCACGGCCACATGTTCCTCGTCAGCACCCTCGGCGGCCTCATCGCCGTCGCCTTCGCCGCCTGGTTCTCCGTGACCCTCGTCTCCATCTACGTCGCCTACGAACCCGACAGCACCGGCACCAATCCCGCCTGTCGCTCCGGCGGCGGCGGCTGCAGCACCGCCCGGGTCATCGGGCTGGTCGTCTACGTCACCTTCGCCATGTACTGGTTCAGCGAGTGGCTGAAAAACACCATCCACACGACCATCGCGGGCATCTACGGCTCCTGGTACTTCTTCTCCCAATCCCCGGAGGGCATGCCCCACGGCGCCACCCGGGGGGCCTTCCGCCGCGCCACCACCTACTCCTTCGGGAGCATCAGCTTCGGCTCACTCATCATCGCCATCATCAACATGCTCCGACAAGCCTGTTCCGTCGCCCAACGTCAAGAATCCGCCCAGGGCAGTCTCCTCGGCAGCATCATGTTCTGGATCCTAGGATGCTTCATCTCCCTCCTCGACTGGCTCGTCACGTTCTTCAACCGCTACGCCTTCTGCCACATCGCCCTCTACGGCAAACCCTACATCCCCGCCGCCAAAGATACCTGGCAAATGATGAAAGACCGCGGCGTGGACGCCCTGGTGAACGATTGTCTCGTGGGGCCCGTCTTGACCATGGGCTCGGTGTTCGTGTCGTATGTGTGTGCGTTACTGGCGTATTTGTATCTCCAGTTCACGAACCCCGGGTATAATCGGGACGGGGACTTTACGGCGGTGATTATGGCGTTTGCGTTTGTTATGGGGTTGCAGATTTGTCAGATTTTTATGACGCCTGTGGGCAGTGGGATTGAAACGTTGTTTGCGGCGATGGCGTGGGATCCGCAGGTCTTGGTGCAGCAGCATTCGGATATGTATTATCGCTTGGTGCAGTTGTATCCGAAGGTGCAGGAGGGGATTCATGCGTGAGTCTTGCAGAGGGATTGTCAGGTGGATTAGGGTGTGTATTGTGTGAAGGAAGGCTGTAAGGGATAATAATAGCATGGATAATCAGAACTAAACAACAACTATAATCAACATAATCAGTTTCCGACATCGTACATGAATCATCATCATACCCGCCATAACCTCATAACCTTCCTTTCCCCCCCCCCACACAACATGCAAAACTCCATAGACAACCGAAAACTACAGCACCATCCACCCCCCAACCAACCCCACCACACCCAATACCCCAGCCATCGACCCTTTCCGTCCCATCGCACCCCCCGTAAACAACACCTCCTCGCCCTCATCATCCCCATCTGCATAATCCACATCATCGTCACCACCCAATGCATCAACCCCCGTCGGCACCGGCGTATTACTTCCAAGCACTGTCGATGTTGACGTTGCGGTGATTGTGGAGAATACACCTGAGGAGCTCCCACTCGCCACATCGGTGACGGAACTAGTAGGCGTAGTACCAGTACCAGTACCAGTACCACTAGCGGTAGCGGTAGCAGTACCATCCGCAACCCCCGAAGTAGTGCCATCACTAACCCCCGTAACCGTCCCCGCATCCGCAGTCCCAGTCTGCGTAGCACTAGCAGAACTATCCACGCCCTCCACATCCACACCCACCGGGTTGCTAGTCGCCGTCGGAGACGTATATCCCGGAAGATCACACGCACAATCCGTCCGCGTCTCAGTGTAGAGTTTATACACCACGTTGGCGTTGGCAGCGTCGGTCATGTGCACGCCGTGGTGGATGGGGGGAGTGGTTGTTTCTGGGGAGGGGGAGGGGGAGGGGGAGGGGGAGGTTTCGGAGGGGTTTGGGTTGGTGTTTGAGTCTGCGGATGAGTCTGAGTCGGTGGTTGTGGTGGTTCTGGTGATGTCTGTATCGATATCTGTATCCGGGGAGGCATCGGTCGCTGGGTCTGGGGCGTAGGCGCGTTTTGGGTTCATAGTCATATCGTTCATCTCATTCATGTCCATGTCCATGTTGGTATTGGGAATTGGGGCGGTTCGTAGATTGGACTTTTGCGTGGCGTTTGTGTTGGTTTCTTTGGTTTTGGTTTTGTCTTTAGTTTTGTCCTTGTTGTTGTCACTGGTGGAGTTCGAACTGGAAGTCGAAGTCGAAGTAGACGTCGACACCGAACCACTATCCGGACTCGCCACGCGCATCATCGGACTACTCCCCTTTCTAGCGGGAACGGGCACGGTGCTATCGGAGCAGATGTACTCGGGGATTTGGGCGGTTGCTATTTATCCTTCTTAGTATATTCATGTCCTCCAGATACTGATGAATCCTAGGGAAATAAGGGAAAGAAGGGAGGAACATACAAACACCCTCCTCCGCACAACTATCCAGTGTCTCCTGATCCAGAGAATCCGGGGTGAATGGCGCATTACAGAAACAGTCGAGGGCCGAGGGAGAGGTACAGTCGGTGGTGTGGTAGGTGCGGGCGATGGAGGACTATTCTCATTCTCTCTCGTTAGTATGGATGATTCTTAGGTTGAGAGGATAGGATAGAATAGAATAGGACAAGGTAGGGAAAGGAAGGAGACGAACCGCACATTGCAAATATCCCAAGCCTTTGTTGGTTGTTGCGGCGGCGAGGGATATCGTGGAGAGGAGGAGGAGGGGGTGCATCTTCCTTCTCTCTTCTCTGTTCTTTTCTCTTTTGGTTTTGTGGTCTGCGTGTTGGTGTCTGTGTATATCTAGGTCTGCTGGTGGTGCGGGATATTGTAATGGACGACTGTGGCAGTCTATATAGATACACTCCGGGGATTGTGGCGACCACCATCCCTGTAGAATTCCTTCCAGCCAGGATGGATGGGTAGGAGGGAGAAGGAGTGGGTTGCAGTGGAATGTACTGGTGGCTTGTGGTATGTATGAATGTTTCCTGGCTTATCAGAGATACCACCGTGTAGATCTTGGGTTGATGGTGGCTTATTGTGCTTTCTCTTTTATTTAAGAAGTGTCTTAGATGATGTAGGGATTTGATATTTGCATGTAGTAGACCTGTTTGATAGGAGGAGTAGATCTGTTGTGTGGCCGTGGAGATTGTAAGTAGGGATAGGAATGGTAAACAGGGTTGTCACGTCAGAATGTATCCGATTCAGGTACAAGGAGGATCGTGAACTGAACCGTATATGATCTAGGTCGGTCCGTATAAAGACTGATCGGGCTGAATGAACTCTATCAATTGTGGTGAGATGCTGCGCTGTCATTGTCTCATTGTCATCAAATCATGCAACAATCGCATACTGCCCTTATATATAGATCAAGAATGTCGGGAGAATATCTCCGCCTAGGTACTATCAACTCCTCGTCACACACCGAGTCAGACTCACCACCAGCCAAGCCATTCCCTTGACAATCGCTGTCAACACGTTCACCACCACCTCCAAACTCCAAAACAACCCGCGCAAACATGCCCGCGTAACCCACGGCATCTGCTCTCCCTCCCGCGACCCCCCGTAGCGCCCATACTGATCCATGTCGAACTCCTCCACCACAATCTTTCGAGTCTTTGGCTTAGACTCGCCCCCATGGCGATGTGTCGAGTCGGATGATTTCATCGACCGTTGGCTCCCCTCCTTGGCGTCTTCACGTTCCGCTAAGGTGAGTATCTCGTTAGGGTTACCTGTAGATGACCGGGCATCGTACACTGGTATCCTCTCGAGAACACCTTTACTAGTCTCATCCGACACCGCCACGGCCAACATGGCAGAGACAATTGAATCAACCGCATACAGCGATGGAATCGCTGCAATACCTACAGTAGCGATGGACAGTGTCATGCTCCTCAGATCCAACGACGCCAGGGGTTCGTCCGCGTCAGTCAAGGGCAGCGTAGACGTGCGAGGCGTCGCGGGCATGGCGTCGTCGGCATTGGCTGGTAGAGGCGTAGTGACGAGGACGATAGGAGCGTCTTCCGTGGAACAAGAACCCATAATGTGCAGCACGCCCGAATACTTTGACCGCACGGGCGACAGAGGAATGCCCGCGGCCCCAACCAACGCGGGAGGCTTGCTCAGCGCCGGGTGGTGAAGCTCGTACACCTGTTTCGATTGGCTCCAGAGCAGCTTGCAGGATTCTTGGGCTGCTGCGCGCTTGAGGGCGTCCCCTTCCGCTTGGGCCGCCTCGGCGGGGGAGAGCCGGAGCTCGTCCGCTAACTCGGTGGCTTGGTCGATGGCGAGAATGGCGGCCAGTCGGGGGAACAGGATGGAAATAAGTCCATCGTAAGGGGGTTGGCGACGTGATGGGGCTTCTAATTTCAGGTTCATGACAGGGACGCTGCTCTCTAGTTTGGACGGGTTTCTTCGTGTGATGGAGATGTCTTTTCCGGAGGTTGTCATGGTGTAGAATGGTGATTGGGGGTTTCCGAATGCAAGTGTATCAGGGTCGAGGCTAGAATCATTAGCATTGTCTAAGCATAACCTGATCCGCTCACCGTTCAACTCGCAGGTTAAAGGTACCTGGTAGGTTCTGTGGGCGTTGACCATTGGCAACCTCCCATAGACTCTGCAAGTCTTCCTGGGAGGAATACGATTCCACTGGGTCGAGGACATCAGCGGGAAAGTTCATCACACTCGCAGGAACGGTCTTGGGCCCAAGCGCTTGATCAATCTCTGGAGCAGGCGGGGACCTATCCGGCCTAGGATACTGGTGGCTATATGAAGGCTCCGAGTAGTGCTGATTCACTGGCAGACCAAGATTATATCGAGGGACTCTTGATTTCAATGGCACCTCCGGAGCCATGGCTGGTGAGTAAGAGCGAGAGGCCTCATTCCGCAAATGTGATGGAGAGCCGATTCTCTCTACCTGACGCTGTCGCGCATTTCGATCATACAGGGGAGACCTGGATGTTCGTTCTTGAATGGTCTCTGGGATAGAGACTGGAGACCTGGAGATGGCTTTGGGAGGCGGCTTGATCGTGTTGGTGTCTGCGATCAGCTTGAAGAGCACCGCTTCTGTCGGGCTGCCCTTGTCGTGCGATACTTCGGTGGGTGTTGTATCAGTCTGTGTTCGAATGGCGGGTCTTCTCTTTGCCCAGTGTGAAACGCTAGGCGCTGTGCTGTCGGATGGCGGGAACAGCTGAAACTGATTCATGTCGGTGATGCAGATGAAAACTCTTGGCTTTAGTGTAACAAGTCAAATTGTATGCAGCTAGGGTATATGAAGATCTAGATAGAAAGTAAATGTCATCAACTGAGTATCCAAGCAAAGGAACCAGGGTGGTTTATAACTGCACATGCAATCACCCTCGGCCGTATCACATCCCCATCTCAGTCTCTCACGGCGGCAAGGGTCTTGACGAGACAGCTGCTAGTGTGAAGAAGTTGCGGTGGGGAAGAAACCTGTTGTCCGGGTCGGCGCTTAACTTCGACATCTCGCTGGACGAGCGGGCTGCGGGCACAATGTGGCTTGCCCGGCGCTTCCAACGATTCTCCCGATTCGCACCTGATAGCGCTGAGGTCATGATCGGCGAGGGACTGACTCTACTCGAAACCAGTGAGGGTGGACCAAAAAGGAACAAGTCCGAGATAGTATACAATGCAGGAGACTGCAGATGGCCAGCGCATTCCACGCCTCCACCCCAACTAGTCTACTGGTTCATTGGTATGGTACATTTGCCCCGATTAATATACATGGCGCTCTATTGTACAGCTAGTTCTCATGCTCCATAGCCTCCTCATGAACCCGAAAGGTCAGCCCCTCGGCCATCGCAATGGCTCCCTCCATATTGCCCTTGTTGTACAGGAACAGCCCCTGCAGGGCGGCAGCGCTGGTGCTCCTCGATCGATCGGCCTTGAAGCCGTTCTCATCCTCGATCAGTCCCAGTTCTTGCAGCCGGGTGAGGAATACCTGTCGGTTGGAGCCGCTCGGGTCCAATTCGCCGTAGAACCGGTCCCAGAGACAGCCGACTTGATAGCGAGTCACCTCGCCCAGGCGCACGGTCATGTCCACCCGACCCGGCCGGACGAGCGCCTCATCCAGTCGTTCAACGTGGTTGGTGGTGAGGAAGATAATCCGTTCCTCGGCGCTTGCCACCCCATCCAGGGCATTCAAGAGACCCGAAAAGGTCACATTGGCTCCGCGATACCCGTCTTCATCCGTTTGTGTCCGGCGGTTCGAAAATGCAGCATCCACATCTTCAAGCAAGACCAGGGTCCGGTTCGGAACAATCGTCAAGAGGTGGTTTAGCCGGTCATCGGTCAATCCTCGCTCGCTGAGGTTCAAAATGGCAATGTCATAGTCCAACTCGCCCGCCAAGGCCTGAATGAACGAACTTTTACCCGTTCCAGGAGGTCCATAGAGTAGGTAGCCCCGGCGGTACGGGATGCCCCGGTCGTGATACCATTTGCCACTGGACACAAAGTCCTGCACGTCCTCCACAATCCGCTCCTTGACTCCTTCGTCAAGAACCACCGAGTCCAACGGACGCTTTCGCCGCGGCTGTCCAAAGAGCTTCCATTCGGCACCCCAACTGTTATAAATGGAGGTCTTGCCCTCGTGGGACTTGGCCGCGTGCGCATGCGCTTCGGTGAAGAGCTCCTCAAAGACGTGTCGATGCGAATAAAGCGTGGTCAGAGTGATGGTTTCCCACGGCCGGCCGGTATGAAGGTCCTGAGACTTGGACTCCCGCATTCGGTTGACGAAGATAAAAGCGTTCTTGTAGCGCAAAACATGTCGTCCAGGGCCCGGCACGAGAGCGAAGTGGGTCTGGATCGCGCCATTGGCGCGCTCAACCTTCTGTGTTTGAATAGAGAGATGGCGCATCCCCGGTGTCAACCGTTGTAAGATAGACTCCATAAAGCCAGACCGGCTGGCGGAGCGGGCTGCGTGAAGCTGGGATTGTTGGTACAGTGTCATCCAGTGTAGAAACCACGGGTAGGAATCGTCCTTGATGCTGATTTCGACATCGACGAGCATGCGTCGGCGGAGGAGAGCGGCGCCATGGCGGACACCCTTTTGTGCAAGACTGAGTCCGGCGCCCAGACCGGCGAGACCGAATCCCTATTATCCAGACTGTCAGCACCATCTGGAGGATGCAGCAGCATCACTTACCGCGGTAAAGAAAGGATTGTTGGTTAGCTGGGAGAAAAGGCCTCCGTCTGTAGGCTGCCCCGCCGCATGGATGGCATCGTTCCGTTGCTGCGCAATCAGATCACCCGGCGAAGGCAGCCCGGGAGTACTTGACGGTCCATTGGGGTCCATGCCAACAGCGAACAATCAGTTACCGCCACTGCAGTTGTTCGTCGTGAGCGCAGCTATGACTTCGGGGAGTCGGAGTTACGACGGGCCGAGATCGACGCTGCATCTCTGCATTACTGTGTACAAACACGGGGATGGCCAGCGATAAGCAGGGATGTGGACAACGCATCCTGGTCGGGTATTCTCATCACCGTGAACCCTGACAATCCCCATCAGGCACCAAGGGATGCGTAAACAGTGTATCCGTGGAAAGTCATCTAGTGTCATGGCATAGGCAACAATGGCTGTCATCACGGCGAGTCGGAGATAACGGGGTTTACGTGACATCGGCGTTACCAGGTTTTCTGCTGCTCAATTATAAGAGGGCTTAAATGCTGACCTACTGGCTGAAACAATTACGGCCGTAAGTATCGTATTCATTGTGATGGTCTGAAAGCAAGCGCCACCAAGCGTCATATAAACCACCCCCTCCCCCGAAGATGCGAACATTCCTGCGAGGCTGGTCTTGTTTCCACCAGCGCAGTGCCCCCCGTGTGTCTTCCCCCCCGAGACGCATCATGGCCTCGACTACATCAGCTGGCTCGACTTCGGTTGCCCTCTTCTCGCTCGCCGTGCTCCTCTCTCCGGTCTCCCCGGGCCCGGACGATGTCAAGGAGAAGAGCCATCACCTCAAAGAGGGCTTTCAAAATCCCTGGGAGTTTGTTACCTTGCATATCGCAAGCATCACTAGTATTTGTGACTAACCAATCTATGCAGCTCATGGGTAACTCCGACAGTGGGTGACGCTGCCCGCATGTGGGGGTGAGTGCGAGGATCCCATAGCTCTTTACCATGACTGACGCCTACTTTTCGATGCGTGAAGGCGTATTCTCACGGGCAAGATCAAATGGCCGGATGTCACGCCTCCCACAGTCCCGGTCCAGAAACCAGAATTCTTGTCTACTCGAGAAACATCCAATCTACGGGCGACATGGCTAGGCCATGCTTGTTACTACGTCGAATTCCCCGGCGGCCTCCGAGTTCTGTTCGACCCGGTGTTCGAAGACCGGTGCTCTCCAGTGTCTTGGATGGGCCCTAAGCGCTACACCGAGATGCCCTGCCGCATCGAAGATATTCCCACCATTGACGCCGTGGTGATCTCCCACAACCATTACGACCACTTGTCTCACCCTACTGTCAAGGAAATCGCCAAACACCATCCGAATTGCCATTTCTTTGCCCCGCTGGGGAACAAGAAATGGTTCACCAGCATTGGGATCCACAACATGACGGAACTCGATTGGTGGGATGAGCGCGATATTGTCCTTTCACCATCCCATGGACCAGCCACGGATGCCAACGAAGCTGGGAACAGTCAAGCTAATATCACAGCGCGAATCGGTTGTCTCCCCTCGCAGCATACAAGCAACCGAGGCGTATTTGATCGAGCAAAGACCTTGTGGGCTTCATGGTCCATTGAATCTGGGGGTCGGAAATTGTGGTTTGCTGGGTAAGTGTACCATCTACGGAGGAAACCTCAGCCCTCAGTATCTCACACAGCCTAGGGACACGGGATATAGAGCGGTGCCTGAGCTGCCTGCTGGAACCGATGACCATGCCCCAGAGTACACATTCGCCTCATGCCCTGCATTTAAACAGATCGGTCAATTCCGGGGACCCTTCGATCTGGGGCTGATTCCGATCGGAGCCTACTCACCTAGGTGGTTCATGAGCACCATGCATGCAGATCCTCATGATGCAGTTCAAATCTTCGAGGATACCAAGTGCAAACGAGCCATGGCGATTCATTGGGGCACCTGGGTGTTGACGGATGAAGACGTTCTTGAGCCCCCGAAGAAGTTAAAAGAGGCCCTCAATAAGCATAACATCCCAGAAGTTGGAGTATTTGACGTTTGCGATATCGGTGAAAGTCGGGAATTCTGAGGTCATGTGCGCCGGGAAAGTTACGGGGCCGTCTTTAATACTTTAATAACTGTACGATACCTGCATGCTGATCATGTATGTGCACACGGATACACCCTCGCAACTCTATAATCCACATATCTCTCCCCTTCACCGTCTTTTGTACATGTGATGAGTCGTCAAGATCAACCCTCCGATGCAACCAAGCTCCTACAGAATGACAGGCTTTAGCAGAGGCTCTAGGCCATGTGACGGCATGCGCCTATTTATGGCGCATCGCAGTGAATGAGCCTGCACAAGGATGCATCCAAGACACACGCGACATCTTCCTTCATCCATTAATATTGCTGGCAACGATTGTGCGCATTCAAAAGACCAATTGTAGCTCTACCTCAATATGCTCGAGTGAAAGACCCGTGACCAACCAGTGAACGTGTATACCAGTAAGTTTAACAAGCAGTATAGACCATGAAAAGATGCGCCTCCATACCAATCTGACCTCGCCTGAGAACAAAGTTCATCACATACATGATTAGCGACAGCATTCGGTTGCCTTTCATCTGCTTCAGAACCTACCACGTATTTTTGGCCCCATCACACCAGCTGCTCAGCCTCAGCCTCATTCAACGACCTTCCATTTCACTGCGCGTACATCATCACATCATCATATCATAATCATGGCTCTAACAGAGAGTCCACAGGAGTCCAGTCATTTCTGGCGAAGCAGCTCAGACACCTGGGGAAGCTATGCATGGGACACGGACCGCCGATACTCCATGGACGACGAAGAGGAGGTGCTCTACGATCTTGATGAAGCCGCCCTGGCACAACTCCCCCTACATCTCCAGAACAACATGCGCCAGCTACAGCTAGAACGGTTGCGCAAATACCACCACCAACGTCCCAGTCCCCGGCTTACCCGGCCGGTCCATCACAGCCCCTACGCGGAAACCTGGTTCAAGAACATGATGGCGCGACTGTCCGCAGATCAGGAAATGAGCGAAGTCCATGGCCTACGGGAGTCACGGCACGATTATCCAGACGACGTCACTTGGAATCTGATTCAACGACAGTGGAGTGCAAACCGGCAACACGATCTAACGACAAGGGAGCTCGAGTCGTGGCACTTGAACGAGGATCTGTTTTCCAATCATGCGACAGTCGCTGAGAATGATACTCTCTACTCAAGTCGCAGCACACGCATATGTAGTCTGCACGATCTGGGGGTTAATGCCATTGGAGTCCGTCTATCGCAGACCAACACCCGTGAAAGCAAAGACCGGCAGCAGGTGGCCGGCAAGGTCTCATCGCAGGTTCGCAAGCGAAGTTTGTCGCTCATCACTCATATGCGAGCACATATGCGCTGTCGTGTGCGCAAAAGTATTCAGAAGCTGAGCAAGCTTTTGAAGAAATGAATCACCGTCTTGATGTTTGTTTGATTACTAAAACGCTGGGTTGACGCTTTACATGAATGGGGGGGATATCCTGGGTTTGTTTCATCGGAGTTTGGCAAGGTCGGAAAAAAGGGGGATTTGATTGACAAGCGTTCGACGATCATGTGGAATCTGTAAAATCCAAACTGTACATACTACGTGCTGGGAATGAGAAAGGAGCATTCGATGGCTGGCGATAGGAGTTCTACTAGATCAGGGGAAACTGCACTAGGCCCAAAAGAGCATGGTGGCGGTGAGCTTCTTGTCCGCAATCCCACTTCGAGGTGCTGGAAAATTGATGGTGACGGCGGGCACAACTCTCCAGATTCCCCCCCACGAGAAGGCCCCTATCTGACCGCTTGTCGATCGGCTTCGGAGTTTACTCCATCTTTCCCTCGGGACCTTTCCATTTTACTCTTCCTTACCCGACGACGCAAGTCAACAAACCACCGCCATCATGCAAGCACCGGTGGTGGTCATGAGTATGTTGTTCATCGAGGGGAACTCCGGGCTTGGCTCCTATCGCTGACCTCCCATCTTTACAGACACCAATGCTGGTGAGAGACAGGTTGGTCGTAAAGCTCAGCTGTCCAACATCGCCGCGGCGAAGACGTATGTGAACCTCCCACCTTTCCCCGCTCCGCGTCTAACCCGGCACGACCTGCAGTGTTGCGGATATCATCCGGTCATGTCTGGGACCCAAGGCCATGCTGAAGATGCTGCTCGACCCCATGGGCGGTATTGTTCTGACCAACGATGGACACGCTATCCTGAGAGAAATCGAGGTGTCGCACCCCGCCGCGAAGAGCATGATCGAACTGAGCCGGACCCAGGACGAGGAGGTCGGTGATGGAACGACGACTGTCATTATTCTCGGTATGTACTGGATGTGTGGAGATTGGGATACTATCCGCTATACGTGGCAATATATGCTAACGGTCATAGCTGGTGAAATGCTCGCTCAGGCCCTTCCCCAACTCGAACGCAACATCCACCCCGTTGTCATCATCTCGGCTTTCAAGCGCGCTCTGGCGGACGCTCTCGCCATCGTGGAGGAGGTTTCGTTACCCGTCGACATTGACGACGACAAGGCTATGTACACCCTCATTCAGTCCTCCATCGGCACCAAGTTCGTTTCCCGGTGGTCGGAGCTCATGTGCAACCTGGCGCTCAAGGCTGTCCGGACCGTGTCTTTCGATGCTGGTGGTGGCAAGAGGGAAGTCGACATCAAACGCTACGCTCGTGTTGAGAAGATTCCTGGCGGTCAGATTGAGGACAGTGAGGTTATCGACGGTGTCATGATCAACAAGGACATCACTCACCCCAAGATGCGGAGAAGGATAGAGAACCCGAGGGTTCTCCTGCTCGACTGCCCGCTGGAGTACAAGAAGGGTGAATCGCAGACGAACATTGAGATCACCAAGGAGGACGACTGGAACCGCATCCTGCAGATCGAGGAGGAGCAGGTCAAGCACATGTGTGACGCTATCCTGGCCCTCAAGCCCGACGTTGTCATCACCGAGAAGGGTGTTTCTGGTATGTAACCGTCCTGTTCTGCATGAAGATATCTAACCCTTCCAGACCTTGCCCAGCACTACCTGGTGAAGGCCAATGTCACAGCTCTCCGTCGTGTGAGAAAGACCGACAACAACCGTATCGCCAGAGCCACTGGCGCTACCATCGTGAACCGTGTCGATGACCTCCAGGAATCCGACATCGGAACTCAGTGCGGACTGTTCGAGATTGAGAAGATTGGCGACGAATACTTCACCTTTCTCAGAAAGTGCCAGAGCCCCAAGGCCTGCACGATCCTGCTCCGTGGCCCGTCCAAGGACATCCTCAACGAGATCGAGCGGAACCTTCAGGACGCCATGTCCGTTGCCAGGAACGTCATCTTCCACCCCCGTCTTTGCCCCGGTGGTGGTGCCATTGAAATGGCCGTTTCCGTCAGATTGAGCCAGCTGGCCAAGTCTATTGAGGGTGTCCAACAATGGCCCTACAAGGCCGTTGCTGATGCCATGGAGGTCATTCCCCGGACGCTGGCACAGAATGCTGGAGCCAGCCCTATCCGTGTCCTCACCCGCATGAGGGCCAAGCACGTCGAAGGCCACTCCACATGGGGTCTGGATGGAGACTCCGGTGCCTTGGTGGATATGAAGGAGTATGGCGTCTGGGAACCCGAGGCGGTCAAGCTTCAGAGCATCAAGACTGCCGTCGAGGTGAGTACTACCATCACATTCCCCTTACCTCAAACTAACTTTTTCCTCAGTCCGCATGCCTCCTCCTTCGTGTCGATGATATCTGCAGTGGCAAGTCTGCTCAGCAGGCGGGTGCCGGTGTCAGTGGTGGGGACGATTAAATATTAGGATGACCGAAATTAAAACTGCGTACATAATGCTGCACGATTACTTTTGAATCTGTATGAATATCCTAGACCAAATATTACATGGGTATCTTCATATCGTACACTTCGAGGAATCCCCCCGGATTACCCCGCGCCGTATACTACTCAATCCTCGTGAATGATCACCCCAGTGACCTCCGTAGCCTCCACCGGAGCATCACCAACCTCCTTCTCCCCATCCTGATGAACACTCGGCCCAACCTCTTTCTTCCCCACCTCATCAACCACCATCTTATCACCATTCGCCGCATTCTTCTTCCCCTTCTTCGCATTCCTCTTCTCCCTCCTCTTCCGATTCTTCTCCGTCTTCTCCTCATCCTTCCGCCGCGCCTCTTCCCTCTTCTTCTCCCATTCCTTATCCTCCGCCTCCTTATCCACCTCGCTCTGCATCAACCGCAACCGCTCATACTCCCTCCTCCGACTCGCCTTGTACACGTGGAACTCTCCCGACCCCGCACCCGCCGAGGAACCCTGCACGTTTGCGACAATCTCCGGCGGAGGAGGTAACGAGGACGAGGTGCGCTGCTTGGAGGGATCCGGAAGTTTGATCTCTTTTGTGGGATCCCGGAAGAGAGATTCGATCTGCGTGGCGTGTTCGGAGTGAGGGGTCACGGCGCGGCGTTTGACGGGGCGTTTGCTGCGCGGGTCGGCGCTCGTGGGGATTGATTCGGGGCCGGGTTCGGACATGTTGATTTGATTAGGACTGTTCGAGCTGATGTGTTGGTGTAGACGGGGTCGTGTGGTTGTTTAAGAAGGAGGGGGGGTAGATTGCGCGACGATGGTTTGGGTTTGGTTCAAGGTATAGTCAACGGTTCTTGGTGTGGAAAATCAATGTAAGTGACTTGTTTATTCACGAAGCTGTGCGATGAATGAGCTCTCTTCGAAGTAATATATTGTCCTGAATGTCAGTCGTCAATTGACTGGCTCGATGAAACGATGAGAAATGTGCAGCTTATTTCGAGGCGGCGTGGGCGGTGAATCGCGTGGTTGCCTTGGTATTTATCGTCGATTGGCCGGGACCAGATCGAGTCGGAGATTCCATGTAAACGCCGATTTTTACCAAGTCGGGAACTCAATTTATACATCCTGCGTAGTGGCCTGCTGGTAGATACTTCAAGTTTGGTTCTGGGAGAAAACAGTGTTCGGTAGTCTTGGAAACAGGCGTCGCGTCGCGGGGAATCAGTCTGATTCAACGACATCTGCATCTTGCCGCAGCACATGACAGGTTAATGAGTGGTTGTTGATTGCGACTACTAACGGGTTGCTTTTCCCTCCGTTATCATGCGGGATCGCCCACTTCCCCTCCGATATTGCCATCCTCCTGCGACTAGCATCTAACTGCTGGTTGGCTCATCCTTTCCTTTGAGACTTTCTCTGTACCTATTATCATTCTTTGGCGGTCTTTGGACTGTTGTTTCTCTCTCTCTTCTGTATTATTATTAACCCATCTAATCCTCATGGACGCGACGGGCGGTACCCCTGGCGTTCCGAATGCGCAATTTGCACGTGCTACGAAGGTTAGCAGCCGGAATGACAGTCTTCAACAACATGCTTATCTACGTCTAGTTCGAGCTGGAAGATTCTTGCTGTCTGAAATCAAATCATTCGTTAGTGGGTGTTGTTCAAGTATGACACCTGTCGTAACCAGGGAGACTGGACTCGGGATGCTAATAGTTCTTCTAGAAAACACACCATGACGTACGTTCCCGCAGATCGCACGGAGAACGATGGGAATAGTGACTGACATCTGTATCTCAAGATTAACTCGCATGAACCGCCAGATGATTACCTCGTTGTCTCTTACACATCAGTGCCTGCAGAGGCTCTGGCGGCGTTCTTGGAAACGGGCGTGGTAGGTTTCGAGTGTCATCAACTTGAGTCGATGTCCACTGATTTCATCCCTCGTATGTTAGCCTCCCAAGGGATACGTCTTTGTTGGGTTTGTCGAGTTCGCGCAAGGGTACTCTCTCATCCATGAGGATGACCTCTTGCTGATTGACCGGCCTGTGGAAATTGGGGAGGATGTCAAACGGCATCCCGATGATACCATGTCGGGCATGGTTATTGACGCATCAGCCACGTGCACACTTGAGCCGATTGCGTTTCGAACCTACAATCCGTCGATCGGAGATTTCGACTCTCTTGAGTTCACAGAGGACTCCAGGGGATACGAGACCGATATTCCACCCCCTCAACTGCATGATGTGCCCGTGTCTGAGCTCGTGAACCACGAAGAATTCTCCGAGGGCGACTATATCATTCATCGCCAAAAGCTGGGCATCATTCGGGAGGTTGAGCGGGATGCCATTCTGCGCGTTTCCGACATGCCGGTGTGGGTGGTCAACCCGAATGTCCTGGAGATACCTGTCAGATTCGATGACAAAGGACTCGTTTGGATGCCCAGAGACCAGATCTCCAGAGATGTTGGGATGGAAATGCGTTTCCTCGAGTATGACTTCGTATATCCTGGCCAATATGTCTTCACACAGACCGGAAACATGCGCAGAGTTGATGGGAGCTCACTCTATGGGCTTGATGTCGATACCAAAGGCTACGTTTTAGCTACACCGGCTACGGAGTATCGGGTTGAATGGCTCTGTATGAATGTCTTCAGTCTAGGAATGCCATATACCGCTGAACGATTGGAGCTGCTCCGAGCATCTTCACTACACGGCCATGCGGTGAAATGTGATTTCGGCAAGGTCCCCGCCGGGGGTGCCATCAAATCTGATGTCTGGCTTGATATAGGTGACCGGGTACGTTTCCGGGATCCGGCAGCGGCCGCTCAGAAATATCCGGCGCACCGGCCTATTCCTACGGATGAGTCGTTTGGCTATGATCTAAACGTGTTTCGAATCGTTTCCTCCAAGACCAAGTTGACGGTTCAATGGCAGGATGGGAGTATCACGACGGAAGATTCACGATCCGTGCATAGGTTCTACGGATTTGATGCGGAGATTGGACCGGGAAATATCGTTGCCCTAAAGGATGGACTCGAAGAAATCCAGCGGCCTCCCGTTGACAGCATGCCCTCTTTCACCAAACGGCTACGTGACCGCAAGAAGGAAACGATGCGCGCACGAACCGTCGGCGTGGTCCAGACCGTGGACAGTCGAGAACGGGTAGCTACCGTTCGCTGGTATAAAGATCCCGATGTTGAGCTTCTGCATGGGGGACAGATGCTACGAGCTTGCTCTTCTCTGGGCGAGCTTGGTGACACCATCAGCCAAGTTTCACTCTATGAGCTCAACGTGTTTCCCGGCCTGGACAGAATACCTGGCGATATTGTGCTTCTCGCCCCCGATACCATTCATCAATCGGGCCTGGAGGTGCCTGATATGGGGGGATTTGGGGTCGCTGGGCCGTGCAATTTTAGCTACACGGCTTCACTATCATTCTTCCAGATGTATACATACCTCGAAGCGATGAGAATGGAAATACTACATTCGCCGTGGTTTCAGAAAACGACCAGGCTCAATACTACACCACTTCCCCCTCGGTACGGTTTGCACCAGAATGGATCGAGTGCGAGATTTTCGACCGACTTTATCGGCCAGATTATTTCAACCAGTATCACGGGGGATATCACTGTCCGGATACTGGGGGGCAACGAGTGTCGCGACGTCCGTGTTCCGTTTGAAAGAATCATGATGGTCATTGATGAGGATGAAGCCAACCCCGCTACGTTTCCCTCGCCGACGGAGCTATCACCCATGGAAGCAGCTAGTTTGTTCGACCTACCAGACGATATGCAACACACTACCACCTACGAATATGAAGGCGGGGAGCGGCTGGATGATGGTGGCGAAGACCAGTGGATGACTGACGATACAGATGACTCTAGCGACTTCGAGGGTGCTGACCTTGCAGGACAGATTGCCAGCGCCCCTTACGTGGAAGAGATTGAGCTTTCCGAAGATTCAGGAGATGAGATGGGGGATGACGACTCAGATGAAGATATGGACGCTGTAGTGGATGAGACGGGCCCACCGGCCCCTGGAACGACGCAGCCGAGCCCCTTGACTGCCCCTCCAGGGTTCCATATATTGGAAGGACTCCCACCCTCGGATCATCACTTTATCGCAGAGGAGGCTACGGGCAACACGGGACCACGCATCAAGCGTATCCGAAAGGAGTTCGAAATCCTTAGCAAGTCGCTTCCTCCCGGGATCTTTGTGCGGACATGGGAGTCAAGAATGGACCTTCTCCGGGTTCTGATCATTGGCCCTGAAGGGACCCCATATGAGTATGCGCCGATTGTGATCGACGTGCATTTCTCCAACAATTTCCCCAACCAACCGCCTGCTACCTTCTTTCACTCGTGGACCAACGGCCAGGGGAGGATCAACCCCAACCTGTACGAAGACGGCAAAATCTGCCTGAGCATTCTCGGGACATGGCCCACTCGGGACCCAGAGGAAAACTGGTCTCCGATCAAGTCCACTGTCCTGCAAATTTTGGTTTCAATCATGGGGCTGGTCCTAGTGAAGGACCCTTTTTACAGTAAGCCAATGTCCTTGGCTATCCACTTGTTTATCGATACTGACGGTATACCAGATGAGGCCGGGTATGAAGCTCTTGCCGCCGAGGGCAACAGGCGGGTCGAGTCCTCTCAGTACACCGAGAAGACGTTCCTGATGACGCGGAAGTTTATCAAGCACGCCTTGGAACAACCTGTAGTGGGCATGGAGGACGTTGTGGCTTGGAACTACCTGGCGATTCCCGCGGACTCGAGTGATAACAATCGGCCGGTGCTACTTCGCCGGGCCATCGAGGCAGCGCTGGCAATGATCGAGCATTATAACAGCTCCACGAGTGGAGATGGCAGTAGCGCCTCGGCCTTTGTCTCGCGCCTCAGTCTTGGAGCGGTGGTTATGCTCCGCAAGCATGTCACGGACCTTGAGAAGTTGGAAGCCGCTACGACTGCTCCAGGTCAGTCCTGAGCCACGATCTCGGTCACCGACCATGCTTCCAGAATTGCCAATATGTCCGAAAGATAGTTGGCCACCGTAGAGAGGATCTGGGTGCATGTGATTTACATATCTTGGAGTATACGCATAGTCATTGTTGGCATATCCTTCTGGCGTGGTATCCTTAGACATGGGTAACGGTAGTGCAGCAGACAATGAGAGACATTCTAGTCTTCTGTGTATTGGCCAATATGAAGGTCTATGCTTGGGGGTGTCCCAAGTTGTAGAGTGAAAAGGAGGGCATTCTTGGCTGGTTGCGACCCGAACTATATCCATCAACGAGCTGAGTGAGCGAGCGAGGAACCGCCCAAGAGTATGGCTGATAGTTAATAATGACACCAGCCAACCGAGAACCAATCTAGGCTCCAGGAACCGTAGTTTCGACTCGATATCCCCGGGATGGCAACGAGCCGGAGGCAGAGAGGGACGGGGAGAAGTGAGAAGAGGGCGCGGGCTACTGCGGCATTGGTCTTTGGCGTGTTCCGTTGGCAGCGCCCTCTCTTTCTCGTTCCCTTTGCATCTCCTCCCTCCTCTTTCTCCCCATCGCTCTTTATTCTTTTTTTTTTTTTCATTATTGTAATCCGTCCAGCTCCCAGAACCCTTCTTTAATTCTGACGAATTCTCGACCTTTATCTCGTGTCTTCTTTGTTTGTGTCGGTGAACCTCTTAAATCCTCGCCCGGCCCGATCGCGCCCCCCCAAATTCTGGTGTCGCTCCAGCACACAAAGTTGACTTTCCCGCGTCTAGTATCACCCATCTCCCAACTCCATCCGTTCGCGCTTGCAAACATGGGCGCTTATCGTCTTGGTATGTTCAAACTCTCTTGGGTTCCTTTGGTAGTGTTTCTGGAGTGTGCGGTTTTCCCTCGCGCCGAAAAGTGGGATTCGAATCTTGCTTTCCTCCCCACGGCTTCGTTGTCAACTTGCTGGGATGGGGTTCGGGGGTGTCTGTTGTCCAACAACAGCTGCCAACTGTCACGGACAACTGCCCCCTGCTTTTTTCTTGCCGATTTCATTTTCGTCCATGTTTGCTGCGCATTACTTTCCCACACTTTGCGAAGAAGAAATCAAATCATCTATCTCGCTGCAAACCTAACATCATCACAGAAGAAGCGTCAACCGGCCGCGCCGGTTGCAAGAACAAAGAATGCAAAGACCAAGGCATTAAGATCGCCAAGGGCGAGCTCCGTCACGGCTCCTGGGTGGATACCGAGCGATTCCAGAGCTATGCCTGGCGTCACTGGTAAGTCGAACTAGAAATGAATAAATCATCACTCGATCCAGGACCCGCTAATGCATGCGCAGGGGCTGTGTCACCCCCAAGATCATCGCCAACATGATTGAAACGGTCGGTGATGCGAATGAATCCGGCGAGAGAGATTACACGGCCTTGGATGGCTACGAGGAACTCCCTCAGGACGCGCAGGCCAAGGTTCGCAAGGCCCTCGAGCAGGGTCATGTTGATGATGAGGATTGGAAGGGTGTAAGTTCGCGGTTTTCTATGGCCTCTTCTTGTGTCTTGTGTTGGGTCTTGATTGAACTATGTATCTGACTTGGTCTAGGACGTCGAATTGAACCGCCCTGGAAAGTCGGGATTCCGGAAGCGTGCGCCCAAGAAGGCGACGGTATGTAGTTCCATTCTCGATGTGCCACGTATTCAACGATACTGATTTGTGTTAGGACGAGTCGCCGGAGAAGCCTACTCCGGAGAAGACGGCTCCGAGCAAGAAGCGTGCCCGCGCTGAACCCAAGGAAGAAGCTGGATCCGAAGCCGACAGGGCTGAGACGAAGCAAACGCCCAAGCCCAAGAAGTCGGCCTCGGAGAAGCCCACCCCGCAAAGCAGGAAGCGTGCTCGCGCGGAGTCCAAGGAAGGCGCTGAGCCTGAAGCCGACGGGGATGAGGCCAAGGAGACTCCCAAGCCGAAGAAGCCCAGAAAGAGCAGCACTCCCAAGCCAACACCTGCTGAGAAAGCCGAGGTGAAAGAGGACGAGGGCAAGAGTGAGAGCAAGGCCGAGCCCGAGGCCGATGGATCTGATACTCCTCTCGTCAAGACAACCAAGAAGGGCACCGCTACCAAGAGCAAGCGTGCCAAAGCCGCCGCCGCCTCGCCGCCAGCAGAACCCACCCGGGCTCGTTCCACTCGGGTCAGAGACGCTGCAAAGAAGAAGGAAGATGCCGCCGCCGCCTCCGCCGCCGCTGATGGAGAAGCCGAACCCGCCGAGAAGCCCAAGCGGACGTACAAGAAGAAGAAAACTACCTGAAAGATACGATGTGAATGAATGAATAGGTGTGTGAGAATGTAGGAGACGGTATTCAACTTCTTACCTACCCCCCTTCCATCTCAGTCCATCACACATATCTTATCCTCATCTCCGGTATCCCTATTTTTCTCCGCTGTTATATTTGACACTGATATCTATCGACCTTTACCTTCATCCTTTACTCGTGACTCTTCCATGGAGAATGTGTCCCGTTGTTGCTGGCGTGAGCGTCTGATTCTGATTCTGATTCTGAGCCGTGTTTGTCTCATCAAAGGTGTGCAGTGTTCAGCTTCCAGTACTGGTGTTTTCGGTTCCCATTCTCGTATCTGTATCTTCGTTCCATTTTCATTACGATGTATCCAGTCCTGCGTTAATAGGGTGTAATAATAGCGGGGGCTATAGTATTCGTCACGTATACGGAATAGTATCTTCCTACTGGTTTTAGTCTCTTCATGTATTGGTCTGGGGATAGGAAGGACAGAGGAAGATGAGATGAGATGAAGATGAGATCAAGATGATGATGAGGGTTAGTGAGTGGCTGGATAACTGGATGCTGGGGCCTTTGTTATTTTCAATTCGATGATTATTAATCCAGTACGGTAAAGAGTGAGTGAGATGCACTGTATCTACTAATAGTACCCTACATAACAAAAGAATCAGAGGAGTAAAGGACTGGTGAGGCGGCCGAGTTCTCATTCATTCATTCCGGATTCGATCATTCTCCCTCGCTCACTACCATCTTAATAATCCTTCTCTGTCCAATTATGTGCGTACATACTGACCAGATAATCCAGATCAGATGATACATAGTATATCCTTCAAGAGCACATAGAAACAATATCGGTTCGAAATATCCAGAGTTGGGTGTGTGGAGTAAATTCAAAGCAAAGTATGTGGCAGTCTTGTTGGTGCGGTTGCGTAAACCAGATCAAAAGCATTGCAGGAAGACAGTTGATTAGAAAGGATACAGGCACGGTTGAAGGTTAACCGTGTCAACTCAAATCCAATCGTTCCGCCTCGGAAGAGAAGTGATTATATGCTGGTAATCTGGTTCGGTCAATCGTGCATGCTGGTGCTTTTTTTAGGGTTTCCTGGGTTTTGTTGCTTGGCTGCGCGGGTATGGACGGACTGAAGTTAATGGTTCATGCTGTGGGGTGTCAGTTTAGTGGTGCTTTGACTTCAGGTATGAGTACTGACCTCATCTCCTCCAGATCATCCAGGTGGTTGCACATGGCCACGAACAAATCAAAGAAAAGTGGATGTCCCATCTCCATTTCAAACTGCATCGTTCCGCTATCCTTGAAGATATGGCGAGTTCGGATGATCATTGCCAGATAATGAGCGCGTAGTCGGTATTCGGAATCAGGCGTGTTATCGTAAGCATACCGTGCAGACCGGAGGATCACATCAATGGGGATACCGCTCTGAAGACCCTGCTTGCGGAGAGCAAGGCGCTTGAGCTCGCCCAGTCCGTATTTCTCCGCTGCACAGTACACGGCCGTGTCTCTGAGGACGAGACCGCCAGCCCCGGGGTGAAAGAATGTGGCCTCGCTCGACCTGCTACGGCTGCCGTCGGGGGTACTGTAATCCTGTTTGGCGCCCTCCAGCTCCCAAACATCTTGGGCTTTGTTGTGTACCAGCCGTGGGTAGTAGTCGCCTTTGTAGAGGAACTCGAGGACACAGGAAAGAATTTCAGGCTCTCTAGGGTTGTGTGGTCAGTTGTGCCATGGTTGAACGAGAGGAGGGCTGCAATATGTACTCCTCTGGTAAGGCTATCACTTTCTCCGGGTTGTCTCCTACGAATTGGTCCTTAAGCACAGCGTTGAAGAACGGAGATCGGGACAGAACGTCTTCGTGCGCGACGAACATGCGCTGTTTCCGGCCGACAATCAGGCTGACTAGAGGACTGTGAAGTGCATTACAGTCAGTTGGGGTGTTATCCTACGAGTGAAACAAGCATGTTGCGCATGATCCGGCAGCAGCTCTGAAGACGCATACGAAAGTATAAAACTCGCCTTTTTGGTGGGGGACATGCCTGTTCCTCCTGCATCTTCGCCTTTTTGCGATCCTCGCGCACTTTCCTGCCAGACCGGGAAGATTTGCCCACCCGGTGATGCTTGGATGTGAAAGAACGATTTTTTAAGATCATACTGCGACCACCCATCGACCGAAGCAGGAAATATACGAGAGACATCCAGGTGTAGAGGCAGAGGAGGGAAAGGAAAAGCCACACCAGAGAGAACGAGCGGATGAACCGATCAAACGATAAAAGAGCGAATGACGCTGCCGCTGGATCATGCGGGTCGCCGCATGAGCTGAGTCCTGGAAGCCTCTCCAAGACGAAATCCCTCTCGTAGCCGCCGGTCTTCATGAGATGAAGACCTGGTGGGTTGGGAGGGGGTCTTGAACTTAGCTTGAGCGTAGGCTCATCTACTGGGAGTAAATGAACGTGGCGGATGGTCGACTCTGGAAGCGTGAGGAGGGAAGAAGAAGAGAAGAGGAAGAGGAAGACGAGATGAAGAGGAGAAAAGAGGAGGGATCATGTGATGGTGAGCAGCTGATTGGCGACACCTGACTGGGATACTTACAACTAGTAATGGAAGTAGTCACCACCTCCAGACATCTGCCTCGTCCGAGAGGAACTGCTGCCTATATGACTCAACTCTAGGCAACACAGCGGGTCGATTGATCTGCATCCAGGATGCCGTTACTGCTTTTAGCCGGGCCATCCAAGGTCCAGGCCACGTTCTAGCTCCCGGAATCATGTCCTGCATATGCGACATTCATACGTCAAATTAACGCCAATCTTATCAGCCTCCACCACGATCTCCGCTGCAGATGTCCCCGACAGGGCACGGGTGAGGCCTCACAATCGATTCAACACCATCCTTTCGACGACAGACCAAGATGAACCCATTTTCCATAGTCTGTCACATTCTGACCTGGCTGGTCCCAGCCCTAACCCCGCCTCCACCCCCACCACCACCCCCATCATTCACCAAATTCCTCTCTCTTCCTCCTGAACTCCGCCTCCTCATCTACGCTCATGTCTTCGGCCACCGTCCACTTGTGGTGACCGTCTCAGACTGGGGAACCTGGCGGCTCTTGCCCTCCGAGGATCACGAACACGATCCGAGCTTTCTATATACGTACCCCCATAATGTCAAGAAAAAGAAGCCCTTTACCGTCGCCCTGCTCCGCGCAAACAGGCAGATTTATTGGGAAGCGTTGCCCGTCTTCTATGCCAGCGTGAGTTTTACACATGACTTTTGTTGCACGTTTCTGTTGGGTCTTTTGGGTCACATGTCGGACTATGCGCGCGACCACGTCCGGTGCATTCGTCTTCGACCAGAAATGATAATACCGATAAATAATGCCCCTCAAGATTGGGAGCGGACAGGCTTGATGGATCTATGTACGAGTCTGGCCTGGTTGAAGGGGCTGAGGAAGGTGGAGGTGCTGTGTCCTCCGGATTCGTTTCCATGTGATGAGGAGGCAGCCATGAAGGAAATTGGGGCTGCGTTGGGGTTGGTGAAGGTGAGAAAGATGGTCGTCACTGGTGAAGCGAGGGATTACAGCGCTGGGTGGGAAGAAAGGCTGGGAAAGCTTTTGGAAGAAGGAAAGCCCGATTGACATTATTGGTCAACCGTATAATCAGGACATGAACTCATCTCAGAACTAGCGGGGTATACATGAAAGCGCATTAGATGTTGCCTCCTCTTTCCTGGAGGAACTTGTAGTACCGGGGAGCGCACTTTCTCCGCCATTTCTTCCCCCACACATAGACTGCCATGCCGGCCACTAGAGAGAGGATCACCCAGATGCCGTAGAATAGGAACAACCACCCTGGGCCGGTGGCATCGTAGAACGGCTGTGTGGTCTCGGAGATGATGAAGTTGATGATGGAGCTGCAGATGGCAAGAATGACGACGATCTCGCCGCCAACGCCGGGGAAACATTCCATTGCATAGGCGGTTGCCTGTAGGTGCATTGTTAGTTTAATGGATGACAAGGGTTGACCAGGCATATACGCGGGAACATACTGTTGATGTCGCAGCCACCTGCTGAGCAATCATTGCTCCGATGCCCACCGTGATTGTCATCCAGTGTGCTCCCTCCTGTGCACCCCAGCCATACAGCTCGTATCCCACTGCCGTATAGATGAAACAAGGCGCCAGGGCCCAGAGACGCATCTCCGGCTCCTTAATACCGTCATTGCGACGAGCGAGGTAAATGACAATCTTGTCCCCCATCACACTGGTGAGGTAGCCAACAATACTGCCAACCAAAGCGGACAGGTAGGCAAGTCCAGTCTGGCCGTCCGTGAAGTTGTACGGCGCCCCGGTGAGGATCTCAGAGATGGTCTTGTTGGTCACAATTCCCGAGGTGCAGCCGAAAGCGAAGATGATACCAGCCTGCTGGTATGTTAGCATGTGTTATTATATTGTCAGTGTTAAGGAGTGCCATACAATGATGATGTTGGGGAATGCCAGCAAGAAGAAGGGCCGCTTAAAATACGACCAATACGTGGTCTTGTCTTGAGGATAGTATACCCACAGGCGCAGCTTCTCGGAAAAGGTCCGTTTGGGGAATTGGGACGGCGAAGGGATTGTCCCACTGGCGGCACCCTCGCTGACACTCGCGTTGTCAACCACGGCGGGGTCTTTTTTGTCCACAGAAGCGGTTTCGGCCACGTCTGCCGGGGTTTTGGTTTTGGCTTCCTCGGTGGGCAGGCTCTGTGCAGGGTTGAAGAGGAACCGGGGAAATAGGGTCTCCTCGTAAGTGAAGAAGAAGACGATGATCAACACTGCTTCGCCAATGGAGACTACCCATTGGGCCCAGCGCCAGCCCGGTCCGTCGGCAATGTAGCCACCCGAGACCAGACCAATGATGGAGCCCAGTTGCTGGGCGAAGATGTAGAAACCTAGCATACGACCGCGCTGGTGGTCGAAGAAGAGATCGAAGACGGCCAGCTGAATCACCGCTTCATACGCGGATGTACCAAGTCCATTGACGATGTTGCAGCCATACCATTCGCCTGCCGTATGGAACGCACCCATCCAGATAGAAGAGCCGATGCAGAGAAGCAGGGTGGCGAGAAAGCAGAACCGGCGGCCAATCTTCATGGCCGCTGGGATCCAAAAGATGTTCACCAGACCTAGCATGAGATAGTTGAGAGCGCCACCACCATTCATGATGGTCATAGTGGACCCGGTCATGTCCACGATTGTCGAGTAGGCATCTCCGGTGTTGTTTTCGGCAAAGGAAAAGATACAGGCATAGGCAGAGACAAGGAAGAGGTGCCAGTACTTCTTGAATTTGGACCATTTGAGCGGATCACCCTCGCAGGCCGTGGGAGGGGGCAACAGGATGATGTCGGAGCTGTCGTGGGCGACATCGAGGTCATGTTGAAGATCGATCAGCAACTCCGTGCCGGGGACATCAAGGTCTCTGTCTTTGAAGACTGGCATGGTGATGATAGTGCCAGGGGAAGGCTGAGAGCTCTGCTGGTTGGGAGCACTTCATCGTGTCGGCCAGCTCTCTCTTTATAGGAGGCATTGGGGTATGGCAACAGATGGCGACCACCACGATCCGGGGCTCGATAAGCTTCGGATAATATTAGCCAATGTTACCCCAGGTTTAAGGCGATATCGTTATCGGAAGAATTATCAAAGTGTGGAGGCGACAGGGACGAGCAAACGAGAGGGGCGGCAGGTCCAAGCGACGGAGCAACGCTGGCGGAGGAGCTTAGCCGGACGCTAATTGTCCTAACCTCTGCAACATCTGGTCTTGACTCACGCCATCGACCATGTCGCTATCGACTTTGCCTGTGATTTGCCATCGCCTCGACCTTCCAGGGCCCCGGCCTGGGTTGATATGAGATTAGCCGTGTGCAGGGTAACTTGATAAGCGTGCCCTCCCCCCATCGGCCTCATTTCATTAGCAAACTGAAACCCTCGTGGCCACAGCATGCGTGTCGATCAGTCGTCGCAGCACCCCTCGCTCTCCATTTTCATTCGCATCGACTCCGCACCGCCGGCAGACGTACCCATGCTTCAATCTCCCGTCCTTATCATCGGCGCTGGCACCTGGGGTGCGTCGACGGCCCTCCATCTGGCCCGACGCGGCTACACCAATGTGACCGTCCTGGATGCCTACCACCAGCCCTCCGCCATTTCGGCCGGCAATGACGTGAACAAGATAGTCTCTTTCAGTGAGTGTCTCTTATCAGCGAGGGACCAGAGGACACAGCTAACATACGCACAGCGGACCCCCCCGCTGAGGACGACCCCAATTTCGTCAACAAGACGTTTTTTGCTGCCCTTACCGAAGGGTTCCAGCATGATCCGGTGTTCAAACCCTATTTCCACAACACCGGGAATATCACTGCGGCCTTTTCCCCCGGTGGTCTCAAGCACATCGGAGGGCGCGACCGCGGCCCCGGCATCGTGGAGTTAAACGACCCGGAGGATTTCCGGAAGGCATTTCCCTCGGGTATTCTGACGGGTCCCCTGTCCGGATGGAAAGGCTATTGGAAGAAGACAGGGGCTGGATGGGTACATGCCCGGAACGCCCTCGTCTCTGCCATCACCGAGGCCCAACGGCTCGGCGTGACCTTCATCGGAGGGGACCCTGAAGGTAAAGTTGTGCGCTTAGTTTACTCATCCAACAATGATGTTATCGGGGCTGAGACAGCAGATGGAAAACAACATCTTGCTTCCAAAGTGATTCTTGCTGCGGGTGCCAATGCGGACCAGTTCCTCGATTTCAAGAAACAGCTTCGGCCGACCGCCTGGACGCTGGCTCACATCCGCATGTCACCCGAGGAAGCCGAGGCATACCGCAACTTGCCTGTACTATTTAACGCGGACCAGGGCTTCTTCATGGAGCCAGATGAGGACAAGCATGAACTTAAGATTTGTGACGAGCATCCAGGGTACTGCAACTGGATCGTTAGTCCGGATGGCGAGCGTCGAAGTGTTCCCTTTGCACGTCATCAGATCCCCCTTGAGTCGGCCGAGCGCATCCGCGGCCTCCTGAGAGCAACAATGCCTCAATTAGCGGACAGGCCTTTTTCGTTTGCCCGAATCTGCTGGTGCGCGGATACTGTTGACCGGAACTTTCTCATTGATTATCATCCCGACCACCCCTCTTTACTGCTTGCCGTTGGTGCGTCTGGTCGAGGATTCGCTCATATCCCTTCAATTGGTGGATTCATTGTCGACCGGCTGGAAGGAAAGATGGATCAGAGAATTGCTGATGCAGTCCGTTGGCGACCCGAACAGGCAGTAGATCGGGACTGGGATGATACGCAGAACCGATTCGGGGGAGACTATAAGGTGATGGACTTTCAGAAGGTCAAGGGGTGGACGAATATACAAGAGTCATAGGCGGCTGTCTAGTTCCCGAATGTATGATACTGATGATTGGGATCTTTTCTCTATAGACGTGTTCATTTGGAATAGACCATTCTTTTCACATAGCTAACAATTATCCGATTGTTTCAAGAGTAAAGACGGTGCATAGTAGCGAGCTGTGGAATGTCGATCGCGTCAATGAAGACCAAGGACATTATCCACATAAGGGAATACTGACTAGTCTGCCTCTCAAACCGTCATACTAAAGGCTACCTGGAGTAAAGTACCAATCCAACAAATCCAAACAGCAACAGCAACAGCAAACAAACAGATCCATGTACCTAAGTAAAACGAACCAATAACCATCCGCCCAGCCGATCTCTTCCCGAAGCAGAAGCTAGTGGCGGTGCAAGGGTGGCACATGCGGGGTTGCCCTCCCCGACCCATGTGACATGTCTTCGCGGTGATATCATCGGCTGACTCGCTTCCCTGAGCTGCAGGCCCCCGACTCAGGAGCTCGGGGTGACTATGTCTTGCAAAAGACTATGCTGCATAGCTCTTGAAAGTGCATCTTTCGTTTGTGTTACTTGTGGATCCGACGTGATATATATTTGAGGTATGACTACCGTTCGTTCGACGGTTTGCATGCGAACTGCAGACGGCTTCTTTATCCGCATAACTTGGCCCCTGGTTGTGAATGTGTGCTGAATGGAGATGTTGTTATAGAGTTTGTGTCTTTGACGAAGGGTTACGAATCGAGATAGTCGCCATGCAGCAGTGGAAGAATTGGAGACGTCCGTCTCTACGCCAATCGCATGACCCCGTCTTGACGGCTGAAGACGAGGCATTCCTACAGGAGATCATGTCTGATCCGGCGAATCAAGGACCGGTCTCGCCTGCTACTGAAGTCGATAATCATCTATCGCCTGTGTCCCCCGTGCCGACGGAAACGCTGGAAACTACCCAATCGCCCGTGTCGCCGGCAGAGGAGTTTGGAAGGGAGCTAGGGGAGGAAGAACGAAAGGCTAGAGATAAGACGGAGCGCTCGCAGAGTGTCTCCCAGGGTTCAAAAGCTGAAGGATCTTCTCAGAAGAAGGGACCGTGGAGCTGGATTCGAAGGAAGAGTACCGTGGAAAAGAAGGTAGCGATTCCCCCACCCTTCTGTTTCTATGCAGTTCTGACTATTCTGCTGTAGGGTAAGGAAAACGGGAATGAACCGGTGTCAGCACCTACTCCAAGCGATGTACAGCTCTCCGAGCGGAATAACGATGAGGAGGCCAAGCAGGAAGCGGAAGACATGACGGAGATCCTCGAACGCCTTAACCTGGCGGCGGAAAACAACCGCGTGTTTTCCATGGGCGACGAGACACGAGAGCTGCTTCGTAAATTCACGTTGATCTTTAAAGACTTGATCAATGGTGTCCCCACGGCATACCATGATCTCGAAATGCTCCTCAAGAACGGCAATAAACAACTGCAAAGCACATATTCCCAGCTTCCCAAATTCATCCAGAGCTTGGTCGAGAAGCTTCCGGAGAAATGGACCGAGACCCTGGCCCCTGAAGTTCTGGCAGCTGCCACTGAAAAGGCCAGCAGGAGTGGTATCAACGTGGACAATGTAGGCAAGGCTGCCGCGGCCGCCAACAAGATGGGGCTAAAGGTGCCCAGCCTGAAGGAACTGGTGGGGAAGCCGGCAGCACTTGTAGGAATGTTACGGTCCATCATGGCCTTCCTACGCGCCCGGTTCCCTGCGGTGCTGGGCATGAATGTGCTTTGGTCATTGGCATTATTCAGTAAGTTGCGCAATGTTACATCTAGATGGTACGGGCACTAATATTAAATAGTCCTGCTGTTTGTCCTCTGGTACTGTCACAAACGTGGCCGTGAGATCCGACTTGAAAATGAGCGTCTTGTGACCGAAGAGGAGATTGGAAAACTGAATGAGGCGTCCCCTGAAGAGCAGATCCGCAGGACTGAGACGTTGACGACCACGGCTCCCCGAGGAGCTTCCGCGGCAGAAATCCGCCAGGGGGTAAAGGAGGTCGAGCAAGCACGAGGGGCAGCCGCTATTGCGAGCAGCTCCAAGGAGAAGGAAAATGCGCCTAAGAATGACATGGCCACTCGGCCCAAAAGATCCAAGTCAATATTGTCCATCTGGTCTAGGTCGGACCAAAAAGCAACACCGGCAGCACCAAAGATTGAACCTTACCCAGGCACGTGAGTATGGCGTTATCACTTTTGGCGGGGCGGAATCGTTTTTTGAGTCATCTGATACCATCTGTCTTCATCTGAAATCCATGACTGGACGTCTTACGACGACCTGTGCTCTGGCCTGAATCAAAGCATCACTTAGGCTACCTCAAACATCATGCGACCCATGGTTGAAGAGCGGACCGGACATGTTGCGGGCAACCTGGCTCCGGGTGGCAACGTTCATCTCAGATCCTTCAAGGCCGTTCTGGAAGGTTGGCCGTCTAGCCGCCCTTCCCGGCGGTGCTGGCGCCGAATCAGGGGGCGCTTCGTAGCTGGAGGCACTTAGACCGCTACCGCACGAGTCGAATCATTCACATCCAAGTAGATCACCAAAGTACCTTGCACAATGCCCCATCATTGCCAACAGCATGATCCTGTGCTGGACGACGAGCAGCTTGCCAGAAAATCGACGAGACTGCGGGGTGCAGCCACCAACCCAATCATACAGCTAAAAGTAGCCACGCATTGGCCAATGGGGTCTGTAACGGCTGCCGATCCTGAGCAAGCGCCCCACTTTCGGGGCTAGTGGTACGGTGGTAATACTGTTACATACAATAGCGGGCAGCATCATCTCTCCACTATCTCGCCTCAAATCTTGATAACGATAGGGCACTCCTTAGAATCAGGAAAGAAGTGAATGGAAGCTATTTCTTCTTAGCTGACACGACGGCGCTTATTGAGGACAAGTATAGCATTGCCACGCCCCTATTCATCTACTCCATGAGCACGGACTGACCATACCATTCCTAAAATGAATGCGTAATGAAAACTCGTCCCTCTCCCTTCTGCTGGTTATCAGCCCATCCATGATCCTCTGCGCAATTCCCTACCCATCAATAACAACACCCCATTACGAAACGACAACCACTAGATACCATTCCCTTCACATGTTGATACCACCCACACCCGAAGATCAGGATAAAGACACCGGTACTCCGTACGGAGTACCTCCCTAGCACTAGGTAGATAGATCAATCATCCAACCGGCTTACATAGTAGTAATCCCCGGCGGCAGCCAGCTGTCCCTCCCCTCCCCTCCCCTCCGTCCGCTTTACCGCTTGTTTTGAACCAATTACAACATGCATGCATCATGTACGAATGCCAAAGGCTGCCATGCCTGATTTTCACTCTCTTTTTCTGTTGGCACGTTAGGCGAGGACTAATGTATGTATGTATCTACCGAGAGGGAGGGAGTGGTGTGGTGCATTCTTGGATTGCCCTGGTTTTGATTCTTTGGTCTGTTGCCAGCATTGGTAGTATCTTGGGGATTGTTTCATTACTACGGAGTACTAGAAGGGAGAAGAGTACTAACTTCCTATGGAGTGGTGTTAATCCCCGAGGTTAGGAATAGAACTAGTATATCAACGACGCAATAATAATACTCATGAATTTAAACCGCGGATAATTGACAACAATTTAACAGTTGCCTGAATATCGTACACGGTCCCTCGTATGATCGTAGTAGGCGAAGGAGAAGGAACAGTGCCCGGGCCGTTCGGGATGATGCCGAAAATGTCACGGACCCTCGTTGCCGCTGGAACTTTTGATGCGGTGGCTTTTTCCTACGATTCCTGCCCATGTTACTCGTTGTCCTATTTTTGTCGCCGTGTCGGAGTTTGGGCGGGATCACGTGTTGGTCTTTTACCTCGTACGGAGTACTTCTCTCGAGGAATATAATTTGGAGGGTGTATTCAAATTGTTGGATGGTCTTCTCTACAATTAGGATATTATTGATGTCTTCAATTTGTTACATAGTATCCATCGGAAAGGTGTTGGTTAGATATCTGCACTACATAAGTAGGTCGGAGAATTAACCGTCGGTCGGTCAGAGGGCTTGGGACTTGCTGCGTTGGTCACTAAAGCATGCCTGGATCCTTGTGGCTCTCGGGCCAGCCTTAAGGAGAACGGTGCAGCGTGGTGCAGCCGCTGAAGGCTGAGGCCTGGGCTTGAGCCGCGGATACCGAGGCTCTGGCGCTTTGTAGAGGACGGAGTACCGTGCGCTGGTTACCCATGTTCAGGGTCGGGATCTCAAATCTATGCCTTACTAGGGTCAATCGTGAAGAGGACTGCTGACGGGGGGATTAGTATTAGAACAATGACTATTCCAGGTTGATGGGATTATGACAGCCGATCATAAATCAGAAAATGAATACATGGAGCATTGGCTGCCCATCTTTCAGACGATACTCCGTAGTGAGGTGAGTACTCCATTGCTGAAAGAAGCGATCAACTTGGCTGGCAGCAAGGAAGAATCTTAGTACTATGGACAGCGAGGCCGCAAAGATCCACTAGCCCCAAACGGGTAAAGCATAGCCGCCAGAGCCGTGCTCGGCCAATCCGAGAGGTGGGATTGACCTCATCCGGTAAGGTGTCCATCGCGGTCACCATCCGGATCCATCCATGTCATCCTCCTTACTCCCGACCTCCTGAAAGTGCAGCCCGTCCGGCAGCCATCTCGTGTTTCCTGCGTCTGCACGCGCTATGATCAGAACAACTGCATTGGATGGATCACGTCCACCTGATTGAGCATCAGAATGCTATGACGATATGAGACGGGTGGCACCGTGCAGAGGGCACGGTTCAACAGCTGTCCTCCCTTTCTTAGCGGCAGGAGTTGGCCTGGAAGATTTGCTTTTTCCCCTTCTGATGGCCCGCTCTGCATGCCACGATTCGGAAAAAGACCCCCCTCCTCTACTATCAGAGGCTCGGGAGGGATCTGCGTTCTTGCCTGCATGCCTGTGATCTAACAGATTGCATTTACATCCTGCGTAGCTCTAGGGTCGGTGGTGTAATGCCGTACGATGTACGTCAGGGTACAGAGAGCATGTAGCGGTTGGCCATATACGTGCCATCCCGAGATCATCATCCATGGTCCTCCAGAAGCGCTGGGCGATCTAGACGAGCGCAGGCGAAAGGGGTGAGTCACCAATGCTCACCTGGGATGACTCCGTCCATGGCACTCAGCGCTGTCCATGATTTGCCCGGCGATTCCTGCTAGGCAGGCGGAAGAGCGGGCCAAGTCATGGATGGCAATCAAAGTACCTAGGGTAATTTCTGGCCACAGGCTGTCCACTTCAATTTACCGTCGGTACCCATACCTCCATTCGTATGGAAAGATCATCTAACGCCATCTGCAGTTTCAGGTACCCAACGAGGGACTACCCAAGTGCCTTCAGCATCCAGGGAAGAACGTAGGTCCTATGTAGAGATGGAAATCACGGTAGTACATGCCGGAGCTCATTCCGGCACAGCCTTATGACCCCATACGTATGTACTAGTTAAGGGGTATGTCATGGACGGAGGATGGACTGCGGATTCCATGTGTTGCCTCTCTGGCCGGTCGTGACTAAGTGGTACTAAACCGGTCATATCACTGTCGCCTTCCCTCCAGACTGTTACAGTCCCCGGGCCCTGATTGGCTCCCACGACTGAACGAACAGCAGAGGCCCAGCTGGGGTGGATGCAGGCAAAAAAAGAAATGGGCAAAAGAAAAAAAAGATGCGGTGAACGCCCGCCCGCCAATGGTCGTGCCTGCTTTTGTGGTTCCTGACCAATCATCACCCCGCAGACTGCGACCGGCCGAGGCGGGCTCCACCCTGACTGGAAAATTTGGCCCGCCCCAGGCAGTCCGAGGCCGTTCCGTCTGGTAACCTCCTCGTCACGGTACGACGGCGTACGGATAGATGATCTTCTCCCTGCTGTCTTTTCCTCCCTCCTTCCAAACATCTATTCCACCCCTCATCTCCTCTGCCAGCTTCTGTCGCAGACTCTGCCTTTAACCCCCCATCCACTCCCCAGACCCCTTTTTCTTCTTCTTTACCATCCAGATATCGTCAAGGGTTCCGCGCCAGGATGGCTTTCGCTGAGCTGTAGATTCCTCGCTGGGGGGCACGGCTGCCTTTTCCATGCTCCCCAGTCCAGCAGCTCCGACTATCTCCAATTGACTTGACGATCTATCTGTTCCTCTTTCGACGCAACGACAGCCAGCGTCGGAATTGCCCCTCACCACACTTACAGGAGAAGCACTTTGACGTCCCTACTGGACGGTGAGGTGCTTTTGCGGTCTACGAAAAGTTCTTCCCTATCGTCTCCTTACCCTCCCCTCCTCCGTCCGATCTCCCTACCGATTTCCACCACCGATCCTGACCTCCCCCACCCGGTCTTGCATGACGATCACGACTGATTCCTCTCCATCTACGCCATAACGATTTCACGGTCCACATAATCCCGCCGAACTTACGATATCGGTCCCTGAACCTGTCTGCTCAAGTCGCTGACGCAATTGATTCTTTGCGGCCGCTTGACGGGTAACAAACTTTGTCCAACCACAAGTCTCTCCCCCCAACCTAACCTTGTCCCCGTGCCAAGTTGAGCTGGACGAGCCCATACCAACAAAAACCAAACAATCCCTATTGTTGACGACACAATGTCGCCAACACTCCATTCCCCCAAGCGGTCCCCTCAGGGTGCCGCCAAGGCTGGTTACCACCGCAGTTCGAGCCCCCGGGCTCTCGATTCCAACCCCGCCGGCCGTTCTCCGAGAACATCCAACAAAGCTATCTCCCTCAGCTCCCTGACGGCCGATCGCAAACGACGAGCCTCTTCGTCCGTCTCGAGTGTGTCGTCCGTCTCATCCATTGGGGAGCTCAGCGATGATGCAAACGATTCCGAAGATGATGACGCGGATGATGAAGAAGAACAGCCAGCTGTCCGTGGCCCGTCTTATGGTCGCCGTGACAGGGCTCATAAGACGGGTCTAAAATCCCAGAAGAGGACCAAGAAGATGAAGTTTTCGGATGATGACGGCTATGACGGTCAACGGAGTAGCGATGACAACGAGTCCGATGAGAGCTCAGATGATGTCTACGCCGCTGTGGACTACATCAGCGACGGCTCGGATGATGAGGAACAAGATGTTGAGAAGTTGGAAGAGCTGTTGATCGTAGAGTCTGAGAATGAGAACCCCGTTGGCGGTATCTTGGCAGCTCCCGGCACTGACAATTGGGCCGGCCCCAATGTCTTCGACGATCACATGATCCTGTCGGCTGCCTCCTTCTTTGACGAAGAACAGCTTTACACTGCCATGGAGGCCTTCGGGGAGACCGACATGGCTAGCGAGACCGCGATTGAGACCCCGGTGCCGCGCCGGGTGCACTTTGAAGAGGACTCGGATTCCTCGTCCGATAGTGATTCACACACCGAAGACGAAATCCCCAGTGATTTCCTTCAGCAGGACAGCCTCGACCCTCAGTTGCGTCGCATGATCGACAATGATAACAACGAGAAATACTCCCGCCGCCGGCGCCAGTCTGACGAGATGTATGCCGAGTCTGACTATGGGCATTCCAACATTTATCACGTGGAATCCGACGCCATCTCCGATGGTTCGGAGTCCAGCGGCTATGAAAGTATGCAGAAAGCTTGTCAATTTCGCCTAGTTCTCTTGCTGACACATTAAAAGCCGATGATGGCGAGACTACAGATGAAGATCTTCCCCCTCCTGCCACCATCACACACCCTAGATCTATCCTGCGCCGTGATTCTTCGGCTTCGTTGGCCCCCGCCGGGGATGAGAAGAGCGAAAGTACTACACGTCGGCGAGGACCCATTATGGGCACTTTCGTCGCCGACCCTCACAAGCCTGTTGCATTGGTTGACTGCACTGGCAAGCATCTGGTGATCATCCCAGCATATGCTTCGTCTCGTCACGACTGGCTTGAATCTGCCACGAACAGCGTTTGCGGTACGGCTCATAACAGCCCGCGCGCTACTACAATGCACCTGATCGACGAGAGCGACACGGAAGCCCTTGCGTCGCCCAACCGTCTTGACATGAGCCCCATGTTGGCGTCCAGCGCCAATCTTATGATGACTGCACTGGGTAATGACATTGCGCCCGGCGGCCAGGTCATGGGTCCGCCGGAGGCATTTTACCCCTCCCGCGAATTTGCTATTGATAGCTCTTTCGAGGACGACGACGAAGACGACCCCGAGGCTGCCTTGAACGTCGAAGACTTCATTGACTTCGGCGATGGCTCGTCGGATGACGAAATGGACAAGGCCTTTGACGAGGAATCACTCATGTCTCCCATGGTGGCTCGGCCTCTCCAAGCGGGCGCGGGTACACCGACGCCCAATCGCGGGGTTGACTCACAACAGGCTAGTAGTGCGGAGCGATTCCTAAACCATCTGGATCGTGGCATTGTGACGGCATTCCGTCGTAATCACAACCGCTACCAGGCCCTCTTGCGCCTCCCACAGCATCGGGAGTTCATGCCGGCCAACTCGCCGTCTCGTCCTGCTAGCGTCTTCCGACATGCACGCCATGCGGACCAGCGCACCCCCACCCGCAAGCGCAAGGCTAGTGGGTACAACGGCGGGGAAGCGGTGCGCCGAAAGCTCATGGACGCCCACCGTCGCAGCCAACTTCCTTTTTAATTGCCGTCCGACCCACGCGATACCCTGCTATCTCTGCTTTGAGACGAACTTAGCGTGCATGGCTTTCCACTAGTTCCTCGAACATATTGAACTTTTGTACATGGCTTTAGAGTGTTCTGCCTGCGCAGGCGGGCAGACTTCGGTCTTCTTTCTCATGTGGGCGGGAAGAGGGATTGGCATGACCAAAAGTTCGAGTTTGATGATGACGTTTCTACTTCTGGAGTTGATCAAAGGATATACCTTGTGTTACGAAGACCTTTCCCTTTCTGTTTTGATTTTGCGGATCTTCCATGGTCGACATGTGAGCAATGTTACGCCGGCGTAGAATACGAAAATGCAATAAGAACTTATTTACTCCAATCACCGGCTACGAATAGTCACCTCCTGTCATATCGTATCGGGCGTACGACAGCCCTCGGGCACCATGTCATGCCTCATGTAGATGATGCTTGTCTCGGTGTATAACCCAGCGGAAATGAGAATACCACCCTATGCAAGCCACGCCAGGGGTTCGCAGTAACTGCAACGCCCCCAGAACCCTCCGGAGCAGGTAGAACAGAGCCATTGTACGACACACCAGGGCCTCATCGTTGTGTAGTCGAGCTGGCCAACAAGTTATGGAAACGAGCCCGTCGAATCCGGACCAATCCTCTTCGAGCACACGACATGAGAAGCAAGATATATATCTGCTCCATCATATTTCCATCCCATCAACCGACAAGGTTTGTCCGGTATCCCTGCTGGAATGCGGAGACGGCAGACACAACCTGGAGTCACGGTCCAGGCCTTGAGCCATCTGGCTAGGTCATAACGGAATGAATTCCACAGTAGCATTTCTATGTATTCCGGGGCCCTCAGACCTTCTGTCCTGCACCTGATGATTGCTTATTTCCCTCGTTCAGCTGTGGCGGCAATCCGTCGGGACTTTAATTCACGGCGGTTACCCGGTCAATTGGAATGTGCGTCTCTCTCTCACTCTCACACACACTATTAGTCTAGTCTATTCGATCAATTTGGGAAGGGAATTACTTGTAAGACATGGGTGAGTCAATCAAATCGTCTCCGGGGATATTTATAGAAAGGGGCAAAGGTAATTTCGGCGGTTGCTGGAGGGGCGACGAATGTGAGAGCGGAAGAGAGGGGGATGGCTGGTGGTCAAGGTTCAGCGAGACGCCGGGTGACTGCACGCAAGCAAGCTTAAGCGTTGAAGATCGGAGCGTTCCATTGGAAATGGCCCCAGGATTTGTGTTTGGGTTAGGTCTGGGCATGGAGTTCCTTTGTTCTGGATGGTGGAAATTGGAGCCTGGGGTGATCCTGACGTGGTGATGTTCATGTTATGAGGGATGAGGGATGGGAGTGAGGTTGCTGGTGTCACTGACCCGACACATGACCCTCTCTGCTTGGCTGCCCCTCTTCTTCCTCCCCTCTTGCTCTTTGTTCACTGGCTTTTATCACATTCACTTATCAGATGCGTGGATGTCCAGTCCTTTGGTGTTGGTTTATTGCCACCATCGTTCGATCGAGATGATGGAATACTCAGTGTCATGTCGTTGCTATGGGCTGAGATGACTGCTGAGGGCATCTGGCTGTGAGACATCAGACCAGGCGCAGCCACCGACGCCCTCTCTTTCATGAGGCAAATAAAGGTTCTTCACCATCTTACCTTTTCGGCGGAGCCAAATGCCGGTCTCTGCCAACTTTGATTGGCGATGCCTTCGCGCCCCCGTCAGGGTCTTGGACCCTGTTCCTGCACTAGCGACCGTCGGCGCTTCTGGATTGGATTGGCCATTGTGACACCGACTGCGTACGCATCAACACGCTGCTAGTTGGAGCAGGTTGTGTGCTTGCTTGATTGTCTTACTTGAAAAGTCCGGTCTTTGGCCATGGAGAACTGCCGTGAATGACCCTGTGAATACTAGGCGACAGCCTTTGTCCCTGTTGCTTTTTATGCCGGAGCTTGTCCCCTTTTATAACGGAGCCTATCGCACTTCCAGTGTTATATCTATGGGTCCGGCCCTCCTGGGTAACAGAATACTTCTGCTGCCTTGTTTTCTTCCCAAGCTATCTCTCGTTGCTAGTGTTTCTTTGCTCCAGTGCTCTGGTATTTAGACGCTCGTTTATCTTCGCTCGTTGACTTGTTCGTTTCTTTGGTTATCTCCTAACCCTTCATTTATTCAAAATATTGCATCTCATACAACTCTCTACGTCTGTACTGTCCGTCTGAACCCATCCATCATGAGGGCCGTAGTGCTGGCCTCTCTCCTCTCGGTCTCCCTCTGGCCTCTTGCGGCTTTGGCGCACCCCAGGGGTTTGGTAAGTGTGTTTCTGGGTATGTGCCTATGCAGAGCTGACTTTCATAGGTGTGGGAAACCGATGAATGCTATCCTAGCCCGGGAAAATCCGACAATGACTGTTCTGACAACCAGAAAACTGGTTTTGACTGGTCAGGCCTCGCTCTCGGTTCCTTCTCGGCCTATGCTGGCTTTGACTTTTCGGGCTTCTCCTTGAAAGAGAGCTTCGGTGCTTCTGGCTCTGGTAGTGTAAGTACTACATGACTCGTGTTGCTTCATAATCTAACGATCCTAGGGGAAATGCATCGTTGGCAAGCTCTCGAAGGGAAGCTCTTCGGGCCCTAAGATGTCTTCCGGACAAAGCCAGAAGGGATTCTCGGTCAGCAGCTTCCGTCTTGCCACGTCCCAGGAAGCCGATGTCCACATCATTTATAATATGCCTGACGGGTCCACCTGCAAAGATGTTGCGTCCTGCTCCCCGGCCGGTACAGATGTCGCCAACGATCAATGCGGTGGTGCCGCTTCAGTGAGCTTCGAGCTAGATGCGGACACCGATGTCGAAGCCTGTGACTTGGGTATCTACAAGGTCAGCTTCGATTGCTCGCCTGGCCAGGACCCATCGACATCCAGTACCCTTGCCCTTCCGTCCTCGACTAAAGCGAGTGGCTCCTCCACCCCACTCATCCCAGTGGCTCCGCCCTCATCTGCAGCCGCGACGACTCCTGTCCCTACAACACCAGTCAGGATGACCACGTCGACTGTTTATACCACTCGGGAGGTGACCATCACAAGCTGCGCACCTACCGTGACTAATTGTCCGGCGAACTTGGTCACCGTGATCACCTCCACCATTGCTGTTTCGACTACTGTCTGCCCGGTTACTGAATCCTCTTCTGGGAGTTCCCCAGCCAAGGGTACGTCAGCGGAGAGCACTTCTAGCATGCCGCTGATCACGACGTCTGCCAGAGTTCCATCTGGTAGCTCCCCTGTCGAGCTCACTTCTCCTTCGAGTCCGGCCCCTACTGCCCCTGCTTCATCCACCTCCGTTGTTGCACCAGGGCATGGTTCTTCAGTTCCCGCAGTTGACAAGACTACTGTCATCACATATGTGACGGTTACCACCTGTCCAGTGACTTCTACCGGCTCTGCGGGCGGCTCGCTCACCACGTCAGTGGGGACGACGGTCTCTACTGTCACGCTGACCTCGACATCAACCATTTGCACCAAGTGTGTTGCTCCGACTTCTGCTGTTGGGTCCTCCGTTGCGCCAATTTCGTCTGGCCCGGTGTCCGTGCCTGAGAGAGTGACCACTGTTGTCACTTGGGAGACCGTGACCACCTGCCCTGTGACCCATGTTGTTACCTCAAGTGGTGTTCCTGTCACCTCAGTCACCAGCACGGTCTCAACCCTGACCCTAACCTCCACCTCGGTGTCCACGGTTTGCCCTGGGTGCTCAGCTTTACCAACCTCTGTGGTTTCCAGTGCTCATGGCCCGTCCGGGATTGCTCCCATCTCATCCGGACCTGTCTCTGTTCCCGAGAGCACAACAACTGTGGTGACCTGGGAAACCGTGACCACCTGTCCTGTGACTGCCATCGTCACCTCGAGTGGCAAGGCTATCACCTCAGTCACCAACACTGTTTCAACCATCACTCTGACAGCCACTTCCACCATTGCCAAGACAGTCGGACCCTCGGGGGCCTCGGGTGCCACCGGAGTGCCCACTCCCGCTCCATCTGCTCCTTGCCCTAACACGGTGCCCAAGTGTATCAATACCTGGCTAAACCTGCTTCCCAAGTGCAACTCCAACAGCGATATTAGCTGCTACTGCCCATCCGATGAGTTCACCAAGAAGGTCATTGCCTGTATCCAGGCATGGGGAGCCTCTCAAGCAGAGGTCCAGGCCGCTCTCTCCTACTTCACTGGTATCTGTGCTGCCTATATCCCGCGAAACCCAGGCATCGTGACCGTCATCCCTACCACAATCACTCTGGGTCCTGGTCCCACTGGTGCCTCCCCGGTGACCGGTACAGCCCCTCACTCAGCTCCCAGCGGTGCCGCGCCTGTAACCAAACCCGCCACGGCTGCAACCCCTGCGCCATACACAACCGTCACCTACTCCACCTGGACCGTGACTGTGCCCAAGGTTGTGTTTACCACCGCCAGCGGAAGCACGCAGACCACCGTGGGCCTCATCCCCGGAGGACCAACCAGCACCTCAGCCATCTCCACCCATCTCACCAATCCCTGGGCGTCATCGACCCTGGGCACCTCCTCAGCCCGACCAACTCCGTCCCGGTCCCCCAGCTCCACTCCTCCTCTGCTGTCCAACACCGGAGCGAACGAGAAAGCCCCTTCGTGCTGGTGGTTGGGCGTGGCTATTGCCGCTCTCTTGGGTGTCTATCAATAGTCTCTTGGACAATCCCATGAAGAAAGACTCAAGTTCAGGTGTAAATTGCATTAGTTAGCTTAGCTTAGCTCTTGATAATTAGCTAGTGTATCTATGGTTTCTTGACTTGCTAATAAAACACTTTGCTTGTTTATACTTTCATTACATCTGATTCCAAACAAGATGTTAAACCTACCTCATGTGAATCATCTCCACTCAACTACCACAATGTAGATATCCTCCCATATTGTCACCAGACACACTCCATAACTAAACCAGCAACTCACCTATACCCGATACCTATAACTAACCTACTCTCTGATCTCCCCCTCCCAGCCAAAACAAATCCCCCACGAATCCCAACGATCAGGATATCCAATCAGCAGACATCCCCAACGCTTTACACACACCATTCAAATATACAATGGTACCGAAATAATCCCTGCATATACATTGGACACGTGACACATTATCAAACACTCTGGAAGAAGAGAGAGCTCTTCTAGATATCTTTCCGTCTATACATCCCATCCCATACCAGCCGAACGGAACCATACCCATCCATACATACCTACTAAGACAGTATATAATACCCCAGCAGATACCAAGTACTAAGTACCTCCAAAACAGAGATGCTATATCAATGTCTCTCACAACACCGTTACTTACTCACTGAGTAAGTAAGCGAATCAATCTATTGGTAGATGACTAGGTAGGTAAGTGAATATTTCCTATCCATCCAAACATCTATCTATCCATACTTTTCAAACAAATTAACCCCTCTTCGAAATACGTACTATGTATGTATGTATGTATGTATGTATGTATGTATGTATCCATGTATGATATTGGGGAAGGGAAGGGAGGGGTAAGTTCCTAGACCACGGCTAGGGCTATTTTTAGGTTGAGTTAGGTAAGGTTAGGGTAGGTTAGGTTAGGTTTATTCTTCCCTTGTCCCTTTATCTCTCCCTCACTCATCCTCTATTTGATTCTTAGGCGGGGATAGATAGATAGATAAACCCGGTAATATCATCTTCAGAGCAGAATATCAGTTAGACTTTTTGACTGCTTGTGTGAAGTGTCTGTAGTACTAATTGATAGATGGAGGAATAGCTAGTAAAGAATGAATAAGAACAGGGTCTGGAAAGGCTTACAAATAAGCATAAATACCGTGACGTGCAAGAAAAATCCTAAGGCAGCGAGACTACCAGGGTTGGTTGCATGACGTGAGAGCGAGGGGAAGAGGAGGAGAGGGCAGGCAGCATCAACACTAACATCAACACTAACATCAACATGAACTAAACTACATAACATGGCATGTAAGCTGCAAGCATGTACAATCATTCATTCCTACCGACCTACTACTTCCTACTATCCATCCTATCCTATACTAGCGTATGATATATCCAACGAAGCAACACGAACAAATCTATCATCAGCCAACCTAACGCCGTCCCAAGGAATCCAGTCCGAAGCAAAGGGGAGAATCAACGATCAAATCAGAGAGTCTGAGTCACAAATGAAAAGAAGAAGAAAAGAAGAAGGAATAAAATGGAGGAGTGTCTCGCTCCGTCCCATCCAAGCAAAGCCACAGGCGGCCAATCAATCCCAACGCCCGTCAATGGTATTTATTAAGTACTCCCGCTACCGATCCTGTTACACCTTCCCGACTAGCCATGTGGCTAGACGTAAACGCCCGTGATATATTGCAAAAGGCTATGGCTAGCCCGTTTTGGTCTTCTTCGAACGCTCATTGCTCGTGATCTCGACCGTGTCTTTTTTAAGTGGGTATAGGTGCACGCCCATTTCCGTAGGAAAGTCCGGGTGTAATAGGTTGAATCGGTTCGGGTTCTGCGGCACCCCATCCACGTCCGCAGGAATGGCCTCGACCAGGAGCTGCACGAAGCCGCGATCCACAAACCCGGCCGGCTTGAGGTGCATCCGGTCGATGCGCGCCCAGTCATCGTCCACCTCCTCGTTCATCAGAGGAGGCAGGGGAGGGGCGCCGCTGTTGCTTGAACGCGCGTGGTAGTTGGCCAGGATGTGGTACGGGAGGTTGGGACGCACTGCGGGCTTGTCTGACAGCTCCGCCAGCGCGTTCAAGGCATGGTTGCCATGCGTCCGCGTGGACCGCGTGGCATGGAAGTTCTGACTGGCCGTTCGAGCCATGTCGGCCGCAGGGGTGCCATTGTCCTCGGCACCCGTGCCGTCCACCCCAGAGTCATCGACGTCGGTGTTGTTGCCGTTCGTCGCCGCCCCGGACGGCTGATCCGCACGCTTGGACGTCGAAAAGAAGTGGACTGTCGCAATGTGCGCGTTATTCGCGTGAGCGCCCAGCTCCTTCTCCGTGAAGAGAGAATTGATAGAGTAGGACGGCGCTTGCTGTTGCTGGGCCACCTGCGCCTTGGCACGCTCGGCCGGGTTGGCATAACCAGAATCGCGCACAGGCGAGCCCACGTCCTCATCGGCCGCCTTTCGCTTCCGCTTATTAAGATGTTCCGACATGATCCCGTTGCTGCCGAGCTCTTCCAGATCGACCCGGTGGCGGGTGTGACGGGTCTTGCGGTTTCCGTGAATCCCACCCGGACTGGCCGGGTTGGTGATGCTAAACTGATTAGGGTGGAGGAGGAGCGCGTTGGTATCGGCCAGATCCAGCTGCTCTTTTTCTCGCATCAAGCGAGCCCGCTTACCCGAGATGGTCTGAACGAGACGCTCTCGGAGGGTCATGGAGAGCGAGTGGTATTCTTCCTCTGCAAAGTGGACCCGAAAGGCATACTCGTGCTTGAACCGTTCTAGATTATTGTTATGACGATGCTGATAAAACCCACATTAGTATGCGACGAACCCACCCAACAGAAAGCAAGATCACTCACCACCAACATAGCCAAATCCGCGTCTTTATCCGCTTTGATATGATTGATCTCCTGCACGAACCGCGAATACCACATACCCGCCAAACTCGCCATCTCCTTGGCGAACTTGCCCCCGCCGACGGTATTTTCAATCAGGTGGGCGATGTCATCCGCCGAGTCGGGGAGGGGGCCCGGCTCGTACGGATCCGCATTGTTGATGAGGGTCATGTCGCATTGCAGGGCATGCAATTGCTGGCGGAACTGGGTGTCTCGGTTTTGGCTGAACGAGGCCGTGAGATCATGGAGGCGCTCCTGGAGCGCGCTGCGTCGCTTGTCCCGTTTCGACAGCGGGACGCTGGTCGGGGGACTGGTGGAGCGGCCTCTAGATTGTAAGCTGTTAGACATCAGGGGGGCCCCGCCGCCGTGGACAGGGGAGGCCGGAGCAGGGGAGTAAGCCATGGCGAGATTGAGGTGCTGGCTGGGCTGCAAATTGTAGTGAGGAGGAGAGTGGGCAACAGTGCGAGAAGAGGATAGCGACCGCAAGCTAGTGGGGAGGCAGAGTAGGCAGGGCAGAACACTGCAGCCGGGACAAGGCAGGGCGAGACCGAGGGAGTCGACCAGCCGTCTGCATAAGCACGAGAAGGACAGGGCCGGGCAAATTCGAAGCGAAGACGAGGAGGCAGAAGATTGAACTGGAGAGTGACGGAGGAGCAGAAGGCGGGAGGCCGGCCGTTGGCCCGATGAGGCTTAGCCTCGGGGACATTTTTGACCGCCCGCTGCCTCGGTCTTTTCCCGGCTTTTCCTTGCATCGCGCAGTTGGACTACGAGCACCACGATGTCGTTCTCCCTACGCACGCAACACTGTCACCACTCTCGTGCCGGCAAGGCGGATCATATATTTCCATAATCTAGTAATAATAAAGATAATAATAGTAATAATAATCACATGCTAGTGGTCATCACGCTTCCATGAAACAGATATCCTGGGTATTTTCATCCGATAATAGCAAATGCACAATCCATGCTCCCTAGACATCCCAAACGTGCCAGATCGACCCCAGACGCCGCCGGACCCGCCAGACCCCCTTTTTATCGCACAGTTATATATCCAGCAAGAAAAATAGCAAGCAAACACAAGAAGATGGAGCTTCCACGTCCGATGGAGGCGGGGAGGCTCTCCTGCAACTGGCTCCACAGCTGCAGAACCCGCTTAGTGAGTCCGACGGATCACAAAAACGCCCAACTCAACGCCGTCCCGGGGCTTCGAGTCCTCGCCGTACGGCCGACGCCGGATTCCATCCAGGATCTCGCCCAGCAGCATGGCCGACGTCACTTCCTTGTCCTCCAGGATGTAATTCGTGGACATGTTCGACACAGCCTTCGTGGCGGGGAGACGGCGGCCATTCTGCCAGTACACGCTGAGCACCTCCTTCATGCGAGACTTCTCCTGGTGAATGTACCACTCGGTCCACAGATCACGATCCAAATGGGCGCTGCCTTTGCGGGCATCGACGATACTAAATTGGGAAGACGACGTGCTCAACTGGCCACACAGCTCGGTGAGATTGTTCCGCATCGTGTCAAAGTCTTCCATGTGGGAGACCGAGGAGAGCTTGCCCAGATACCGACCGATATCGGTGGACAACTCATTGACGACCACAAGCTGACGAAGCAAGGGGTCCAGGATGGGTCCCAGGTACTGTGACTTGAAGGTCGACGCTCCCCTGCGCGTGGGGTAGACAAACAGTAATGACCCTCCATCGGGAGACAGCTCGTGCAGCCGGTCCACCAGGAAGGACGGTCGGGAGGCCGAGAACAGGTCCTTGTACTCCTGTGCCGACGATGGGGGGAGATAGCGTTCCAGGACCGAGACATGAACAGTGAACGGGGGTACGACCGGCATCGGAGAGTGCGCTGCCTTGGCCTGGATCGGACCCCGGAAATCGTGATAGGCGGAAACCACGGCTGCGCTGGAAAAGACAGCGGGGTTGAAATAGTCTTCGCTGTGGAACAGCGAGCGAGGTGTAGGTGGGGGAGAGCTGGGTAAGTTGGAGAGACTAAATTGTTCGGGAACCGCATGTGTGATGTTGATGTATGGAGATTGCCCGTGACGGAGGCGATCTTGAACCGCGTGGACGAGGGCGCAGTACACACTGTCGTGTGCTGAGACCGGGGCAGACTTATCCGCCGGTCGTGGGTAAGGCAGCATTTGCGAGACTATCTTCACAGCCTCTCCGCGACCGTTTGAAAAGGGAAGGGATGATACTGCACGATGAGAATTAGCGTCCGCAACTCTAATAATGCAATTTAGCGGGGAAGGTATAACCACGACGCACCTGATGCTTCGATACTATTTTCCAGCCATGAGTTGTGATCACAATCCATATCGCCCGAAGACCCGGGACTCCCACCAGAGCTCGAGGGCGATCCATTCGAAAGTTGATCGGAGGGGCTGCTGAGGCCGTCTGAAGCCCGCCCTGGGGAGTTGTTGATGTTCGGGCCTTCATCCATGGCCATTGGCCCGGGCTCCCGGTTCATATGCGACTCGAACAGCAACATGCCGGAAGAAGGGTTCCACGCGATATGGTCGTTGTCATCCGGGGGCGTCGGAGGCAGAGCGGAAAGATAGTCACTTTTGGCGGGTGTCTCCCACACCCCGGAGGTTGACTGGGACGCTCGAGCCGCCAGCGAGCCCGATGCGGTGGAGGAGGTGGAGACGCGGAGACGAGAGTCGGAAGGATTGGCTTGGGATTCAGCCCGGGTCGGAGATTTGGAGGCGAGGCCGAGATCTTCAAAAGAGGGCAGGTGCAGCGAGGCGTTACTGCGAGACAGGAAACGGGAGACGGGAGAAGGCTTGGTGAGGAGAGATCCTTGTGAGGCACGTCGCTTCAACCGACCGGAGCCGGTGTCCTGATGAAATGGGGATGATGGTGCTGGAAGTTGATGTTGGGATTTGAGGGGAGAGACGGGGCTTAATTGGAGAGGATCCTGCGAGTCAAACGGAGATCCGGCTCTCATTGGCGTGCTGGGTTCCCCAGACACTTCTGACGATGAGGAGGGTGAGTAGGATGAAGCTGAGAATGGCGAACGCATGACCGAGCTGTCTCGCACCACAGATGCAGGTCGATAGGGTCCATGGCACTGTGGAGGATTCATCCAGTCTAGGTTGGGCTACTGGCGAGCCGGGGAGGGAGGCGACGTCGAGAAAAGGCGGATCCAGCCAACTTAAGATCCGGGAAGGCGCTAAGTTCAACGGCAGCCGATGGGTGACCCGTTCACAGACCGATGTAATCGGGGGGGGGGTTAAAGAATGGTTGTGAGGGTTGGAATGGAAGTTTGGTGGGATCACCAAAAACACATGGAACGCTGTTGACTGGTGTGGCCGCACGGAGCGAATGAAGCGAGAGCCAGGGTGGTAAGGTAAGGTAGGGTGAGGAGGGTAGGGTATGGTAAGGGGGGGGAAGTGTGTTTGTGGAGGAGCAGAGGCGAAACAGACGGTCGGGGAGAGCAGGGACTGGACAAGTAAAAAGAGGAGAGAGAGGGAGGGAGGGGGGGGAAATAGTAGGAGGAGGAAGAGGAGGGGAAGAAGAAGAAGAAGAGTAGGTTAAGGACGGTGGTGGTAGTATTGATGATGCTGATAGTGATGATGATGATACAGTGGGGAAGGGCGAGAGATTGAAGGGGGGAAGAAGAGAGAAAGAGCCATCCAGGCTTGCGAAAGTTTAGGCCGGATGGAATCGCGGTTCGGTTTCGAGAGCGTGAGAGGGAAAGGAAAGGATCATGACGCCTGGGAAATGACCCAAGGGCCAGAGGGCCAGACGCAGAGACTGACTGACAGCCAAGAGGGCCTCGGGCTGCGACTTTCCACCGGCGTTCTAGACCTGCCCGCCGGGGCCTGATTGGGGAATTCATGACACGAGGACGCCCGGTCGGCCCAGTCAGCGGGTGAGCAATGCAGCTGTATAAAACGGGACACTTTTAATCTATCTCTCTCTGCCCGGTCTACCTCCATCTGGGGATTCAGTTACCGGTTTCTCTTGATTCTTTTCGTCTTCCTTTGCACTCTCGTATACACCGTCGACCTTGCCCCGGAACACTGCTCGGGGCGGGACGCAGACCGGTTTCTGCTCGAGCCTTCGTCACGGGCGAGCCGGCCAACCGACTCATCCACAGGGCCAGACGCCTCCGACTCGTCTAGGCCTCCATAGTGGCTGATCGGAGCTAAACCGGGTCAGGCCCAGCGATACCGTAACGGGTATTAAGTAATTACACGGGCCTTTCACAGTGTCCAGTCCAGTGTCCACTCTTTTAGTTTCGCCCCCCCAAAAGTCGAGGGACCCACCACTGCCTAGTGAGGGCGTGTCTGGCCTTTTCTCGAGCGACTAGCACAAGCAACAGCAACCAAGCAACAAGCGAGGGCATGGACTGGACCCTGAAGAAGGACGAGTGACATCGTACAGACCCTGTGGGAGGGTTCAGGATGTCCTCGTTCGGGAAGGCAGCAGTCAAGTTATTTCAACCGGGACGAGCTGAATGCTTGGGTGGCAGACTGGGTGCCGGTCGGGGTCTGGTCTGGTCCTCCCGCCCGCACTCGGTACTGCACTTACACTGCCCCTCGTATTACACGGATCAGCATCACTTATACCATCCTGTTCGAGGCTTGTTTGCTACCAGCTGCTATGTACAGATAGCTGTATCGTTCTTCATCCTCATGGTGAGTTTCGGCAGATGCCAGACCTCCCAGAAGGAAAAGTCGGAAGATAGTCCCTGATCAAATCACGATGGGGCCGTCGGATGAAAAAATCTGTGCTCAATAAGGTGGGTAGCGTATAAATAGCCTGAATGATCAATGATGGTGCTAGCATCTTCGATCTGCCCACTCTTCAGCAGTTTCTTTATCCTTCTCTTTATTCATTATGGCCATACCCCATCTTGGTACCTGACTTATACTAGTTTCTAGTCCCTTACCCACTTGATCCTGCACGCTGGTCCGCTTCGTCTAGCATTCTCATCGTTTCTACGGTGTGTACTCCGTCGACCGTAGCACTAGATAGACCACCCCCCCCCCCCCGAGGGCTAAAACAAACCAATTACTCCGGGAAAAAGAAATGAAGGCAGATCTGGAACTCTAAGCCAACAACCCCCATCGCTCAAAATTCAGTTGGATCCTGACGTCGACCGTCTCGACCTCACCCTGGTTCGGGGGTCAAGCAGAAGGACTCTGATTGGCCGGCGGGGCAGCAGAAGGCTTGCTTGCATGGCGCGATCGAATCCACTGCCGCTTCCGGGCGGATTGACGCCTAGACCCTTGTTCCGTGCTGCCGAAAAGGTCCGCCTAACCTGGGTCCCCATTAATCGGGGCAATTATTGTCATTGGTGTCCCGTCTATGGTTAAGGTTCAATTCTGCTGGGATTGGGCTGTCTCGACCTAAACTTTACTCGTCACTATCACGGTCGACGCTCGATGGGCGCACAATTGGAAGGTCTCCTTTCGTAAGGTACCTATCGAACATTCCAGACTATCGTCGATCCGGTATGGCTGCCGTGGTGAACGCGCGACCCGGGATGGTAGCTAAGGTTGAGTCGAGTACCTCCGTCTCTTTTGACCCTGACTCTGACTCTGCCTCTCAGCCTCACGGTGTATCTGACCTCAGATGTCACCCAGGGCGTCGTACACAGTAGGTACCGAGTAGGGCCCACTCAGGCAGTCCCAGACCAGACCTTTGGATCCATCCGTCTGTACCTCTCCATTGCCGATGCACCATTCGCATGTCGTCAGTGGCTGATTCCCTTCACCTCCCTTCACCTCCTTTTGCCTGCTCCTTTGCCATGCTTATGCCCAACTCCCACTAGTCCGATATTCCCGACTACGCCCGTCCAGTTCCTTCCCTCGTTAGCCCTTTCTCACATTAAGTTGGATATCACTACCGACGGGTATCCATGGTCTGGGAGATTCTCAGTCCAACCTAGACTAGATCCTGGAGACGACTGACGGGTGTCACGATACCCACACATATAGTAGTATGGTAGTTGGACCACGCATTCCCCACATCGCTAATACCCCCTACCATCTACCATCCACACCTACCTACTATGTATCTAGACAGGATATAGTACGGAGGACTATAATCTACATGACTCTATCACAAACCTTACATGTAGATGATCTTCATCTAACCCTGTCCATCCTGCCATCCATCCCGCCTTGTCTCCCACGCGACGCAATCACCCAAACCTGATTCCTGATCCCATGGGACTAGATCCCCATCCCTGATCGACCTCCTCCCTACTCAGTCCTCCGTACTTCGTACTATGTGTATGTATGTCAACATACAGAGTACTGTCCTGTGCTACCCAACAGCCAGTGTCACTCCACACCAATCAACATCGCATGATCTACCACTCCTTGTTATTCTATTCCTTGATCGTAGAATGAGGCTGACCTAGCCTAATGAGGGAGGAGTCTTTGCGGGTGTGAGTGGGAGTCTAGAACTTGGGATGCATATACATGGATTGGGTACATAGCATAGCAGATACATACATACATGGTTGGTCGTATACACGGCATAGAGACATAGCATAGATACAGCCCGTGTACATACACTCAATGGTAGATACAACCCGATACATCTATCCATACATACATACATACACAGGTATAGTCAGCCAGCCAGCCAGTCAGTCAGCTAGTTAGCCTCTACCTACCTATCTATCTTAGATAGATAGATAATAAATAATAATCCATTCCTATAAACACTTACACTAAATCTTCCATATTAAATTCTAACTCCCTCAAACCTAACCCAACCCAACCCAACCCGTCCCCCCCATCCCAAAGCAATCCCAATCCCAATCCAATCCCACGGAACCAATACCTACCAATCAATCCATCACACAATTACTCACTCACTCACTCACCCAACCAACAAAGACAAGACAGACAAGACAGACAAGACAACCTACCTAAACAACCTAGACAAGAAAGGCAGGTCAAAATCACCCACAAACCCCCCTCGCCACCCATCATACTATGGTATACCCAAAATCCCCACAATAAACCATCTCCCCCCGCCCGTCAATTAACCTTTCCTTTCCTTTCCATATCCCATATACATACTCCGTACGGAGTACCATACATCTATACTTCATGTCTAGTGTGCCACGGGACATCCACATGATACATACATAGTATGAGAACGCGTAGTCTGGACCCAGAACCAGAACCCAAGACCCAGAGCCCAGGACCAAGTTAGACTCTGAGTCAGATGGATAAGATAACTAATATCTCATACTACATACCATTCCATTACACTAGATATTCCATACTACTAGTATCCTGTACTCATTACTACTATGTATATGCTCTATACTGTAGATAATATAGCAAGTGGACCGATCGTATTCGCCGCTTACGTACGTACGTACCTTTAACTACTATGGTATGTGCCGTGTCTCCACCGTACGGGTACTTGTCTCAGGTAGAACAAGGCAGACAGGCGAAGAGAAACAGGTTGGGTTTCAGGGTGGGAATTTGTGATCGTGATTCGTGATTCGTGATTCGAGTATGTGTTAGGTGGTGTTTCTTTCCTTTCTGAGGGTTCTATACGGGATGGATGCCTGGAGGCATTAACGATTGTTGCAGTTCATGGGGGTGGCACAATCGCGCCGTTTCGTATTCTGGTCGGATCTAGACCGAACGCGGGGTTTTGGGTTCAGGTGGCATTTTCAGCAAGGTTACTCGGCATTGGTACTGGTCTGTTGACCGTTCACCACTACTCTAATTGTATGGAGTACATATAGTCATCGCGGCCACCAGGATCACCCGGTTATCGTACCCCGACTCTTCCGGGTCGCCTCCACATTCTATGTCTCCAGAACCGTGGCTGTCCTCATAATAATCTCTCCCGAACCACGCTTCCCCCTTGCTGCAAAAAGGCTTGCACGATCTGGACGAGTCCTATCCAAGCCACAGACAGCCGCACGGTGGGTATCTCCGCGGAAGGAGAGGTCGAGGTTACATCCACGGGCTTTTTACCCGCGCGTGTCCGCAATAGGAAGTAGTTTCAGTAGAAACATCGATGGCATGGTCCATGAGGCAGCTCCGCAATCAATGGTGCTCAGCTGCGTCCATCCGAGCAGCACGTCACCAGTTGCGTAGGGCCGCAGCGCACTCGTCTGCCCGGTCCTGTTGCCAACCCCAGGTGCCCGTCCGAGAACCGGTCATCGGGTTAAGGATGTTCATCCGCAAGCAGGATTCTGATGGCCAGACCGTGGTGACGGCTGATCTAGGCAAAAAGCCGATTGTAGAATTCACATGGCTTGGTCGTTGACACAAGCCTTCCCGAGCACTTAAGAAGTCACGGATCTTCTCCGAGCATCGGCGTGTCTGCGAGTGTGGAATCTTTGCGGCCGAGAATTCACGCGATTAGCGCTAGCCTTGGCAAAAATCTTCTGGTCCTCCTCCGAGACGACGGGCATCTGCGTGCAGCTGGACTGCTTCGCGGTGACCGAAGGGCGTGGCGAATCATACCGAGAGTGAGCGTTGGGTCGGTACGACATCTCAGGCTGCAGCCCTTGTCGATTCAGAGCAGCCTGCAACTCCAGACACTGCAGGACCAACTGCTTCACACCATCGGTCAAGGCACAGGCCCGGTATTCGATGTCTGGCCAAAAGCCATCGCCCCAGAAGGTATCCTCGCGGACCGCTGTCTCCAGCGATTCGTACCAGAAGTCAAAGTTAGGCAGCCGTCTCTTGGCGCTCGGCAGGTCCAGACCCTGCAGGTGGTCTGACAGGAGACACGCCACGGCCACGAAACGAATGGTCGGCTCGGAATTCATAACGTGTAGGACAATACAGGCGGGACACCGCTCGGTCAAGTACCAATCATGTTCTTCACTGAGGATGGAATGCAGCCAAGCGTAGGCGCCACGCGCCTCACCCCGAAACGCCCGTTCGGACTCGGCGCCTTTGTGGCTAGGCAGCACATTCGCCGCGATACGCGACGCTTGGTGATGAAGCAAAAATAAAGGGAGGAGAATGGTATGGATGATGTCGCGGTGAAGACGAAATGTCTCCTGCTCTTGGTTGGAGCAGTCGTGGCGGTGAGACGAACAAAAGCTGTAACCAGGGCTGATTAGCGACGAACCATGTGTCACGATAGATATCCAGGGCTACCTACCTCGGAGCCTTCATGCCCAATTCCTGACGCCTCAAATGCTCTCGCACGAGCCTAAAGGCCTCATTGCGATCCAGGTTATCGCGGTCCCTCGGCGAGATGCGAAACGGGGAATAGGTACTGGTGGTGGACATGTTGCAGCCAACCGCGTATCGCGCAGCAGACGAACCAGCGTGGCTAGTGGAAAGGGTTATATATCGAAGACACAAAAATAGTAATTCAGGTCTGGACGAATATGCGAATAAGGATGACGTCGCACGGTGGACGAATAGGCGAGCAGAACGACTAGTCCGAGCCAATCAGGCGAAACACAAGCGGGCGGAGAAGCTTTCCAAAGAGGGCGATGTTAAAAAGCGGGAGAACCACGGATGGCATGATCCAGACCAAGCGAGTGGGGGGGGATGGAAGAGGGGGGGAAGGCGAGCGAGAGGGGAGAGGAAGCGAAGGTGGTGGTGAAGATAAGGTGAGGAAGGGAAAAGAGGGGAACGAGGTGGGTGGACAATGGCAATTGTAGATAGATATATCTAGTCAACCCACGCGAAGGAGAGCCAGGAACTAACGAAGAGGGGAGGGGGGG